TGTTTTTCTTTTTCTTTTCTTTTTTTCCCTTATTGCTAGTGGTAGCGTAAAACACTGTGAGGTAGAAGAGCGTCACTATTGTTGAGTAGCAATGGAATAATAGCAACCTTCCATGGTCCTGGAAACTTGTGGGCTCGGTCCGATATTGCACTATGACATGCCGAGTCGGATACCCATGGTCATGGCCGCCGTGTCCCGTGTCGATCCCATGTATGCCACTGTATCATCGGGTGTATATATATGCTGGGTTAATGTATCCAGATGCCTCCGGCGAAGTTATTATTCTACTCAGCAGAATGGTATATCAAAACACGAGGATCATACTGTCGAGCATGGGATTTATCTTCTAAAGATAATTAGTATGCTTAAAGAAATAAATCATCTCTGGAAATACCACTACGTCTGCTGCTTTCGACCAGAGTGAGGAGTTGGGTGAGGAGTCGACTCATCCCTCGGACAAAGAGATTGACTCCGCGGGCTGCGACTCACTCGCTTGTGAAATACTTTAGGGCTACTCAGACTTGGTCCGCAGAAATGCTAGCTAACTCTGTGTTCCATCATCATTGGTATACGGAGTCGGTGCAGTATATAGGGAATCCACCTTATGGATCTAACAGGTCAGGGCCTTTTTTTGTATAACATCAAGAATCTTTATGGCGGGAGCTGGGCGGTAGGGAAGAGTAGGTCTGCTGTGGATACATGCTTGCAGCCATTGATACGGAACATCAAACTCACGCGACAAAGCGCAGATGTTGGGCTTCTTTTGGTGCCTGGCGATTTTCTACGCTTTAGAGATACCCGTCCCGATCTCAGCGTCAAATCTAGTCATAGTCGCGGTGAGTAAGGGTTTTGGACAACTTCAATTTTGGTCAATTTTATCGTTTGTTGGGGAATTTCCGTATGCCAGTGGCCGACCAACAAGCCAAAGTACGGCATTAGCTAAACTATGTGCAACTAATGCAAGACCTGTGCATGGATGGATAGTTTACGAAAGCTGCAAGGTTTCAGGGTAGAATATGGATACTAGAATCTCAAGCTCCAGAGCAAGTATACCAAGTAATAAGACTGATACTTGGCCCCCAGCGTGATCTTTCCCTAATAGACCAAGCCCAGTCATAAAGAACACTCCAGCTACTATTTAGCCACAAGGTTGAAAGAAAAATCAAATCTACCATACTCCACTCTGTTATCATCAGTAAATATAAGTCGATTGAGATAACTTCCATGAGCCATTTTCCCCACGGGAGCTTCCTCAAAGCCATTGTCTTGGGGCAAGGATTAGCCTTAGGACATCTGCACTTGTTAAGATTAAAGTACTTACGTGGGAGGTTGACAGTGCGCGGCTCAGAATCTGGACCGAATGAGCCCTGCAGATTGCCGTGGTAAGTTTTTGCCCCTGTTTAACAGCTTTGGCGTTATACTTACTATCACATGGCGGGTTTTATCAACCCGAATTGCGTGTCTGGACAGATCAGAGGTGCATATCAATCCAGAGTTCGTGATATTTTGTATGCGGATTTTGACGACAATCTTATAGAATGCGCCATCCTTAACATCGAAGGGGCTTTCTTTGGTTTCCTTCCTGGCTTCTGGGGTGGAGATATCGCGGACAATAGGTTCCTCGCCTTGTGCCTGGAATTCAAAGGACACAAAAGAAAAATTCTCGTTGTCTGCTTTGATCATTAATTTTAGTCAGATATCTTATGAAACAAAGTATTAGGACAACAAGTGTGGCTGGATTCACTTACTCTCTGTTGCCATGTTGGCCTCTTACGGAGTCTTTTGAAAACTTCTGGACGTGTCGGTGTGATGATTATCTGTGTATTCAAGTTAGGCTAGAGTGAATTAAGGATACGAGCGATACTTTCTACCTTTATATACACGGCGAAGAGTGAAATCCTACGACAACATAAATTATGGTGAAGGGCTAGTCACTGGATGCTTCTATGGGTCGGTGCGTGTTATCCTTTGCCGATGTGGGGAGTTGTAGATGTGGGCTAACGAAATTACGAAGATACATTATTCGTCATGCATGTATGCATATATCTGCTGCAATACGTGTCACAGTTCCATGCAAATTAACAGCATCACAAGACGGGTACAGAGTTTTGTAGCAGTCGCTTTTTGACAAGAGATTTAGTCCGTCTTCGCACTATGTGTGGTGTCGGCCCGATGTCAGCGTCGAGGACTAATTGAACCTTAAGAGATATATACCTGGTTAGGTCAAAGAGGAGAATTGAAACAGAAGTAAAGCGTCTTTTTTGGTAGAAACTAATATGTCTACTGAGGATACGTTCCTTCACGCAGATGAATGGGTCGGTCATGTCCGGTGAAAGTCTAGATTCCATCGACCTTGACTTCAATCTCGTGCAGGCGGTTAGTCAGTCTACGGAAAGGCTAATTATTGAATCTCAATGTAAGTGAGGAAAACCAACAATCAACTGGCTGTGATAGGGCATCCTGCCCTATGCGGGATTAACTTTAGAGCGCCAGATACTTTACGGGATGGTGGCGGTGAGTCTTCTGAAATATGGCAGTTTATTTCCAAATGCTCCTTGTCACTTTTGCAAACCCACTGTGGGAATGAAACGTACATATATCGGAATTATTTTCCGTTGGCGAGTCAAGAAGAATACACAAACACTTGCAGGAATCAGGCACGATCGGGCAGTGCGTGGCCCATAATGCAGTGGATCAAGCGATTTGAAGAAACCTACTAAGAGTGTAGCGCAGACTGGCCCGGGGGTTTAGTCTCGTCGGAGAGTTTTCGACATAATCTTTTAGCGCGGTAGGAATAGATTGTATAGAGCCACGTATCCAGCTGGACGGGAAAACTCGCGTCTTTTCCATATGAGATGCATAATTTTTTCCTTTTTTTTAACCTTTTTCAACCAGATCAGATTACACCATGACTTCGTATAAGGTCTGGACGGCCAATTAAAAATCTTGGTTAGGTGCGACTTCCCGCGATGACTAGCCCTAACTGAGCTCAGAGGACTGAAGATCTTCTTCCAATTCCTGAATCTCCAGATTGTAGAGAGCATTCGGTCAAGTGGACCGGAGGGGACGTTTCGCTAGGTAAATAGCGGGGGTTTACACGCTCATTATTAGGATAAGGCTGGACTGATATGTAGTAAACCTAGTGGTTAGTTAACATAAGGAGGCATTTCAGGTTGCATACAAGCTATATGTCCTCATGCTAGTGACGTGTTCCTCGTCTCACGGAAGTCTACAGCACACTCCGTCGCTGCGAATGGTGAAAGAAACAGAACCTGTAGGATATAACTCCATTTACACAGTGTTATGTCCTGTGGAAACTCACTATTACTCTCTAGCTGGTCTTGTCTAAACTGCGACGCCAACATGACAAAAGATATGTTAAATTATCACACCTAGAAATCTCCACTTAACCTGACTCCTCTATCTTAATGTAAGATTGAACTGGTACACAGTAGTATCACAATCGGTGTCTAAAGTTGTCATGTACAGGACGAATTTTCTAGCTATAGATAACTTCAAGTAACTTCTCCCTCTCCGTATCTTCATCGACCATACCCCGAAAAACCCCGTTCTGGATATTCATCAACTCGCGTGGATGACCGAATTCTACCGCCGTTCCGTTGTCCAGAACCAGGATGCGATCAAAATCAGCTATGGTACTGAGACGGTGCGCAATGACAAGCAGAGTCAAGGAATCCCGGTCAAACTGTGCTCGCAGCGCCTCCTGGATTTGTGAATCTGTTGCTCGGTCGACCGATGAGGTAGCCTCATCTAGCATGAGGATCCTGGGATGTGCGACGATAGCACGCGCAAGACAAAGTATTGGCCGCCCAGGCTGAAACACCAAAATTTATATATTGAAATACGGTATTAGAAATAATAAAAGTATATACAGCTTTAAGAATATTAAAATTTCGTTTTTCAAAATTAATATAGCTAGTAGAATCTTGCCTTTCTGTTCTATTTGAGCTTTTGATAATGTATATACTTTTGATAGTACCTGATATTTGAATAGCTTCAATGTCTAGCAGGCGCAAAGAACATTGGTTGACCAACTTGCTTACCAAACACCTTTATTAGTTAACTAGTTATACCATACAAGTAGGGTCAACGTTATCAATGCAGAACCCGAACCTGACCCTATGCATACTCTAGGTCAAGGAACGCTCGACGTCCAGCAACTGTCTACCGAGCCCCCATAGGCTCTGGCCAAGTTCGCCCGTGTCAAGCGTTCAGCATCAAGAAGAAACTGGTCCAGTTCCTTTTCAGTCATCTCGGGACGGAAATTCCGTAAATTAGCCATGGTACGTCGCAATGCAGTATTTGCATTAGCGCGGATACTGTCGAGGTCATAACCGACTAGCTGGCCGTCACGCTTTCGGATCACCCCGTCGACCATGACGGTATGGACATCGGCTGGAGTGGAGTGTAGAATGGCTGTCCCCAGAGGAAACGCGGACGTACTAAGAAACCGTTGCGACGAGATAAAGACGAGATCGGCCCGCTTGCCAGGGGTCAAAGTGCCGATTCGGTCTGCCATTCCGACAGCGTCAGCACCATTCCGAGTGGCCCAGGTCAAGACATCGCGCACTCCGAGGTCGAGTTGCGTCGGGGCCTTGCGGGAGGCATGGACCGTATGATTATCAAGCAACCGCTGCATCTGAAGCGCTAGACGCATCTGGGCGAGATAGTCGGGTGCGACAATGCTGGTCGTGTCGATACTCAAGGTGGGTTTAATGCCATGTTCAATGCACGCCCGGATTGGGGGGATACCCATGCCCATTTGCATCTCTGTCTCCGTGGCAATGGACACTTTACCACCGGAGGCTGCAAGCAGCCCCATTTCATGATGGTTCAGACTCGTGCAGTGAATATGGACGTGATCAGGGAGCAAGAGTCCCCGGTCAGCGAGCTCCTGAACGCCATTATGCAGGCCGGTGTGCATGAATGGAGCGGTGTGAGAGCAACACAGCATTCCATGCTCCTGAGCAAACCGGATCTCTCTCTCCGTCTGGTCAAAGGGGACTAGCCCCGGATGGCTGGTTTGTAAACCCACACGAACTAAGTGGTGCTCGTTCTTGAAGCGGTAGAGGTCCTCTAGATGGGCTAGGCGGGCCTTCCAGCCGGAGAGGCCATTCCCCGACCCTTCGTACTGGCCATCACTCATCCCGTAGCAGTAGAAAGCACGAATGCCCGAGTCCTTTAAGGCCTGTAAATTGGCTTCCGCATGCTGTCTCGAACTCGGTGCTTCGACACAATCCAGAAGTGTGGTGACGCCGCTATCGATTGCCTCGAGCGCGCTGACCAAGGAAGCTGTGTATATGTCCTCTGCGCCGACGGCTGGTAGCCATCGCAAATAGCAGTTCGGCAAGAAGCGGACTAACGAGTGATCTGCCGCGATCCCGCGAAATAGCGACAAGCTCGTATGGCGATGGGTATCCACGAATCCCGGAACGACCACGCCACCGCTGGTATCGATGACTTCACACTCTGAGGCTGAGAACTCGTCAGCCCTTCCCACGGCGGTGATCACACCGTCCTCAACCAACACGGCACCACGGTCGAACTCGCCCAGCGAACCATCCATGGTCGCCACATAGCCTCCAGTAAAGAGATATTTTCCAATCGCTGGGTTCGTCATGGTGTGGGTAGCAACGGAGGTCCGAAAAATGTAAGGATGGTGGCATTAGAGTAACGGCGATGCATGAAGCTTCTTATAGAACTTCTTAGTGATGCACTTGCTCGGTGTTCCCTTATGTCCGAGTCTCGTCGGCATCGGGGCGGGGATATAGATATGGATCTATGGAGTTGTTCTTGAACCTAAATATCCATCCATCTCCTGGTACCCACTCGTACGTGCGCCTTTTTCGCGTTGTGCCTTCTGTTCCTGTTCGTGTTGGAGACGATCTATGTAAAGGAAGTCATCCATAGGGTAAAGCTGTTGGAATTTACATGACAATATAATTACGCATTCTCTGTTGCCTGACTCACGTCTCCACCAGAAATACTCCTGCGCAGACCCAGCGGAACGAGGTCGTCTACAACTAACACATCCCCGTTTTCTAGCATGGTGCCCAGGTCTCGCGGTGTCGGCTGGAAAACGGAGATCGGCATGTGGCTCGGTGAAGGTACCTCTCAAAGTCTCGTGGCGATATGTGCTGGAACGCTCGATGAAAATGTGGAAATTACGGCGATATTGCAGTCAAACTGCGGCACGTATGTTCCTACCTCTGGCTTGTTAGCATCGTGACGGGCACCTCTGGGCCAGGGTAACAGTACTTCCGGTCGACATAGACCACAAGGAGCAGGGATTGGGCGAACATTCCGAGCCAATTTTCTTTAGACTCGAGACGATCTCAGACAGCATGACAGGTCTTCGGTGTTGCCAAAAAGAGAAATACCCGAGAGGATAGACCGATATTTATCCCGTCCGTGTAGGAGGCCGCAGGAATTTCTTTTGCCACTCCCCTGGTATAACCTGTTTTGGGGATGAATATATCCACCATGGCCCATGAGTAGGGCAAGCATAGACTCTTCCTCCATGCTTGGTATCTATGATGATGGATGTCTACCAGTGCGAGGGATGGCACTGTAGCATCACGAAATAAATTGAGAATAGATCAGTCAACGAACTGTCTTTACAGATGCCACACAGCGATCCTCATCGTCCGTACTGGGCTCTCGGGGGGAAGAAAAAGGGATTTATATATCGTGACTTCTATATTGCTCGGAGTACTAATACTGTATTATTTCCCCCGTAAAATACTGATCCTCTCTTATCTTGAGAATTATACTCTGATATATCTGGACTACACGGTCACAGAGTCATCATCGGATCTGTGACATCAAGGTGCCACCCGGAAGTAGGGTCCGGGAGACCTGCAACAGCGAGCAATTGCCATGTATGTTGGGTATCGGGAGCACAAATATATCGAAAGTAGACCAATAGGAAAGGTCCGTACCGGATCATCCCGCCGCTAAACAGTCCGCCACTAGTGGTACATGTCCGGAGAGCTGCGAACTGAGAGTTGCCTTATCATATTTCGATGATTTCGCTTCTTGGAGTTCTGATCAAATAAAACAAAGTGAATGACGCCATCGAAAAATTCGCAGGAGATATCGTTGAGGGGTTTCTTCCTCCGCGTATGCTAGTAAATTGATTCTGATACCGGGAAACAGTCACTAACTGGACGTATCTTTGGAACATGGCCTCGAAGACATCCATTTGACGGAGTTCGAAATCTCTCTTCACCTTGGCAGCAGTCGGCCGAGTGGCGCAATGGTAGCGCGTTGGTTTCCGGTACCAAAGGTTTGCGAGTTCGAGTCTCGTCTCGGTCGGGTTCTTCTTTTTATCCGTGGATTGTGATGCCGAACGAGCCTTGTCTTCGCGGACCAGTTTCCTAGTCGCAGAGACTGAAATAGGTTTTTGCAGAGCCACCCTGCACAGGGTGCTCATGTTCAGAGAGCACTGAAGTGGAAACAGAGCGGTCTAAAAGTCCCGGTACAGGTGTACATATGTGCGAATATTCTCATTATTTGGTATCTAGACACAATCCTCCAGTCCGGATTGGTTCCATCGTTATCCATGGTGGTTGCCCAAGACGCCATAAAAATCAATCGACCCCGAGAAATAAGCAAAGGAGTCTTAATACTTATACAAGCCGCGCTAACCATACCCAGAAATACGAGTTTTACCACGCTCCGGCGTCGAAATCAAACCGAGAGAGCTCCTTTTGTGCATCTTCCACGTCCTTCTTTGCTTTCATACGCATATAGAAGATCGGACAGTCCCTGGACGAGCAGATGACTTCGCAGTGCAAACTGCCCTGGCAGCGCTGGCATTGGGTCCACAACCGCCCGAACCGGACCTCGAGATCGGACACTTTCGTCAACGATCTCGTATACAGCTCGCCAAGCCGCGGCTGACAGTGCTCGCACACAGCACCGGCCATTTCAGCCTTGCCGGAAAGGGGTTTCTTGCACCCCATGCAGGTGGCGGTTTTCTTCGCAAACTTCATAAGCCCACCCATAGTTGGTGCGGCTACTGAGATGGACCGTGTGTGCTCGCCGGTAAGAAGCTGTCCAGCTCTTTTCTCTCCGAGAATGGGCTCGAAGATACGGCCGAGAGGGTTTGCAAGTTGATTGTCCAGGTAATACTTGGTGTCGATAGGGAGATTATTCTCAAGAACGTAAATAGGGTCCTCAGACTTCTCGTAGTTCTTTGAGCCACCAGCACCCTTGACAATAACGTACGCAACACGATCGCCAAGGGTAGGCGCAGAACCCGCATCACGCTTTTTCATACGCTCAGCAAGTTCTACGTGTGCCTGCTTGGCTGCATAGTCGGACTTAGAAAGAGCCTTTGTGATCACAAGCTTCGACATGTCGACCTTGTTTTGTAAAAGGTCTGAAATCGTTTCCTTGACATACCTAGAGGCACGTTAGTTGTTATGATATGATAATGCTACAGACTAAGGAACGCTAAGTATGGAGACTCACTCTTGGGCGCCGTCAACGTCTCTGTCAATCAAGATCTTGTGCAGCACTGTCTCAATGACATTTTGCACCAGTAAACAGTTGTCACGACGAACAGTCTCGATACCTTTGGTGTCCATCTTATCATACTTTTCGGTTTTCGTCCAGTATAAGCCAGCATATCTCTTCTTGTTGATGAGGAGGTACGGGAAATACACCTTTTCGAACTCGAGCTTGATTGGCTTCAGGAATTTCGAAGAGACGTATTCCGAAGCCTCCTGTCCAAGCTTCATGGCGTCCGCTAGCTCCGTGACACCAAATTTGACCATGACGGAGTCGGTATCACCATAAATAACTTTTGCGTCGTGGGAATAGCCATTCGCAATTGTGTATCGTGCTTCCACTTCCTGCTTCGTTTTTTCGATCATTTGACGACCGTAACTGGTTGTGCTACTTGCAATAGGTAAACATGGCAATTTTCCAACCGTTGCACCCGTGAGACCGTAAACACTGTTAGCGCTGATCTTAAGGGCGAGCTGTCTTCCGTTCAAGACAGCCTTCTTGAAAGGATCTGTTTCACTCGCCAACTCCTTCTTCGCTCGTTTTCTTGCGGAAAGCAGTTCTTCTAAAATCTGAGATAAGAGACCCTTGCGGACCTTCGTTGTGCAGAACAAGTCTCCATTAGGCGTCACGATGTAGTCCTCATCCTTCTTCAGATTGTACTTTTCAACGGCCTTCTTGTTCAATAATGTTGTGTAGCATAGATTGTGGGCTTGGATAATGGAGGGGTATAGGGAAGCAAAATCCAGAGTTGCAATAGGAACACTATAGTAGCCTCGAACCGGTTCAATGACAGTAGCACCTTCGTATTCCTGTTCACTTTCTGGAGTATTATTTGGAATAACCAGTTGTTGTTCCAGGGCCTTCCGGAATAACTGACTCATGAATTTGACTTGTTGACCGCGTGATAAAAGGAAATTGAATGGAACACCCGTTACTCTTGCCATCTCTGTATAATTAACGAGGCACATGAGCTTGTCCATTAATCTCTGAGGGAGGTATGCGTCCTTAAGACAGTACACGGCAAGACGTCGCCTTGAGTCGGGTGTTCCGTTATGCAACTCAGTGATCATTGTGTGGTGAACATCTTCCTTCTGTTCACCCAGAAACTCGTAAGACACAGAGTTCAATGTATAACTTCTCAGCTGATGATCTCTTTGGACCAGTTGCAAAAGGTCGAGTTGGATTCTTCCGTTGGTATTGGTCGCCTTTGTATCACGGTTGCCCATCTGTTTACTAGAGAAGCTTGTTTCTTTAGCCTGGGTCAAAACGCCGTTCAACCTAGTCCAGTAAGGGAATCCAGTGCACTTCAAGTGCTTCGCTCGATCCAGAAGGTAAGGGAAATCGAAGTTGGCAATGTTATATCCAATAATCACGTCAGGGTCGACTTTCTCCACGAAATCGCGCCAAGCCATCAGCATTTTCTCTTCTTTTTCAAACTCCAAGATCTGGGTATTGACAATCAGGCTACACGTATCCAAAACAAATACATTTCGGATGAAAGGCTTTGACTCTCCATAGCGAGTCACGACGTTGGCGATCTGGATGACAGGATCTTGGTTTGGTTCTGGAAAGATACCCTTTCGTCCAGCACACTCGATATCGAAGGATAATATACGGAGCGGCGCCATTTTTGCCCATTCCCCATTAGGTGGGTGGGCAACCAGGTCGCGATAATCGACAACGGCTTCGATCTGGCAATTGGAGTGTTTTTCTTTTTGGTGAAGAAGTCGGTACTTTCCCGCCTTAGCTTCTACCCAGGACATGCCGGAGATATTTGTATCAATCATAAACCTCAAAAGATATTGGATATTGTCAAAGGTGGCAATCTTTTCAATGCCAGTCCAAAGACCTTTGTAGTTCATGCTTTGGCCCCCGTTCTCCAACGCGCCTCGCAATTTGCTGATAAACTTCGGCTCGGTGACGGTGATCTTCAGGTACCAACTCTTTTGATTCCCTTGATAGCCATAGATGTTCTCTCTCAGAGTTACTTGAACCGACTGGATCATCGTCTGGAAATTACCGATTCTGCTTTCCAGGAAAGCCCGATACGGGTCGCAGTCTTCTTTCGTAAAGTTCACCGGAGCGGCGATATAGAGGTAATGTTGGAAGCCGGTTACATGCAGCAAGACGGATTGGCCAGCCTGTACGGGACGTTAGAGCAATTCGCAGATCATCGACACCGCGCAGACAATACCTCTGTGACTCCAAACAGTCTAACGGCCGGTTTGCCACCCATGAGCGTTCCTTCTTCGGCATCAATCTGTTGGAAGCAGACACTCTCCTTCGTAGGGTCAAACTCGCCAAGCGGAGGCCGCTCCCATTGTTGGTCCTTCTCCGCATTGCTATCCTTCAAGTCATTGATGTCCTGTGTCAATTTCTCAAGCACCTCCTCCTCGAACTGACTCTTCTGTAACTGACTCGAGCCCGGCACTTTACGTTGGCCATTTTTAACGGGCGCATTGACTCTCGCGGGTGGTTTGCTGTCGATTTTCCGTTTCTTACTCGCGTCTGGGGATTTCAGGATACCGCGCGGATTATTCGATGCATCTCCCAGAACCCGCTTCTGGGGCGTCGCGACAGCTTCGGGCATGACGGAAAGATCATAAAACCGCCGCAGTAGGCCGATACTATCAACAATGCAACCTATGTGAAGTAGGGTTGGTGAGTCGTGAGAACTAATCCATGGGAGCACTATAGGCGGAGTCGCGGGCAATTATGCTCCATTCATGCAGGTCGTGTCTTGTTCGCGCCGGACGTGACGCGTTGACAAAAGTCACGTGGTGATAGCCATTATCAACTAGGGTAGCATTACGGAGTACGAAAGTCCAGGTTAAGGAATACTATTTGCTTTTTCCTTCTCTTTCTATATATTCCTTTGATACTCTGTATATCTTTCCCCCTAGATTTAACACTGCCACTAAAATTCACAAGGCCGTGCAATTGTGCTTGGTCCGATGACGTCATAAGCGTCCGACTGGTAGTTTCCTTTCCAGTTCGGAGTAAAACATGAAGAATTTCAATTCGTATAGAATTTGGCGAGACCTGTTCTCCGGGTAATCACTACGTACTCTTGTAGGTGCACACTTGATAGTCTATACTGAGTGGCATTACTCATAAAATCTCCGGACAAACAAGTAGCGATATTCGAACAGCAAGGTTATTGGTATCTTATTTAAACGAGATCAATATATAGAGTTGAGAAGTGCAACACATGAGGGCATAACCTTTGGGTTACAAACCATGCTTCATCTTGAGAAATAAATCGCAACAAGCCCGCCATGGTTGTTAAGATGCTATAAAAAAGACCGCACCTCAGGTCCAGCTGTCACCAACTTGACTGATAAACAGCGTTTCCCCCAGAAGTTATACCTTGGGTGCTCCGCTCTCCTCTGTCTTATAAATATTGTTGTAACCATTCAGAGATTTCTGTGTCAAGGCTGCCATATCTCTTCCTTGGAATCTGCTAGGATCCAGTGCTCGCCTAATAACATCATCGACGGGCTGTTCTTCAAGTAATTGAGCCAAGAACTTCGCTGCTCCAGCTGCGTGGGTAACCCACACCGCCGCTGCCATGTACAGACCCTCGGTAGAGGGGATACTTCCTACCAACGGCATATTGTCGGGTGTCATTGAGAAGATCCCGTTGAATCGCTTTCTCGGAACGAACTTCGTCTCCTCCGGTATCAAACGCATGGCACGGCTTAATGTCTCATCAAACTGCCCGATCCAGTCACCAATAGCAGTGTCCCTCGGTTCATTGATAGCAGGGGCATGATCATAAGAGCCCAAGCCAAAGAAAGTACCATGATCACGGGCGTATACATGATGCTGTGGCCATCTCACCCAAGGCGCCTTGCGTAATTTTGGTGTGTGATGCTCGCCATACATATATGGGTGCGCGACAGGTACAACTGGAATTGGAATGTCGAACTGGCAAAGGTTACTTGCCCAAATTCCCGTGGCAATAATGACTTTCTTTGCCGGGATGAGCCCTGATGTGGTCATCACACCATTCACGCAGCCATTGGCCTGTTGGATTTCGGTAACTTCTGCTTCGATGAGTTCGACGCCCTTGCCTTGTGCATTTTCCTGGTAGAACGAGGTTATTCTGATAGCATCCGCAGCTCCATCACCAGGAAAGTACAAAGCTATTTGGTGATCGTCATTGACCAGGTCTGGGGCTAAGCTAACTGCCTGCCCGGAGGATATCAATTCGGCACGGAGTCCAGCTCTCTTAGCCAACTCACATCTCGACCTTAATCGGTCGACGCCTTCACAGCTAGTAGCAATTTCAAGACCTCCAACAGCATCGAATCCGCCGGGTACCTTCGTGTATTCTCTCACAGTGTCCATGGCAAGGCGGGTAAGAACCTCAGATTCATTGAATTGACCAACAAGGCCGGGAGCATAACCTGTCGATCCGTTCAACTGTGAAAACGACCGATCGATAAGAACCACTTTCTTGTCAGTCTGGGATAAGAAATAGGCCAGCGCGGACCCCACGATTCCTCCACCAACAATGGCAATATCAGACGTGGTCTTTGAGGATTCCATCGTGGCTTGCTGCAGGTATTGGGGATTTTGACCTCGAAAGCACAAGGAGAAAGTATTCTGGAGGTCATGCATGTCGATTAAATACTAATCGGTGATCACGTTGTAACTTAAAAATGGGTGGGGTGGTTCTCTTGGTGTCTCGTATCCTGAGTAGAATCAGGCCATGAACTATATATATCTGTCTATGTAGAATCGCCGTGACACCGGTAGTACGCGGAGGAGGTGCCGGAGGTTGCCGAATATACGTCGTAAAGAAGGATATGACGTCTGTCTATGTAGTAGGTACATTCACAAAACCGAACAAAATAAACCTCCTTTATCCCGATCCCAGGTATATGTAGACAAAATGTGGGGTGGAAAGGCAGAGATGGCGGCCTAAGGCAGCGTGGCGGGTGTCCACTTTTGGGAGGGACTTCGAATTTGACTCACGGAAAGAATTCCACATCCCACTAACAATGCAACTCCACACCGAATGACCTCACCGGGCAAGGGAGTTTACCGATTCTTCGGGAGACTCGACTAGTTTGAACAACACAAGCGGATCGTTTGATTTGATGGGATTTGTGGGAACCTGAAACTCTGAGTCAAGAGCGTTGCCTAGTGTGCGCCCTGTTGATGGCATCTGGAATTTAGAATCGAATGGAAGGCGGACAAGGCCAACGGAACCGCCCTGCGTGAGAACCAATTGGAACCAGAAACCGTGGCATCTTCTGAACAACAACTGTCAACTCCAAAGCTTGCCGATCGGGCTGGCTTTTAACCGCTATCGTGCCCCGATTGGTGTCGACTTATCAACGAAAACTATATATCGCACAATCTTTCCATCGCGCCCCTTGCAGATACTCGGTAGCGCTCCCTGGTATGAAGGCTTTATTTTGATAAAACCCTCCACAGTATCTGCCTTCGTACCTCGAGACGACGCTATTAGATGGCCATTGTCATGTCCTTACATGGCTCTAGCGTAGCCGCAAATCTGATGCTTCTTCCTGTTTGAATTATATTAGTTTTAAGATGTCGATGTTCAGGTCACCTGCAGATTTCTCTTCCGAATCCGAGTCCGAGGAATCTAGCTTGGATAGGGGTCCGAACGAACAAGAAGATGCTCCATCAAGATCTACTGCCAAGAAGGCTAAGGCTCCCGGAACGGGAACGAAGTCGCCTCCCCTTTTGGAAGGAAGCAGCTATGAAAGCGTCGAGGGCGATGCAAATGAAAACAATGAACTTGATGTCGACACCGAAGTTCATTCTAACATGATGACGGCTGCTCTCCTTGAATTCTACTGTCTCAGCCGGGCTGCGGATATTCTCAATGCACAAGAAGGCTCACACAAGCGCTACACACGTGACTCGCCAGAAGTCCAGTACCTTGGAAGAAAGATGTATAATTATAAGTCACGATTCCTCTCCTCCCATGGGGTAATAGCCGGGGGAATCGAAAAAGACGAGCTGCGGACAACAAGGCAGTATTATCGGGACAACCTTGATGTTCTTGGCATGTCAGCACTGGAGGATCTCGACATAGACGATACTCAGCGGCAGGTACCACCGCGCAGAACAACGGGAGATGTTGTCTTAGCTTCGAAGGCCTCAAATACTGTGCGACGTAACCCAGATCAAGAGTATGCAGGCCCTGCAAAACGTGGATTATACAGGCCCTCCCTTGCAGATATCGGGAAACGACTCCCCAGTGCAGAGAACATCAGGGCGTTAGAGAATGTTCATCTTGACGTAGGAAGTCTACCAAGCCAATCGTTACACCTCGCAGGAAGCTCGCCTGCAAGCTTCCCATTGTTTGAAAGCAATCTGCCCACACCACATAACCACTTATCACGTTATGCGACGGAATTTGCCGAAGTCAAAGTCCTCGGCCGTGGATCATTTGGAGAGGTGTATCACGTGAAAAACCATATCGACGGACAGCCATATGCGGTAAAGAAGATTCCTATCAGTCAGCGGCGGCTAGAGCAATTGCAAGATGGAAACGAGAACCAGCTGGAAAATATCATGAAGGAGATACGAACCTTGGCTCGGCTTGAGCACACAAACGTCGTCCGCTACTACGGAGCATGGGTAGAACAGGCGCACATATCGGGTTATGTACGAAACGGCCGCGAGGTCCCTGCCGAGGTTGAGAGTGAGAACACGCAAAGCGCCCTGGCCGGTCCCGAACCGAGCGACAGCGAAAGCTTCGGAGTCGTGTTCGAATATTCCCAGGCTTCGGCTGGTGGCTTTGAAGACGATGAGGATACCGAATCGATTCCTCGTGACTTTGACGCTTTTACCAATAGCCAGGTATCTACCTTTGGAGGGACGGATGACGATATTTTCACGGATGGGTTAAGTTACGACCCGTCCAAGCTGCAGATACAACGACGACATCGCGGCGGGCCTCAAGTTCCTGCAGTGGTTTTGCATATTCAGATGTCACTGCATCCCATTTCACTTAGCTCATATTTGAACTCGCAACCATGTGAGCTTAAAGATGACCAGATACCACGCCGACATTGCTACCACTTGGCCCCGTCATTGAGACTCATGCTGCGCATAATCTCAGGAGTCGAATATCTGCACTCTAAGGGGATAGTACACCGGGACCTCAAGCCTGCTAACATCTTTCTGTCGTGTCCTGATCACCGAGACTCTGACGGATGCTCTCCCTGTCAGTTAGATAACGAATATTCTTCCTGGTATTCCCACCCTCGAATCGGTGACTTCGGTCTAGTTGCCGATATCTCCCACTTGAATGAGCATCAGTCGGATAGTCCCAGTACCTCTTTACAGCACAATACGAAGGTGAACCATGTTGTTGGGACAGAGTTTTATCGCCCACCTTTGGTTCATCTCGCTGTAGATAATGCCGAGAGCTCAGAAGACACAGGCGGCTGTTACAAGGTTGACGAGTCCCTGGATGTCTTTGCGCTTGGGGTGATCCTCTTCGAGCTTCTGTATCGCTTAAACACCAAGATGGAACGCCAGTTCGTTCTAGGGGAATTGACGCGCTGTCAGCAGGATCAGTCAACAGGATCCGCTTTGGGACGTGCGCCATTCCCTTGTGATTTCGCACAGAAGATTGATTTGGGAGAGGAGAAATATGACGGGCATGTATCTATCGCCGAGGAATTAATGACCTGCATCAGTGGGATGCTGGAACCCTTACCCCAGAAGCGCTGGAGCTTATCCGACGTCAAGCAGCATCTGCACAATATTCTGACTGTCGCTCAGAGGGCACCGTGCCCCTAATGGGGTTTGTCACAAGCCATAGCTGTGCCAGGAGTACTGCATATTTGCTCATATATTGCATCATTGTACATCTGTCTCGATCAAGCGCTGAGTACATGAAATATATCGGAGACTTGAAACATCAAGTTGAAGATCATTGCGGCGGAGAATACTTTGAAATAAGCATATAACATTAGAATCTAACCCCCATTCCTCTCACTCGCAAGCTGTTGAATGCTGTAATACTGCTCTTGTCCCATTTATCTATTGTCCCAATGATCTACACTGGCAGAACCCAGCTTAGGGCCGCTTTTTCCTCAGTGACTGATCCCTGCTGGCCACGGCGAGAGTGATTTTATAGTGCCACCCACTCGCACTCTGGCTCGTTTCATCCTGGATGAAGCTGACCTCTCTATGTTGGCTGAACCAAAGTTCTCAGATAATCCAACACAGGACTTTGGAATAATTGAAAACAAGAGCCTTCGGTTAATAGATGGTATGTTGGTACCAACCCCAGTTCAGCCATAGGCGATATTGAGGTAGTTGATATTACCCAATGAACTTTCTGGACCGTATCTATCAAAGCCTCATAGTTAATCCTAATGCTTTAGAGAATGCGCTGAGGTACACGTATATAGGGGAGTAGCGAGGTTGGACCTTCTGAGTACTACACGTGTAGGATGTCCGCGGCCCTCGGTTTCGGTCGAGACGTCTCCCAGAAAGCTTTCCCCGCATCAACCCCGGATAAGATAAAGAGACCCTGATCTACAACCGAGGACCACCATATCCAACGCAGGAGTGCCGTTAATTGTTCTATTTTAATTCATCTGTCATTAAACCATGGCCCGCCAAGATCGCGCCCCAACAGCCCCATACAGCGAGCCCTTGCTCCCCCAGCTCGACGTCAAGAACCCATACTACACCGACCTCCACCACAGTCTCCGCGCCTATGTCCGCGACTACGTAGAATCATCAATTGCACCATACGCCCATGAATGGGAAGCCGCTGGCCAAGTCCCCGAACCCGTGCGCCGTCGCCACTGCGAACTGGGGTTCGGAATCGTTCATCCCCTGACCACGATCGAAGATGCCGCCGGACTATCCCTCCCGAACAACGTGCCACGCGAGAAATGGGATACGTGGTGCTCGCTCATTGTCGGCGATGAGCTCATCCGGACCGGATACGTGGGTGTGATCTGGGGACTGGGCGGTGGGAATGGCATCGGGTGTCCGCCAATTGCACGGTTTGGAACAAAGGAGCAGAGGCAGAGGTGGCTTCCCGGGGTGGCGAAGGGGGATATTCGGTTTTGTTTGGGGATTACAGAGCCTGATGGTTAGTGATGTTCTCACCGGAGTGATGACTACTTTTGTTTACTGATATGCCTGTTTGATAGCTGGGTCGGATGTCGCGAATATCTCGACGACGGCAAAGCGTGAAGGCGATTTCTATGTTGTTAATGGCGCGAAGAAGTGGATCACCAATGGTATCTGGGCTGACTATTGTACTGCTGCGGTGAGGACTGGCGGTCCTGGAAGGGGTGGTATTAGCTTGCTGGTGATTCCTCTGGCGGCGCCTGGGGTAACGCGACGAAGGATGTATAATTCCGGTGTTCATGCAAGTGGTGAGGACACTTGTTTGCCATTGAGATTCTTGCGTCCTTGATCGCTAATGTGCTATGTGCTAGGATCCACTTTCATCGAGCTGGATGACGTCCGGGTCCCGGTAGACCACCTCATCGGAGAGGAAAACAAGGGCTTTCCGCTCATCATGTCAAGTAACTCCACCTATTACCATACTGAATTATATCTGTTCATGACTAATACCGTGCTAGATTTTAACCCCGAGCGTCTCAGCCTCGCCTGCGCATCGTTGCGTCTAGCTCGTGTGTGCGCCGAAGATGCCTTCCATTACGCCACACAGCGCGAGACATTCGGCGCTCCGTTGATACAAAGACAAGCCATACAGTCGAAGATCTTCAAGTTCGGGCTCATGATCGAACCCGCATACGCGTTCATGGAACAACTTGTGAATATCCTCGAGCAGACCAAGGACAGACCTACCGACGATGTCCGAATTGGAGGTATGACTGCCTTGCTCAAAGTGATGTCTACCAGAGCCCTGGAGAAAAGTGTCAGAGAGGCCCAGCAAATACTCGGTGGTGCTGGGTATAATAAGGCTGGAAAGGGGGCACGTATTGAGCAGATTAGTCGTGATGCCCGGGTTCATGTTGTTGGGGGCGGAAGTGAGGAGATCATGATGGGCCTTGCGCTGCAGGAGGAGACGAAAGCGCTTCGAACGAGGCGTCAGGCTTTGGAGAAGAAGGCGAGGCTTTAGTGTGATGCTCCCAATTTCACATCTTACCGCAATGTACATATTTCTGGACCATGTAGTTAACACCGTTTCTGAATCAAGATAGCAGACAAAACGCAATATGCCTATGTTCAATGGAAGTAGTAAGTGCAATATCCCATGATGACATGAGGGTTGGAGTACATGTTCAAAAGACGAACACCTGAAAATGTAACAAAACAACGATGAAAACAAATGTTATACATCCTCCTGAAAGAACCCCAAGGAGATGACACCAAATGGCCCCAAAGACCAGAATACACACAAGGTAATCAACCGGCCAACTCACCCGCCCTTAACAAGATCCCAGGGGTTAACCGTACTTTGATGTGGCTCCGTGCCTTCAATCTGCTCGATTCGCCTTCTTATCACATCATAGTGCTGTGTCATATCAAGAAGAGCCTGTTTGAGCAACGGAAGGTTATGAAAGGCCTCAGGTCGAAGAGGAAAGGCGATCGCCTTGCCATCATGTCTACACTTCACCCTACCATCCTCTGAAGAAGCTGCGGTCATACAAGTCATAGTCCTTCCAGGCTCTGGCACCTTCGTCCATGTGACTGACTTTGAATGCTCAGACTCTTGCACATTAGATGGCGCTTGGGTAGTGGGACCACTCTGGCCCTGAGATGAGCTAGGCTGCAAAAGTAAGAGAAACCGCTCGGCCTCTTCATCAGACACGGGACGTGCGATGTGAACTTCCTGGCTGGCGAGGGGCTGAGACGACGGATCAGTCCCCTCTCTAGTACCAGACGAACTGCCGATATCTTCAGAGCTCTCACAGTGAATACCTAACCAAGACCATCAACACAAATACCAAGACACGCTAAGTGATACTATACTCACGATGAGCACAAGTATAGCGTCTACTAAAGCGACAATTCGCACAGGACCCATGGATCTTCGTGTCGGCTGTAGTATCAGAGCCTATGATACAGGCCTTCCATACGCCAAGATGCTCTCTACAGAAAGTACAAGGCTCGGAGGTTACGGTGCCTCGTGTTTGAACGAACGCTGCCAGGCGCGACAGGTTGTTCGTGAGTTCTCGTATAACTGGGCGGTTGTTTCGGTCTGTCTGCCAGTCTAGGGTTCGCTGGACCGGGAGATTTAAGTAGTATTCAATTGCTGGGTTGGGGTTCGGTCCTGCGTCGGGGAGATCATGAGGCCCTAATCCTGAGACAGCGGGCGTGTCTGCTCGGTGGGCCTCATTAGCATGCTGACTGAAGTGGAATGCTCTGGTTCAGCTTACGTGCTTGCTTGGAGCGCTTTGCCTTTCTGGTCGGAGTCGAGGTTGCGCGCTGTTCGGGTCGTGGTGTTGATATGCTTGATGAAGGCGCGTCTTTGGGGGTATGCTCCGGCTTGCGCTTTTGCTCGGTGTCCATTGGTTCAGGGTTCATGATGGGCATAGTGGAGATGAATACGATAAGATATGGAAAGCCGGAGGATTCGTTGAATACGAAAAGTGTTTTGGTTGAGTCTATCCCAAGATTTGAGTGGAAAGACAGCTGAAGGGAGGAAACAAAGCAGGATCAATGACAGTTAAAGGCTACGTGTTACTCATGTACCAAATGAAAGAATATGTGCTGTGTTGACAGCTTTGTCTCGGCATCATCACATAGCTTTGCACCTGTCGTGATGGCGAGCACGATCTACGTGTTTATTACCTCGTTTGCTCACCATAAACACAGCTGGGAGATGTATAACGACATCATATCATGTAGGCCAAACAAAAGGATTGTGAAAGCCAGCATTAGGATATAGTATATTGTATTTCACTGTTCCTGCTGTTTAATAAGAACATACAATGCAGATCAATATAATCTGCACAAGATGCTTAGAGCTGTTTTGAGTCTGCACTGATAATCGAAATGCAAACCTGATCATAGACTACAACTATGCCTACTACAGTACACATTCTATGAATGGATCTTAACATAATTTCAAGATTTATATACATCGAAAATGAAATCCACAGGGTCTAAGAGCGCTTAATCACTTAAAAACGTTAGACCAGATGTCTACAGCAAGTTAAATCTGAGTGCCTATGATCTACTACATTCAGGCTCGCCGAATAGGCAGACACAGTCTACCTTACTCATCTGCCTGGACCATTACGAATAGCTTCAAGGAACAGGAGATCCATACTGCCAACAGACTTGGATCAATCGCGCTTAAGGTCATTTCCCTCAGAACGATAGGGTTAAGGTAGAAAAGTATCAACTCACAACAATAATACATGTTCAAGAACTAGTAAAGCAGAAGCAAACTATACTCGGTCTGCCATATCAATTTGCTAGTAGTGCATTTCAACCTTTAACGAGTGAGGTGTCTGATGCTTGACGTGATTTGCTGTGTTTAGGGTATTGGCTGGTCAGGAGAGAAAGCACGTGGGTCCATCCCTTTCCAGTTACTTTTAAGCACGTCCTTATTGACTACAATGTGCGTACAAAGTACGTTACCACACTTAGAAGGGGGGAAATGATTTTTCAGTATCGTTCTTCCCTTCACATGAATGGGACAATAAATGAAGAACGGTTGAATAGTGGGCAGTGCTATGGAGAACGTCCATTGGTTACTCCAGACTACTTCAAAATACCCACACTGAGATAAAAATACCATAAACCACCTAGACTGACCCAGTCTTACATGTAGTGATCCCTTTTTAGGCTAGTGATCAGGGTTCGCAGTAGACCCTGTCAGGCTAAGCGGAAGCTCCCGCCTGAAAAGACTAGGGCTCCGACGTTAGCGTCGTGTATAGGATCACTAGTTTGATGGGCCTCATCGGATGTCTCAGTTTCTGACTGCATAAGCGAAATTGGACCCGCCATTCTGGAATGATTGGGTGCTTGGATTAGCCTCGCAGTAATCAGATTAAAGAATGATCCCCCTGAATTTTTCCCTATTTGCACTCGAGTCCATGGAGTTCGTATCCGTGGTTCGCCAGGCATAAAGCGGTTTATTCAAGATTCTTGATAAAGATCTGCTATGCGAGTATCCGTTCCAATTTCTATATTGTAAAACATCGACGGGTCCCAGACGTCTATAACAGGCACAAATGCACTGTCTAAGCTTCTGCCAAGTTGGCTTGGCTGTCTTGGTATTCCTCTCTGGGCAAGGAGCTCTAGCCGGTCTGGGAATCGATGTGAATAATGTCGGTATGGATGGGGCTTTAATACAAATGGATTAAGAAATACATCTTGACTCACTGCTCGGTAGACTCCTTGAAGCAGGCCGGCAAGGCAGTTGCTGCTCCCATGATGGATTTCTACAAGAAGAACGAAACTGAAGGCATTCCTGGAAAACTAACCGACACATGGTATGTGGCCGGAAGCATGTTCATGACATTGATCCAGTACTGGCAGGCGTCGGGCGACGACACCTATAACGCTGTCGTGTCGCATGATTTAATGTTCCAGGCGGGCGAGAATTATGATTACTATTCAAAGAATGTTAGCGACTGGCTGGTGCGTTGTCCCCTCCTGTGTCTGTAAGTGCTATACTACTGTACAAGATCATTAACTGTCGCCAGGGCAATGATGACCAAATGTTCTGGGGTCTCGCAACCATTACAGCCTCCGAGGCCGGATTCCCGGAGATCTCCGGCAAGCCCTCGTGGACATCTCTTGCCCGCGTGGTGTTCAACATGGAAGTAGAGCGATGGGATGAATCGGCCTGCAACGGCGGCATGCGGTGGCAGCTCTGGCCCTACCAGGAGGGCTACACCATGAAAAACGCCATCTCCAACGGTGGGCTCTTCGAGCTTGCCGCCCGACTTGCGCGATTCACTAAGAACGAGACCTATGCAGAATGGGCAGACCGCATCTGGGACTGGTCTGCGGGCTCGCCACTTTTACAGACCGATCGCTGGTATGTCGCCGACTCAACGTCCAATTTGAATAACTGCAGCGATGCAGGAGACCAGCAGTGGTCTTACAACTACGGGACGTATCTCGCCGGGGCAGCGTTCATGTATAATCATGTGAGTAGTTCTAGTACTCTTATCGGGATGTGGAGGCTGACTGACAATACCAGACGAACGGTTCAGACAAGTGGCTCAAGCGCGTCGACGGCCTGCTGGGCTCTGTATTGACGACCTTCTTCCCCAAGGAAGGCAATGGCGTTGTCCTCTCCGAGGTCGCCTGTGAACCCATCTTAACATGCGACCGGAACCAGCTGGGCTTCAAGGGATACGTTTCCATGTGGCTCGCGTTCACTGCCATTCTGGTTCCCTCGACGAGAGAGCGCATCACGCCGAAGCTGCAAGGGTCCGCCGCGGCTATCTCGAAGCAGTGTTCTGGAGGGGACCAAAACCTCTGTGGAGAACGGTGGTATTCAACTGAGCCGGCGGGCCCAACCGGTTTGGAGGTGCAGATGGCTGCGCTTGGTGGTATCACGAGCAATCTAATGCTCTTTGAGGCGCAATCACCCAAGACTATTGAGTCCAATCCAGATGCTACAGAGACTGAGATTGACCACCATAATGACGAGGAGCCGAATAAGCCTAAGCCGATCACTACTGGTGATCGGGCTGGGGCAGGGATTATCACGGCCGTGGTCGCAGTAGCGGTGGCTGGTACTGTCGTATGGATGATAATCCCGTAGGGGTTGGGCGTTGGCGAAATGGACAAGACCGTTCTTGCAACTGATAAAACAAATTATCATCCATACCACAATGTCTGTATACTCAAGATTATGACATAGCGTTTGTTACGTTTCCCTCTTTTGGTATTATCCTTACTTTGTCTGGCGTTCATGTATTCCATATACTGTGGGAATGGTGCTAGTTTGTTGCATCTGCTAATTTGATAAGAGATACAAAGGCCTAGCCACATCCATACCATATCGCACACAATGTGCTCCGCTGTCAGCGTATAGTACGCGGAGCAATCTATTTCCCAATTTCAATCAAGATTGGGGGCTTGTAATCCAATTTATATTCTTTCTCATGCGCATTCCGGTTAACATCAACCGGTGTATCGGTCCCAACCTCGATATATCGTTGTGTGGCCCATGCCGTGTCCTGGTGTGGTCTATCCTTGACTGTGTTGCATTAATATGCTGTATCTTAGGGTGCATTAGTTTCGATGGGATATACCGGTGCTTTGACATGAACTGTCATAGATCTGAGATAATCGATCGACAATCGATCTTCGGTGGGTCAGATCGCCATATGCTACGGTATATTAAGTGGGCTCGGCAGTACAAATAATATGCTGGTAGTTGTTTGAAGCTCTTCAGCAGCCCGAATTCAATATTATTTCATCTACTTTAACTCACGATTGCAGTAATACCGGAAATGGTTTTCATAATTGTAGACCATCGCTCTAAGATGAGGGTTTCGGCGTTCGTCAGCCCTACCAGAACTACAAGGAAGTTTTCTTAATACGTGCCTTTTCTTTGTGTTTGGCAACTTGAGAGGCCTTACTCTTTTTTATGCATCTTTAGATTACTCGCTGAAAGGAAAAAGAAGAAAAAGAAATTGATCCAGCATAGAATCTGTCTATACATGCCCTGGCGGTAGGGTTGGGTCTCCTAATGTGCTCCGACCAGATGGCACCGTCAAGCACTCTGTGAGAGGCGATAACTCCAAGTCGTTGTTCTCCACTGAGGGAGGCTTAACCAAGGAGCGCTGATCAGATAGGGTTGTACGGGTGTCCTGGCTCGGTAGAGTGCTGATCCCTTGTGGGAAACTAACACTGTCCCACACCTTGAATACGCGTCGACGGACGGGCGTTGGACTGTCATTATTAACATTGTTCTGGGGACCTGACTGTCCCTCTGACCAACACGAACAGTTAAATCTATGGCAGACTATCCGTATCACCGGGGTTATGGTGGGCAGACATGCGCATACTATACCCACCGCACATTCAATGACTGACCATATCGTTGATGGCCCGATGGTTCCTTATCCACAGGTCCGATTAGAGGAAGATTCAGTCTCCTGCAACAGTGGGGAAAGATACTGAAGATGCACATACCAGGGACATTGTGTGGTGAATACAGGAATAGAGTGGTAAATCGATAAATACTCACACCGACAACGCTTCCAGGAGGATGTGTCAGCATCAGTCCACCAGGTGGCCAACAGATTCCACGACCACTTACAAAATACCAAGCATAAAGATGCCAATGAGAGACAGACGGTAGAGGACGCTCCTGTGTAATTGCCAACAAGATCGAACGGGCAGCGATAAAATGGCAACATCAGTGAGAATATTGGGTAGTGCGACACAGTAGAAGGCTAGTTGCAGACTGATGCAATGACCAGGAATGTCGATATCCCACGCCTTGGCCACTGGCGTGCACTGGAAAATGGCTGCCGGTACGAAAGCAGTGGCCCAGAGCGTGACAACTGCACCACAGATCATCGCGCCCACGCGAAACAGCCGAGAGATGTTGGTGAAAATACGGCGATACATCATCAAAATTGAAAGCTTGATGGTCAAGAGATTTATCACATAAAATATCTCAAAGACATAGAGCAGCTAGACCAACATAGATGATCAATGATAAATTCCACCTCTGGTCCACCGAGAGGACTTACTTTGGCCACCATCAGCGAGCTTTCAGCAGGGAGATCCACCTTGTTGTATCCCAATCCATAATGAATCACTAACTTGACTATCAGCACCGACCTCGAAAGAGATCCACCAGGGGGCCCACCTTACTTCCCAGAGCAATGCCGGAGATTGTGAAGAGCAAAGCCTTCACACGAACATTTTGTTAGTATTGAACTTAGGCAGAGTCACCGACTGCGGACCTACCAAGCTTGCAACAATGAGATAGTCATCCACGCCAACAGTCACTTGGCGGATCTGTCGAGCGACGAATCGAAGCGCAATGCTGATGACGGCAAGCACATTGACGGCGATGACATTGTTCCGAAACCCATCCGACTGAGAGTTCATTGCTTATTCTTTTTATTGTTGTGGTCACCCATCTCAGTCAAGGTGGGTGAGGGGATGACGAAGGGATCTTAAATAAAACACAATCAAGGGAATGTGCCGGAAGGCTATGCAGAAAGCGAGGAGACATGTCCAGTTGCAAGGAGAAAGTATTAGACGTGTCTCAAAAACACACCATTATCATCGGTGATCCGTGCACATTCCCACCGAGCAGACATCCGAAGCTGAAGGCTATTGGCTCTTCGGTATGTGATAGTAGATGGAGATGATCCTCCGCACTCTTCACGATGTTCGCTATTTCCCGTCATTCGTGCACTGGCTCTTAGCCCACTGTGCGATTGTTTGCATTATGATACTTGTCAGGCGTGGCTAGATAGGAGTCTTAACTCCTCTGTAGATCGTATCCTGATTGAGCCCCCCCAGATCGCCAATTCCAACCACAAAAAAGGCAACTGTTCGGCATACATTCTTGATTGCCAATCATACTGCATATAGTTAGATTAGAGCCTACAAGAAGCTGCATATAAGAGACTATATCGCACGCACCAGGCCAGGCGTTTCACACGGTTCGGTCTGCCTCGTAACCTCTAAGGGCCGCTTGTTTCTGTTCTCTCCCATATACAACCTCCGCATACCATGGGTCAACGTTCGACCGATGCCCTCAGTAGCTGATCTGTTGCCTGCTCATGGTAATCCTGCCCCTCTGTGCATACATTGTAACGTTATGTTACAGCAACTGCAAGTTGTACCCCCAGCGTACAGGAGACCTTTTATACCTCTCGCACTTATCTAATATGGAGCAATGGCGTCACGGTTACAAATCAGAAATGTCTCCGAGATACTTCTACTCTAGGAAGCTAGAACGGCTGCTATTCACTTTGTGAGGAGCAAAAACTGGGGCACCCACTCTGGGTGCTGGACGCACCTCCCCTTCACATAAGGTAACATATCGAAGGACCTCGTCCTAGTTTGTAAAGAGCATAATCTTTGTACCAGTGGAAATAGGAGTAAGACCACGAGAAAGGACAAGCAGCTGAGATTAGTTGAAAGAACAACAAGCCCACGTTTGCATAGTTACAAAACGACGAAAGGAAATTGTAACAAAGAAATGAAACCAGCTGTCGAGCCCCTATACTTTCTTTTATAGAAGTCTATGTCAATCCCTTAGCTATATTTAATTGGTCAATATAATAGTATGTTGGTGTTGGTAAACTTGGCAATATTTTACATTCTCGATTTAGACCACCGTAGTTGCCTAGAGGGATACCAGGATCTTCTGTCTGGCCATTGACATAAATAGCCAGCATAGAGTAAAGGCTGCTTGTTTATAAGGTTCAAAATAGCCTCTACTATGCAATTCAACCCCTGCTCTATGTATTCAAATGCATTTACCAATGTTAAAGCTGTTTCCTCACGGCGAACCGTGATCTAATTTGGTTTGGCTCAGAATGGATTGGACAGATTGTGAATTTCAAAAAGCCCCTTTGTTCTTGGATGATTGTCGAGAAGCTTTTGGAAAATATAGAATGCTATATGAAACAGGATTTTGAAATAAGCAAATTCTACTCGGAATCTTCCAGTATCTTCGTCTGCGAAGATACCAACACGTCGATTCGGGCTATCATGAAAGTTCGAATGCAGTACGCACACCCCTTCTTTTCAAGTTTATTTCAAGCTAATGGAATGTAAAGAATTCCATACTATGAAGCTAGAGAGTTTCACTCGCATGAGAGGGCTCAACAAGCAGTGGGGAATATGTGTGCCCGAGCTAAATCTGAAGCTGAAGCCCTCGAGACCCTGACTATTAGGAAATGCCCTTCTACTCCTACTCTAATAGCCTGGAAACATGAAATCCAAGACGAAGATGGTTGTGTTCCTGGTGGCTTTGTGGATTATATTGTGATGGAGAGACTCAAAGGGATAACACTTTCACTGGAAAAGGTCCATCACCTAACGGCCGAGCGAAAACAATGTCTGCGAATAGCATTTAAGGAAGCATACGAGTAAGACACTTGGGGTTGTGTGACTTGGTATCTACGACTCACGGCTTTCTGTAGGAACTGCCTTCAACGTGGCGTTGTACACCTGGACAAAGCTGCCCGAATTCTCATTTGGGATGAGGAGAACGCGCGATGGTATGTAACTCATCTATTGATAAGAGTATTCAATCAAGTTTACGATCCATTGTTATTATTACAGCTACCTCATTGACTGGGAAATCTGGCGACGGCAAAGGGAAGGTGAGGAGTGGAATGATGGCCAATATCGATTTTGGGGATTGGATTAGTTTGTTTCAGTAGCACAAGAATTGATTGGAGTACTTGTCTTTTGCTTGTAAGGTCGTTAATCGGTCACCCACGGCACCTTACCTTGTGTAGACCATGTTTAGACGATTCTACGTACTTAAACGAGCCGATCATTAGGGTAACCACCCGCGGATGGGGTCGTCATGCTGCCGCTCAGCACCATATGAGGGCATGTTCTTTTGGTCGGCTGGTTTGCCGTCATAATCTTTGCTTGGGGTCGGAGGTATACATGACAAGTCCATTTCCATAATCACAACCACGTTGACCATTGTTTCCAGTTTCCTGCGTCAGTCGTTGCGTTGCCGTGTTGGTACGGCCCTGGAGGGTCAGGTTCCGACGACAGCCCAGCGGGGGATGATGGCTGGGACGGGACAGTGCATATCTGTAGATTGTAACAGAAGAACTGGTCAATAGCACCGGCCCGAACATGTTGTCCAAGACTTCACCCCGGACTCTATGTCTATCTTCACCGATAAGGGATGCTGGAACAACAACGCTGCCACCTGTGATAACTGCAGAGTCGTCAAGTATAAGGAAAAAGGTATTGATTCATACTACTGCTTGTTTGATTATCTGGTAAACTAATTTCTTTTAGGCCCTGTCTATGGTATCTTCCACTCAGATGCCCTGTTGGAAGCGTGAGTTTTACTAGCTTCAATAGTCGATTTTGTTAACATGTCTGATATGGAGGGATTCCGTATATTAGAAAATTGATATTTCACTGTGCATAGCTTAACTGAAACTTAACGACGATTTGGCTTATGGACTATCTAAATAAGCGATGCTGCTTGGAGAAGCGATATTAGAATCGTAATTCTAAATTTTGTATGGAAGAGTTGCACAATGCCACCGAAAAGATCTTCTTGATAGTATCATGCATTTGTACCTTGCCATACTCAATATCGCTACTATGTCTAGTCCTGCGGAGATTTCAATAGATAAATACAGAGAGAGAACACTAAGGAATAGTATACGAGATCTGTAACTCTCTAGTTTTTATAATCTTCCTTTACTCCTTTCGTATCCCGAAGAAAAACATTAACTAAACAGATATCCAGTACTATTATGTTTGGACAGAGGTCAAGTCCCGGAAGGCTGTAGACTTGTCATCATTTCTTGTTTCTTGATTGCTGGCTAAGTATTTAATTGGACTGCAAACGTGCAACAGGACGGCCGCGAGAGTTGGGTATATTTCTTGTCGACCCAACTGCAAATAGTGTAATACTATCCAGTGATAATATTATTGTAGGCCACTAGTACCGTTATATTACCAGTATATTACATCATGTAGTCGCACTTAGAGCTTGATAGGCGTATCTTGGGTATCGTACGGTAAGACAACACATGACGTCCTTTATCTTATCTCAATCAACCAACATCAACAACAAACTTGCATCTTCCTTCAACTCCTCTTTGGAACCTCCTTCACCACCAAACCATGGTGATCATTGACAATGATTCTCTAGATCTTCTTGGTAGAACCTCATGTCCTAGCACTTGATGTCTAGCCCCATCTTCCTCAGTCTACAGACATGGAGAGTCTTGAAGAAATCACCCGTCCTTGCGATCCCGCTGAAGGAACCGTTGATGACGGCTCTTCCAGGACCCCATCAGTTGCTGATCAGAGCTTGGCGAACTCACTAGTGGGTTTAAATATAGGGAGCGCAGATGCATCGTTTAAATCCACGTCCAGCAACAAAGTATCCGAAGAGCAGGCAGACCGGAAATTCCCCGATCAAGAAGACGGCTCGATACCCCCAACCAGAGTGCTCCCGCCTTATGCTCCAGTGCCATACAACCCACCGTCGGCAGCTGCAATAAGCGATGACGGAGGAGATGAGGATGAAGAGCCATGTATCGCAACTTCTTTCGAGAGAGACTCTACCCCTACCTCCCTTCAAAAGCAGCGGTCGATGTTCTTCGATAACGGCGAAGAAGGTATCAATCGGATGCATAAATTCTCTCTGTACGAAACGGCAACACGATTCTATATGGTCGGTATGGACTTGTCGGACACCCGCTTCAGGATTTTGAAAATCGATCGAACGACCGAGACAGGTGATCTGAACGTTGCTGAAGACGATATTGTGTACAGCAAGAGAGAAATGAGTCAGTTACTAGATGCTATTGACGATGGCAATAAAATATCTGGCGGCCTAAAGCTGAGGTGCAGCGCATGGGCTATGCTGGGATTCATCAGGTTTACCGGTACATACTATATGCTTCTTGTGACTAAAAGGAGTCAAGTTGCCATGATCGGTGGCCATTATGTCTACCAAATTGATGGGACCGAATTGATCTCCCTGACCAACCCAAGCACCTCAAAGCTCAGACCGGATAAGAACCCTGAAGAGGCTAGATATATCGCTATTCTGAATAACCTTGACTTAACTCGCTCGTTCTATTTCAGCTACTCTTACGATATCACCCACACATTGCAGCGCAATATCTGTCGAGAACGCAGAGCCCACCAAGATGGCTACCCGATGCCTTCTCAGCAAGACTACAACACAATGTTCATATGGAATCATCACCTTCTTGGCCCTGCCATCGAGAATCTGAAGAACCCTTTTGAGTGGTGCCTGCCTATCATCCATGGATATGTTGAACAAGCGAAGATGTCTATATACGGCCGCTTGGTTTACATCACTATTATCGCTCGTCGGTCTCGATTCTTTGCGGGAGCGCGCTTCCTGAAGCGAGGTGCCAACGACCTGGGTTATGTCGCCAATGACGTTGAGACTGAGCAAATCGTGTCTGAAATGACAACCACCTCATTCCACGCCGCCGGCCCCGACCTTTATGCAAATCCTCTCTACACTTCCTATGTCCAGCACCGGGGAAGCATTCCTCTCTACTGGACGCAGGAAAATTCCGGCGTATCTCCGAAGCCCGGTATTGAATTAAACCTGGTCGACCCATTCTATTCTGCCGCAGCGTTGCATTTTGATAATTTGTTCGAGAGATACGGGGCCCCGATCTATGTCCTGAACCTGATAAAGTCCAGAGAGCGCACCCCACGAGAGTCAAAGCTTCTTAAGGAATACACCAATGCCATAAACTATCTCAACCAATTCTTGCCGGAAGACAAAAAGCTTATCTACAAGCCCTGGGATATGAGTCGAGCCGCGAAGAGCCGTGATCAGGATGTTATAGGAACACTTGAAGAAATTGCGGGCGAGATTATCCCCAAGACCGGCTTTTTCAAGAATGGGCATGATGCAGAGTCTGGCCTAAGGTTACAAAATGGTGTTGCAAGGACAAACTGTATTGATTGCCTGGATCGCACCAATGCCGCTCAATTTGTGATTGGAAAACGGGCACTTGGCCACCAGCTTCATGCGCTCGGAATTATCGAGGGTACAACGGTGGAATATGACACAGATGCGGTCAATCTGTTTACTGACATGTGGCATGACCACGGTGATACCATTGCAATCCAATATGGAGGGTCGCATCTAGTCAACACAATGGCCACGTACCGAAAGATCAATCAATGGAGCAGCCATTCACGGGATATGGTGGAGAGTTTCAAGAGGTACTATAATAACTCGTTTTTGGATGCGCAGCGACAGGAGGCATACAACCTTTTCCTTGGCAATTATATCTTTTCGCAGGGTCAGCCAATGCTTTGGGATTTATCAACCGACTATTACTTGCACCACGCTAATCCAAAGTCCTGGTCAAATAAGCCACGACCCAACTATATACACTGGTTTACACCTGATAATCTTAAAGAAAAAGAGCTGCCGCCGCCACCATCCCCGCCTAAGGAGTCTCTGTCTCGATACGACGATTACTGGCTCGAATACTACAGGCCATTGGCTGTTTCATCATTCTCGAAGATCTTCTCCTACAAGATGAACTCTACGCTTCGGTATCTCCCCTTCCGTCCTTCGTCGGGGGCGCTGTATGATCTCAGTCCCTTTGTGGCTCGAATCCCAAATGAGCAGGTCAACAGAGAACGTCAACAGCAACAGCGGAGCGTCAAGATACAGGAGCCAGACTTTGTCCGAGATCGTCCGGAAAGGATACGTTTTGACAATGTTACACCTGGGCCAAATTGGCATCTCTCTGCTAATACAGGGTCTGGAATCATGAGAGACTCATCATTTGGGGCTTCGCAGCCCAGCAATTACACTCAGCGCTCCACACCTAGCAAAGCGCAAATCTCCCAGTGGACCTTGGGCCAATTGGTGAATGACTCCTTGAACCCCTCGGTCACATCCGCGGAGGCAGAGGAGTATGAACGCTATATCAATCATCCCTTGAAGGTACCTCTTGTCGTAACTTCTAGGGACGAGCTTACAGCCACTTCTGCTCGCGAGCGAGAATCAAACTTGGATTTGATCGAGTATGTCAATAAATGCAACATTGAAGACTCCGCTCTCAAGGCCAACGCGGATCTCAACATGGCAGACTACGCCGAGTTCCTCAATATATCGGACGAAGGACTCTCAGTTTCGGCAGAGGATCATGAAATGAAGCGTTACAAGCGCTATCGGCAATGGTTGAGGGGCAAGAGTCTTTTCAAGCAGCGAGTTGACATTTGACAGCTGTATATTTCTGCACCACGATTCATGAACATAAACTAATGACGCGATACCCACACGCACCACGTCTATATTAGCGTTCGCAAGTCTTAGCTTAGCATGTTAGTTACTACCAAACCATTATTTCCCATGACATGATCATACATAAGAAATTCTATAAACAAGAAACTAACCACCTACGCCTCCCCAAAAAAGCCCCCATCATTAGCATCAATCTCCTCCAACAAAAGACCACGTAAACTCTCCTCCGCATCAACCAACTCTTGCAATTCCTTTTCCAGATTCTCCTTCGCCTCCAACTGATCCTCCCCACCGTCTTCTTGAATCGAATGCCGCAAAGCGAACTTCAGCAAATAAACCACACCCCTCAACTCCTTCTTAATCCTCTCCATACCCGCGCCCTCACTCCCAGACAATCCACCCCTTTTACCCCGATCCACAATCTCCCTCTCCTCCTCACAAACATGAAGCCAGCACGCGCACACCGCACCCAATATCTCTCCCCGCCACATCCACACCCGCGGATGCGCATTCAAAACCACCACCCTTGCAACCTCCACGCCACCCAAAAGCAAGGGCGGATACGCCGTTCCAAACGGATTCGCCAGCGTATCATGCACCAGAGGCACAATCTCCCGCAGGAACTTCGTCGTATGGATCCCCAGCTCTCCCAGGACAGCCACCACCTGCTCCAGAAGCAGCGTCGAGAGACGCGGATACGGGAATGATGCCAGGTCCGGTGATAGAGACGTCGGGTTCGTGGAGCTTATGTGGTGGAATGAGGGGATGAGGTTTTCGCGGAGGGTGGTTGTGAGACGGGATATGTAGGTTGCGAGTTTGTTGGATTGTGTTTGGGTTTGTGAGGAGGGGGTGTTGGTGTAGGTTGTTTTTTGGAGGGTGAGCAGGGCTGGGTAGGCTTCTTTTAGAAGGCTGATGGAGTCGGGTTCGGGGGTTATGGTGGGGAGGGAGAGGAGGCAGGGTTTTAAGGCGTCTTCGAAGACGGAGGTTAGGTTTGTGCGGTGCAGGATTGGGGATTGGGTTTCTTGGATGGGGGTTAGGAGTTTTCTGAGCAGGGCGCAGCCTTGTGTTTTGATGGCGGTTGTGTCGTCGTCGATTAGGGCTAGGATTGGGGGGACGAGCAGGGGGAAGTGGGCTTCGAGATTGGTTTGGTTGGTAGGCTGGGGGTGGTTGTTAGTGCTGTGGTTATGTTGGGGAAGAGGGGGAAGACGTACTTTGTATTGCTGGATTATCCAGGAGAGGACGGTCATGGCGTAGATATCTTGGATCTTCCATGGCTTGGTTTCTGGGTCTAGAATGCTGGCGTCAAATCGGGGTAATGGGACCGGGTGGAAGTTCTTGCGTCCTGCGGAGGTGATAGCTGGGTTTCTGGTCTTTGCGAAGAGTGGTCTGATTCTGTCCTTGAGGATCCTTTCGATTACGGACCAGAAGGTAGCGTTCGTTTCTGGGTTTGTAGCAGTTGCTGAAGCGAAAGGATCCAGTAGGGTAGTGGCACATGTGAATGCGTCTTGCGGTGTCCACGGATCTTCCGTAGATGAGAAGCTGGCTAATGCAATCACAACGTCTGCCGCACTCTCGGCTTTGGATATTGGGAGTGATTCAGCCAATAAGGACAGCACGGACAAGGCAATCTTCGACCTTACTTGGTCTTCCAAGATAGCATCTTTCTGTTCTACTATGGCAGTTAGAACAGCTATTCATCAGGTCAAGCCGAATCTTGACTCACCATCCGATGGTTCTTCTATCTGAGCATAAACTGGGGACGGAAGTGCAGCATCGCTTGCCCAGGCATATATCTTATTTGCAGCAACCTGGTCAGCACCGGATAGGTCTTTCGGACCCCGGGCTTTTAAGAAGTTATATGCGACAAGGAGACTTTCGCATAGCTGAGGTATCATTAATATATGTTTATGTTCAACATAATCCATGCCGATATTTGCTTACGTCCAAATTACTTGTATTCCCTTGCGATGACACATCCTGCCATAGCAGATCTAATTTTTCAGGAAGTGCAATATTCTCTGTATGTGCTTCTGGGACAGTGGAAGTCGAATGCCGCTGTGACAGCGCCTCGTGGCACGCTTTCCGAAGTTCTTCCATTACCATTAATTACTAGCCGATGTTCACACACAGTTTGTCCTCCTGGTAAAAAATAAAAAGGGAAAAAGAGGAACACGAAGAAATGCAAAGGATATCATATGTAAATGAGCATTTGGTATTGGTTTACATAATGGGTGTGATTTGGAGATTCAAGGCAGGCGGTGGGAAATGGCAGTACCTAACACTTACACGTGACTGGACAAAAGGTATGTCGTCATTGTTGTCTCTCTTGGAGAAGACAATTACAACATCCTGCATATCGTGGAAGAATACTCCATGAACAAGCCACTCAGCGGATAAAATCACATTTCATTGATTAAGCATATATTGACTGTCTGGATATAAGACATTCAAGGTATAAAGCCTCATTAACATTTAATTAACATCGTTACACCTTGCTATCAAAAAGCTCCAATTCTGAGATCTCCACCTGGTCGTGGTTTCAGCCTATCTTAGCTGGCGCTCCGCGCACTGGTAGACCAGCCGCTTGATACAAAGCATCAATGCATTCCATCTGACAAATGCTATCCTCACCGGCGATCCAGTATGTGGGTGTTTTGCCTTTGACGACATCGACGAACGCCTCCAGCTGCCAGCGGTAAGTACTCCAATGCGAACTGCCACCTTTTCCACCGGTCGTCGTAACGTTGGCCCACAAAGGACCTCCTTTGTATTGTTTGTGGTAACGCGTCTGTCCCGTTGTCTTGTCGGTGACAGCGATGTAGTGATACAGATGTGGCATCATCGCATTGTAGAAGAAGATGATGGCCCGCTCAGTCTCCACTTCGATAGAAGGCAACTCCCAGAAGCGTGGCACAACGCCGGCAATCCACTGTCGTTCCATGTCGGTATAGATCTGGCTATGGACCTCGGTATCCCGAGGTCCGACGAAGGTCAGATAGGCGTACATGGCCGCGTCGACGCGTGGATCATCACTGGAGACGCGGACAGTAACAGAGTTGATGGCTTTAGGGTGCCGTGCGCGGAGAGCGTAACGAGTAAATGATAAGGCATACGTCATGTCCATGGCGGAGCCACCTAACGATGTCAGAGCAAGCAATAGTAGATTAACTTTTAAGAGTTAAAGCACTCACCACCTAGATCATACTGCCATCGGATATCTCCCTTTGGTACACCGGGACTAGCAGTCATCACGGCCTTCGTCCGCAGGATTCTTCCATGCTGGCCGGACTCTAGGATATGCCGCCATGCATGTGCTGCAGGGTGGAATTGCCAGTGGAACTATACGTGTGTCAGTCTACCCATTGCTTTCTACCTGAGGTGTCAGCATAGACCTACTGCTTCTTCAAGAGTCAATCCCTTCTCTTTTGCTAGGCTCACTAGGCCCTTTGCTTCATCTGCGTTCGATGTGAACGGCTTCTCACACAGCACATGCTTTCCAGCCTGCAGGGCCTTGGAAGTCCATTCATAATGCTGGCCGTTGGGGGTTGACACGTATACAATATCCACAGCAGGGTCATCCAAGAGATCCTGGTACGACCCGTAGGATTTGGTGATGTTGTACTGTTTTGCTGCCTGAGCGGCAGTCGCAGCATTGCGAGATGCAATAGCGTATAATATTACATCCGGGTGTGTTTCCACGGGATGGATAACTGATCCATCGTCACCAGCCATAATAATCTGCAGAAAAGCAGGGGCTACATACCTGCAACGGCGTTGATCTGCGCTGATGATAGAATCCCTAGCTTCAGCGCTTGGGGGGATTTACGGGGCTTGGAGAGAAGAAATGAAGAGAGATACTGATGGATGAAGGTTGCGCTTTGGGCGACAAGAGCCATATTTGGTATTAGTGTTTTCACAAGACACTGCTAAGTACTCCGGAATGCTGTGTAGATAGAGGGTGATTGTAAGACTATTATATTAGTTTACTGTATGATTTCGGAGGCCATCGAGAGACAGAAAACCGCAGCACAACAGTGGTCGACCGAAGACATTCGCAATGAATTGCATATTGGTAGCCTTATCAGCTGTACTCCTTTTACTACTTTTCCTATCATATGATGTGGAGCAGTACCTCAAAATGACGTTGGCGAGGACAGCAATCCCATGAATTCCATTGTGACGTCGAGCTTCGGCCAAGGATGATGTCACTTGGATCGTCTATTAAAGGGCTCCATTTCCCGGAAACAGTAAATCAACAACACTCACTATCTAGTCAAAGATGCCCTCCAAAGTAACCATCGACACGTCCCTGAAGGACGAAAAACATGCCATATCCAACGGCGACAGTCCCAGCATCACCGTGGTCGCTAAAGAAGCTCCGATTACCGTGAAACGGATACCCGCGACTCACATCAACGCAGCCATAGATAATCCCGGCGTCGCGCGCGCAGATGTCGCAGTATCCATTGACAAACCCTCCGGCGACCAAGAATGGGCCAGCAAGGTCCGGGGATACGTGCGTTCCCACAATGGCAACCATGGCATCCAACGAACTTACATATAGCTGACATACACGTGGATAGACCCCTCTCCAGCAACACGTCCTCTTCTGGGACCGTGACGGCGATGGAATGATCTTCCCATGGGATACCTATATCGGATTCCGGGAATTGGGTTTCAATATCCTCTTTTCACTCCTGGCGATGTTGATCATCAACATTAACTTTTCCTACCCGACTCGACTGGCATATAGCTGGCTCCCGGATCCGTGGTTTCGAGTTTACGTGCGCAGCGTACACAAGGCGAAGGTAGGTCCTTTTCCCCTTGGATAATAGCAGTTGGACTAACTGGTGCGCTCCAGCACGGTTCGGACAGTGGTACCTATGACCCTGAAGGCCGCTTCATCCCGCAGCTTTTCGAGAATCTGTTTGCGAAATGGGACTCGGATAATGATGGAGCATTGACGTTGCGTGAGCTGTTCCAGCTGATGCATGGCCACCGCTGCGCTGCTGATCCGTTCGGAGTAAGTGGCCATCGTTCTATAACTAGCATAAGTAGGTTATGCTAATCGCAAATCTTGTGCAGTGGGGTGCGGCTTTGTTCGAATGGGGAACTACATGGCTTCTCATACAGAAGGATGGAAAGGTTTACAAGGAGGATTTGCGTGCTGTGTATGATGTAGGTAACTGTTTTTCATATTTTTTATGGGTCTTTTGGATGAAGTGGACTAATCTGGGTTAGGGTTCTATATTCTGGAAGATTCGCGAGGCTCGGAAAACCAGCCCAGGTTGGACGCAAGGATTTGGACTCGGTGGAGATGGGTTTATAGGAAGTGAAAAGATATACTCATAAGGAGGCGGTTGATATACAGTAAGTTGCGAGGGTCGAGACTTGAGCGACGAGTGCAGAGAAGAGGAATAAACGTGTGCTATATACAAGTCCATGTAGAAACATAGAGCTTGAATATTATGTCTCTATTTGAAATGTACATACCGTCAACATCCTACTCATAAGAATCAGTAGTTTCCAGTAGTGCTAAAATTCATACTGGCACCATATATTATTTCAGTTATTCATTTTCAAGGCACATTCAACCCGCCGTCACAAGGCAAAGCGCCATTTCTCATAATCTGGACACATATATTCCATAGACACAACAAATTCAACAAAGCATAGACGCGACTATACATTATAATATCCAGGTACATACACCGCTGCCTAGAACCGTATCTCTCCAGCCTGACGTTGCTTCCTTCGTTACAATTTCATTGCGAGACAATATATTCATTCGGTAGACGGGTTAGGCATGGTAGAAGTCTCAGGCCATTTGCGGAACAGATCCGCCAGATGGTCAATGGGCGCTGCAAGAAGGCCCACAGCCGTCTCATACGGCGGCTTACTCGGAGCACTCGGGTGAGAGCGAGAAGGCACAAACATCTTGGTTCGACCAAACGACTCAGAAAGCTTCTCACTTTCTTCCGGGGACAGGCTCTCCTCTAAGGCGGGCAGATCCGTTGCTTCCTCTTCCTTGATATGCGACACGAGGTCCTCCATCAGGGCCTTGAGAGTCGGGATGAATTCTGCATCTGAAGCATTGAGATTCTGGAACTTTTTCAATTGTTCCTTAACCTGTCCTGCTGTGAGCTTCATTGTCTGGGTGGGATTTGTGTCGTATAACTCACGCTCTGGTGCTCCCTGCGATCCTTCTCGGCCAGAGCTTTACCATTGGCGACATTCTTCTCCATGGCGGGATAAATCACGAGCTCTTCGCCGATGGAATGACGAGCTAGTTCCCAGGTGAACAGGTTCTGATACCTTGTCTGCTCATCCTGGTCAGTTGATTGGGTGATCCGGTCATAATATTGTTCCAGTTCACGGTGATCCTCTTTGATTGCATCGCTAACACGGGGCGCCATTGATTGTTGCTCGAGAAGTTGTATGTCACTAAATATAGAGCACGGGGTGAATTGACTTGATTGCTAGTACTTGTATGGGTAATAGCCATACTGCCAGAGCAGGTCTTTAGACCCTTATATCCTGCCCTTCTGCTAGCAATCCAACGGTCAGACGCACACCTCAGTGAGATGTCATGGCGACGTTACAAATGCCACACAGCTAATTGGGCCATTCAATATTTACCCCAGAAGCCACCATTACAGGTGTATGAGTCGCAGGCTCGTCATTCTCTGCTTAGGTCACACAGCTCGCCCCAGGCCTCAATAGTCGGTGCATCTCTTCCATAGCTACAGGGTTCGAAGATCACGAGGACAGTCGGGTCCAATAGCAAGTGTGTGTTTGTCATACAACTTTTTATGGCCCAGGAGCCAGTCGTTTTGCCTTGATTTCCAATAGCCGGTCCCTGTGATGGATCTTCTGCAGGCTCTTTGGGGGAATTTTAGGGTTTGATACAAATGCCGAGCGACCCGGACCATAGATCGCGTCGGAACAATGACCGACAAGTGATGTAGGAGGAACATTCGCCAGAAGATAGACATGGGTGATGAAAGATGTAAAGAAGGATGTGTGACGTAGAGTGCCGCTTTACATCACTAGTTAGTAGGCCTTTAAAGGCATTCCTGAGGAAAGCTGAGAAGAACTGCAGATTACAAAATACTAGACACTAGAGGCTGCAAAGGATAAGCTATTTCAATGCTTCAGAGCCCAGAGACTGAATTCTGAAATAACATGCCATTAGCATATTACTTCCCATGAAAGTAAAGTTGTTTGTGTGAGCATCACCATTTGGGATAGGGTCTTATTCGGATCTGTACCCATCAACTGGTGGCATATTTTGGATGAGTATCAACGCTCCTATTCACGATAATATATCATATGTTGTCACTGAGAAATTGTTCCACAGAGGCAATAATCGAGAGACTAATCACAGATTCTGCATACTAATTCCCCTTTGGCAAAATAGCTTTTCCATGTTGCGGTACTCTCCAGCTATGTGCCGATAGGACCTTAGTCAGATTAGCTCTCGAGACTATCTCCAGTCAAGTATCAGTGCTACCACATGAGGATAACATAGCCCACACCATTGGCCTAAGCCTCTAAGGCAATCGGACATTTTCCGTATCCCTGAACTCTGATGCGGATCTACTCTCACCACTAAGATCTCCACTGCCTAGTCCTATATAGGACCGCCATTATATACTATGTAGCACAGCACCCCGCGCCACTTTCTAGCCATTGGCACAAGGAAGGCTGTTCCTAGAAAAATACTCGTAGCCAAGGATTGCTTTATCTTGGCTGTTGTTTTGCCAGCGTCCTCGTTATCATCATGACGTCATGTGTATACGCATCCTTCATTCACCACCAAAGACGCATCTTCACCGTAAATCAGGGATATCATGCTGGTCCTCTTATAGTAGTGCTACTGCAGACATAGTATTCTGGTCTAGAAAATAGCAAACATTTGAACCTGAGCTTTAGCGGTTAGATACACTCCAAACAATCAGCACTAGCTTCCTGTTCAACACTCAACATGGCGACGGAGAATGAGAAGAAGCGCGGGTTGATTATTGTCTCGAACCGTCTTCCACTATCAGTCAAGGAAGAAAACGGCACATACAAGTCCAGCCTATCCAGTGGTGGCCTTGTAACAGCCTGTCGGGTCTGACAAAGTCAACGAACTTCCGCTGGTTCGGCTGGCCTGGCAAGGCTATCGAGGACCCAGAGGAGCAGAAAAAGGTCTCAGATGCCCTGGCAGAGAATAGCGCAGTGGGCATTTTCTTGGACGAGCAATTGGCGCACGACCATTATAACAAGTTCTCGAGTATGCACCTCTCCTCCATACCATATCTATCGCCCAGTCACACTCACACACTAACCACCCATAGACTCTGTTCTCTGGCCCATCCTCCACTACCAATCTGGGGTCGCCTTCAATGAAGACGCGTGGGAGGCATATCAGCGTGTGAATGAGATCTTTGCTGATACCGTCGCCAAAGAAGCGGCTAACGGGGATCTTATCTGGGTTCATGATTACCATCTATTGCTCTTGCCTTCTCTCTTGCGTGAGCGACTCAAGAAGCAGGGGAAGAACTGCCCGATTGGATTTACATTGCATACGCCGTTTCCGGCGGAGGACTTTTGGCGGGCGATTCCTGTGCAGAAGGACTTACTCAAGGGCTTGCTTGCTTGCGACGTGATTGGCTTCCACACGGATGAGTATAGGCGGAACTTTACTGAGAGTTGTGCACGTAGTTTGTGAGTCTTGGGTTTCTCTTTATCTTTTTTTTTTTTTCGTCGGAATCTCCTGGTACATGTGCTGATAAAATTACAGGGGCGCGAATTCTGAAAACGAAAGCCAGCTTGAATATGAAGGACACACTGCCTGCGTTGGCACATTTGTGGTCGGGATCGACCCCCAGAAGTTCAATGACTCCATGCAGGATCCAGACGTCCAAAGGCGTATCAAAGAGCTGGAAAAGCGGTATGAAGATAAAACCGTCATTATCGGTGTAGATCGGTTGGATTACACCAAAGGTCTAGTTCAGAAGCTCGAGGGGTGGGACCATTTCCTGAAGACCTATCCCGAGCTGGAGGGAAAGGTCACCCTGATCCAAGTAGCTATACCCAGCCGTGAGGATGTGAAGGAGTATCAGGAGCTTGAGAAGGAGATTTCTACGCTTGTCGGCAAGATAAACGGGGAGCATGGTATGGAACCCACTTCTTCTCTCTCGGGCTTTGTGCTAAATAACGTTAGCTACGCCTGATGGGACACCGCTCATTTACATGCACCGGTCTGTATCTTTTACTGAATTGACGGCCTTGTACTGCATTTCTGATATATGTCTTCTCACCTCCCGAAGGGACGGCATGAACCTGGTTGCATCGGAATATGTGGCTTGTCAAGAGAATAAACATGGCGTTCTTGTGCTCTCTGAGCTTGCAGGCGCTGCATCCTTCATGTCTGAGGGCAGCGTTACCTTCCATCCCTCCAGCGTTCAGGAGCTGTCAGATGCTGTCCATCAAGCAATCACCATGGACGAGAAGGAGAGGAAGGAGCGATATGAGAATCTACGAGACTTTATTACCACCCACACAAGGTAATTTAGGACCTCATCCTTTTTATCCTTTGCTGAGCTAACTAATGTTTCTGTGAATAGTGCTAAGTGGGGAGAGGCCTTTATTCAAGCTCTATCTCGTCATGTCGAGAAGTAGGAGCTTTCGTTTTCTGTCTTTTAATCTCGTTCATTCTAACTCGTCCACGGGGTTCTTTTTTCTTCTTTTTCGTTTTCTCTCTTTTTCTCTCTTTTTATCCGAAGCGGCTTTACTTTCCATTTTCATATGATGCATGTCTCGTTTTTTTGAGCCTGGCGAGAGTGGCGAAGTGTCATAATGTAGTCGATATTAACTTGATTGAGCTCTATCGTGAGACTTCTTTTTTCCCCTTTTTCCTTGTTTATCTTAGTCGTCACGCAGTTGAATGGGATATGTTGGTTTTAGGGCATGACAATGCTTGTATATGCCTACAAAATAAAGCCTTTTCAGTGCAAGTGTCCATAGACGCTGTCTACTTGTTCTATCTTACAAGCATGATATCTATTCCACTCTCCTGTCCAAGGAACTTTAAATCCAAGGGCCTATTTACATGTCTACCCATATACACATCGAGAACAACAGACCACCACTCATGAGCTACCAATAAAAACCGCAATGCAAGTAGCATTATCACTACCCGGCACATCCGCAGTCTCGTCCACAATATACTTCGCAGACTCTGTTGCATTCAACCCAGACTGGTAGCACGTTAATAACCCGTGCACGATAATCTCATCGTCAAGCCCATTAGTCACGCCATCTGAGGTTAAGATCAAAACGTGCTGGTTCCCGTCATTCAGGTCGACTCGTGTCAGGTACGGTTCATTCGAGAGAAGACTCCGTTGCTCAGTGGACGACGTGATATCAGCCCGTATCTGCGCTTCATTGAGCGGGCCCGTCCCCGAGTTAATTAGAGGTTCCTTATACTGGAGATCACCCAGCGCCCGGGACATGTTCAGGGCACCTGTATTTATCCCCGTGTCAGTGGGAATCATGAACTGAATCTTTATTCATCGCACACAGGAACACTCACCTAGCCTTTCCGTCCCACTGTCCGTGTTGACCACACCCCCGGCATCCATGATTCGGTTCTTCTCGTCAGAATCGCCCGGCTTATGTGCCCTCGTTATCCGACGCTGTGTGGCAGTTAGATTAGGTCCCGTCTTCCCGGATGTATCAAATCGCGCATCACGTACGATATTAGTAGCCCCCTGACTCGAACCAGTATAATCTGCCAGTAGAATATGCGAATCACCCAAGTTGCCCACGACCAGAAAGCCCTGCGTCAAATTGACCAAGGCCAACGCAGCAGTCGACCCGGACGTCGCGAATTTCTCCTCGCCGTCGTGGAATCCTGTCAGCAGCTCCGCTTCTTCTTTCTCGATCGCTTCTTTGATGGCCTCTTCGTACCGACCGGATTTGAACTGCGGGCTTTCTTGTAGGAAGCGCTGGATGGTTTCATTAGCGTGTTTGGAGACTTTACTGGAGCCACTGTGGTTTTGGTTAGTTGGTTCATATCGAAGAAAGGTAAGGGGGTGGTATGTACTGTCCGTCGTAAACTGCGAAGAAGGCGATCTTGTCGTCGCCTGGGTTCGTGGAGAAGTTCTCGGGGAGGAGGAATGTGTATTGGTCTTGTTGCGTTGGTCGGGAGCCTATCGTCTATTGGGGTGTGAGTGTTGTGTTTCTTGGAGTTGGGAGATATGTGAGCGAACACTTGCGGCCCCTGCTTCCTCGATCGTTATTGTGCTTGAGATTGTAGTGGTTGTGGTGCTCATGTTGCAAGTCCGTTCTTCACGAGAAGTATTTTTGTGAGTGATTGTGTTGTGTATTATGTCTATGTCTATGTCTATTTATGTGGTCTTATAGGTTCGTTGTCAGGGATAATCATGGATTGACGTTGGTCTATGGATGGATGTTGATGCCGAATCGTGTGGATTTCATCTTACGTCAACGGCCAGCCACGCTTCGCTGTATGACGCTATTTTGCATGGTCTCGCTCCACTTTTACTTTCTTAGGAAACCCTGTTGCTTAATTGTGCAACTAGGGAGAATATATCCGGCAGATTGCAACTTGGGCAGCTGTTGCATACTCTGTTGACTGCTATAGGTTTTCTCACTTCTTGTTGTGTTTAGGTGGTTATGTTGTTGTAGGTTGACTCCGTCACTTCGAGCGTATGTCCAGCTCTTCCTTTCGGCTTGACACTTCTTCCAACGCCTTTGCCTTATCTGTGATCTCCGGGTGTAGCAGCTGCCACCGAATCACCATGTCCAAGGCCTTACTCATCCAAGGTCCTTTCGGAGCTGCAAGGTGCTGGGCAACCTCAACCCCGTTTACGATGGGTTTCATATCGTAGACGTTCTCCAGGTTGTGTTCTACGAGGTATGAGAGAAACTTGTTGTACTCTTGGATCACTACCAAGCACATATGAGTTAGTACAATCGGAAAGCGAAGGACAAAGGGGGAAGTATCTCACCTTTGTTGAACTCGCCTCCCTGCGCGACTTCTTGCAAGATCGCCAAGGTACAGCAAAGTCTCCAGTCCTTGTTCCATGTACGGATGTATAATCCAATTTGCTGTCTAATCTCTGCCGCGGTGCCACTCATGCGCTCCTCCAGAAGGGAGGATTTCACGCCCACGATAGAGCGCCAATGACAAGCCGCATCACGGAGTAGGTTGATCGTTTTGTTATCAGCGCGAAGGCTATCCTTAGCGACTTCCGCCGCGCGGGGAGGAAGTGGCTTTGCTTTGGGTCCTTGCGCCACGCGATCTGGCACCGTAGACCAGGGTGCGAATGCAGCGATCACCCAAGCATAATAAGCTTCTTGGGCGTCGCGAATAAGTAGGTCGCGCACACGTGCGATAGGTATCGAAGTGTCCTCGGAGTGTAATAACTCCTGCAGAGCATTGTAGGCCAGAGCCCAGGAAGATGTATCCACGCCGACATCATCTTGGTGGTTTGCAAAAATCGTCTGGTATAGTTCAAGGCGGTCAATAAATTGTAGAGCACCTCGGGGATCCGGTCCTATATGTTGTGAGTAGGTAGAGCATGGCTGCAGATAGAGGCTCTATTACCTTTGAGCATCTTCGTCATTTCGGTCCCCACGCGCTCTCTACTGATCTTCAGTTTGAGTGCTTCACTGATATCCTTGTTTTTCATGGCGTTCTCCGTATCTTCATCAATGCGATATCCTAATCGGCTGGCAAACCGAATGAGTCGCAGTACACGTAGCGGGTCATCCTTAAAGGTTTGATACGGCTCCATTGGTGTGCGGATTACTTGATCTCTCATATCTTCAAAGCCCCTCCGAGTAAAATCCTCTACTTTGGACTCGTTCAAATTATAAAAGAGGGCATTGATGGTTGCATCCCGGCGCATCGCGTCCTCCTCGGCCGTGCCAAACTCCATCTGGGGATTGCGACTATCATCCGAGTAGGTTTCCTTCCGTAGGTTGACCAAATCGATATCTAGCCCAAAGATCTTGGTAGTGACCGTTTCCAGGTGCTTTGACTTCTCTGGGTTAGCCTCAATTTTATGGAGACTGACGATAGCGTCCTTGAGTTCGCCATTGTTGTGGTTCTTCTTATACTTCTGCAGGTTTTCTGGGATATCTAAGTAGTCTTTAAGCAGAAGGCCGAATTGGTAGCCTGTCATGTTGTTTATGCCCACATCGATATCATGGCTATCAATGCCGAGCAGCTTGTCCCGCACCCAACCTCCTGTGAAACGCAGTACCGTGCGGGGGGTGTCCGCCGCATTGCCTCCTTCTGCAATCGTTCGTTCTCGTATATAGTCTGCGACATCTAGAAGAAGGGATTTCAAGGTGTTCTCGAGGGGCGTGAGTTGAATTATGGGAAGCGGCTGGTCGGATATCGCGGCCATTTCGTCCGAAAGGTTCTTGCGCAAGGTGGGGGAACAAATGCGTCTTCTTTTGGTAGCTCTCTCAGGAGAAGAGTTTCTAGATATCTCGTGGTTCATGGAATAATTGCACACAGTTGAGCGCCAGCGACAGATCGGTGGGTTTGATCTTAGTGGGGTGCTTCTGGTACTAGGCGGAATTCTTGTAGAATGAGTGGAAACATAGACAGTTCGCAGAAATTGTTGGGTGGGCTGAACTGATATATCTCAGGAAGGATGCGTAAAAAAGTGGGTTTGAACATGGATCGTTTCCATGACAGGAGGAAGTTACAGTATGACTCTATGGAGTTTGTTGTCGGTGCCCGCATTGATGACTCGAGTCATTCTGCCCGTCTTTTTTTATACTTTGCGATCAGGTAGCTGGGACCACCGCCTTCCGCCTTGTCGGCATTGAGATCATTTGGTCCTGGTCAATCACTGAAAAGAGAGTTAATGGAACCTGAATGAAATTTATTCCCCTTGCAGCTTTTTGAGTTTTCACTATAATTCCCTATGGGTCTCTTTGTCTCGAGAGAAATATATTTTCCGTAGCTTTAAGTCTACCTCGACTACCTGAAACCTCCATTTATTTAGTAAATTAATTATTGCATCACGTTGCGTTGTTGTTTCTGCCGCGGTGACTTGGCTTCCATTTAATCCCGTCAACAACAACATCCCTCCCCTGACCCTCGATCTCCGTCTTCCACTTTCTTCCTTCTCTTTACACCCACGTGGTACTCGAATACTGACTGCTCCTGCGTGCATCCCCCCACCTCCCTTTTAATCTTTCTAGCTTCGGTCCATGGGCTCTAAAGTCCCTTTCATTTCTACCAGTCCCGCTTCGCCATCCACTCGGAGTCCATGACATCGCCCGGAGATGCTGCTCCGGTCAGACCTCCGCCGTCCTTCTCGCCCGGCGTTCCGCGAGTCGCATCCAAGACGAGATACCCAGATCAGCGTTGCGACTCTTCTCCAAATCTAGATTCGGACCTAGTAGACTCCAGAATTGCCACCTCTCCCCCGCAACCCCCTCTTTCGGCCAACGCTGCGGAGCTGCCGATTAGATCCGCATCGCCCCATGCTCGATCTATACGATCGTCAACGCCGCAATTGGCCCGATCGTCACTAGGTTCTCCGACGGAAGGACGGCTGGATGGTTCTGAAGACATACGCTCTTTGATTATACGCTCATTCTCCCCGGTAGTCGGGGTTTACGCATCGGTCGATACTGATGAACTAGTCCGGCAAAAAGGCTTCGCGGGCGGCTTTTGGGAGCTGATTCGCCCGTTTGGAGAAACGGTTCCGGGGAAGATTGTGGTACGCGATAGTGTAGGGGCAAGTCGTGGTTGGGAAGATTATGGAGTCCGGTTTGTCGACTTAGGGGGCAACTCACAAGTTCCGTCTGAACCGAGAACGCCACCTCTGACACAATTAGACGAAGCGCTACAGAGGCAATTGGAATCGCCAGATGATCCACTGGGAGGCATACTACGGCCAAAAGACTTTCTCAATTTCCCGACAACATCCCCATTATATAAATCATTTCTACGGCAGCTGCTATCAGTCTCTTCACCAACTCCGCATGAGACTTTCCGCCACCCCGTGGCAAGCGTTATCGTCATTAGCTCACGAAATACATCTCCCCTTGAGACTTTACGACGGCTATATGCGGATACCAGCAATGGAGATAGGAAGCTACCGGAGTGGGTTCATCCCGAGTACCTCCGATACTATGTCCTGGTTCATGATGAGGATCGTGATGACATCACGGAATCAACGAAACTGTACGACCAAATGAAACGTCACTTTGGCCTGCATTGTCATCTCCTGAGACTACGCAGCAACCAATGTGTTGTGACCGATGACGACAGCTGTCAGGTGCCCGAAACCGAATGGCTTTCGCCTGCAGAGCGTCTGTCGGGTCGATCAGGTAGGTTTTTAAAAGTTCTTCAGAGAAGAGACTGGTTTCATGTACTAGACCTAACAGCGAATAGAGCCCCTAGTAGACCTAGATACAGATGGTCTACCGTATCTTTTCGAGTCCGATGTCACCGCCATCAAAGCCTTCGTCCGGGAGTTGGTCGCTCAGTCCGTGATACCGTATATGGAGAACCGAGTAACTGTTTGGAATGACCAGGTAGCATCACGAAGGCGTGGCATCAGTGGCCGTTTCATGTCAATGTCTCGACGGTGGGCAGGTTTCGGGTCTGGTTCTCGGTCTAGCCTTATCGGTTCTGGTGGTGGAACCAGTGGAAACTACGACCTTGCTCATGGCTTCTACAAACCGGATGTGCCCGAGGCTATTCTCCGAAAGATGGCGGACTTTGCCTTCATGCTGCGTGACTGGAAGCTGTCAGCGTCCACCTACGAACTCCTCCGGTCAGACTATGCGAATGACAAAGCGTGGAAGTATCATGCTGGTGTCCATGAAATGTGTGCTGTGAGCATGCTTTTGAACCCTCTTTCCATGCCTGGAAAATCCAAAATCAATGATATCGATCAGATGATTGAAACTGCCTGCTATTCCTACCTCACAAGATGCTCAGATGCTCCTCATGCCTTGCGTTGTCTCTCCTTATCCATGGAATTGCTGAAGTCTCGTGGAGGGTCTGGAATCGAAAGTGCGGCTAGATGGGCCATGCGGGTCATGGACCTAGGTTTAGTCGGCTCTATCGGTCAGGCACTCTTCAGCGAAAGAATTTCAGCTTGCTATGCCTCCCGAAATGCAATCACCGGGGTCAGATTTGGCTCTCGGCACCGGAAAGCTGGCATGTGGAGTGTTCTCGCTGCGGACCTATGGCTCAGACTAGGGAAGCCATCACTGGCCTCTGCATCTCTCGAAGAGGCCGAACGCCTCTATGCGGATGTTCTGGACAGCAACGGCGCATTTCCCATACCGGAAATGCAAGCCTTCGTTGATAACTTGAGACATGCAGTGAAGGTTGAATATCTCGAGTCTAGAGGCTTAGATACCGGAGATGAGGCGGCGACGGCCGATCCTCTAGACGCTTTCGAGCCTGAGGAGACGAGCGAAAAGCTAGACAAGCGGAAGAATCGGAAATCGCTGATCGCTAACCCGATGGACTCTGGCGGTCTCGGCCCTGTGCAAGGAGCGAGAGATGATGATAATCCTGCAAATGACGATTTTGAACGAGCTTAAGGATGGAATGGCTAATATATGGGCGTACAAAGAAAGGGCATTTGATAGACACATGACCAATCTAATTATTTTTATGTCTGAGAGTCTTCTTTATTGAATGCCCGAGACGAGAGTGTATGTAACCATGAAGAAGCAAAGAGCGTCGATCTCAGGCACCGCAACTCGTACGCCGTAGTGATGATGTCAGTTCATTCATGCAAATTGGCCCGTTATACAAGCTGCTTTCCAGCCGATAAAGTCAATGTCAAAATTAGAGGCATTTATATATTGCTCCACTTTCGTTCCATACTTCCCAATCTATTCGAGTTACAAATGTCATGGACAGAACTTCGGCTTGGATATAAGCTCGTCACATGAAGGGCTAGACGTAGCTATACTGATCAGGTATAGTCACGTCACGTGTATTGATCTTATCGCATATCAATGATCACTACAGTAACAAAACAACTACAACAGTTTGTGAACAACCCACCTGCGCCAGAGGAGCAGTCTGGCTCGCCAGCTTACAGAAACCAGAGCCTTATCTCCTCTTCATCTTAATTATCCACCAAAGACTCCAATACCACCATAAGCCAATATTTACAAACCCCAGCCATTCTCGACATGAACGACCTTCTCAACTTCATCCTATCACAGGATGCATTCCGGAAGTATGACAACTCACACCTCCCAACCTTTCCAACCCACGACAACCCAACACTAACCGAACCTGCTACCCAGAAACCGACTCCCATCCCTCTACTCCGACTTCGCCATACACCGCAAAACCAACCCGGACGGCTACGCCGTCAACGTAGCAGCATGGGAACAAGCGCTAACCAAAGCCGCAAAGCACGGCTACATCTCCTCCTCGCACGGCCAGCTCTCGACACCGTCTAAGGGGGCGAAGCGGAAAAGTGACCATCTGATTCTCCGTGCTGATAAGTCGCTGTTGCGGGATCTAGAGATCCCGGAATGGGGGCAGCCGGTGGCGCTGGGGGCTGTTTTGGTATGTCTTTCTTTCTTTCTTTCTTTTTCTTCTGGGGACGATGCAGGTGTGCTAATGTGCGTTTTTGGGGGTTTCAGGAGGAGGCGATGCAGAACCGGACGATTGTGCCGTTGCAGGTGTATAGGGTTAATCCTGCCATTTTGCAGAAGCCGCAGTGGCGGCTTATTGACCCCGGGGTTCTGAATCCATGGAATGTGATGAGCTGGGGGTTGAAGCAGTTAAAGGGTGTTGTTGTCGGGACGGATGAGTCTTCGCCTGGTTTACAGGGTCAGGAGTGGATTTTGGTGGAGAATCTTAAGGTATGTGTTTTTCTGATTAGGGGGTGTGGGTTAAGGTGCTAACTGTGAAACAGGAGGCTGCGGGAGGGATAGTCAAGCAGGTCATGGGACAGAGTCCGTCGAATGCCGACCTCATTTATTCTAAGGAGAGCTTTGTGAACGAATTTGGAACCATCCTAAATCATGACAGCGAGCTATCAGAAGCGGACTTTGATGTTCTATTGTTATATTTATCCCGCGACAGCGGGGCCATCGCATATGATGGCAAGGTATGTATACTGGCCTCTATATGCGCTTTCACACACTAACCATGCACCAGACAATCAAGTTCCGACCCTCAAACGATGCCCCAAAGGAAATTACCCAGCAAGATAGCACCGTCGCCTCTATCAAAGCGCTGATGACAACCATGACGAAACAAGTCGAAGGTTTGGAGAACAAAATCTCCGAGTTGAACTCAACCGCAAAGGCAGCTTTGCATAACAAGAACAGGATATCTGCCCTTTCAGCGGTGCGTTCTAAGAAGCTGGCCGAACGTAACCTGCAACAGAGGCTAGACACCCTGGCACAGCTAGAGGAAGTTTACTCTAAGATAGAGCAAGCCACCGGCCAGGTTGAATACGTCCAAGTGATGGAGGCAAGCACAGGTGTTCTTCGTGGCCTCAATACTCAGATTGGGGGGGCTGAGAGGGTTGAAGATGTGGTTGATGAATTGCGCGACGAGATGTCCAAGGTGGACGAGATTGGAAACATAATGAACGAGGCTGGTCCCCAGATCGACGAGGCGGAGATAGACGAGGAGCTCGAGGAGCTAGAGAACAAGGAGCGACAAGCCAGGGAAGAGGAGGAAGCAGAAAAGACTCGTCAAAAGCTCGCCGAACTCGACAACCTCGAACAAAAGGCCAAGGAGGCCGCGCGCATTGCAGCCTCAGAGCAAGATGTGGATTCCGAGTTAGAGGAGAGGCTTTCCCGGATGTCAGTGGAGGAGAATCCCGGCACCGCGGCACAGTGAGGTATAAAATATCTCTATCAGCAAGACATTTCTGGCCAAGGTATCCTACACGAGAGAGAAAGAAATGCGCATGGGAATTGGACTGGCTATCCAGGAAGCGTATAAGGCTCTTGACTATCACCAGGCTCCTGTGCGTGTTGGATGTTAGAATAGGCGGCACCTGTGAGGTCTACGAGTGGCTGCTCCGGCTTAGGTATATCCGTTAAAATTGCAGCCTCCACGGGCTGCTCAATTGTGGGTGCCTCTTGCGATTGAACCGGAGCTGCGGCCGGGATGGTCGTGCTGACTAAAGCATCGCTTCGCTTTCGCGCGTTTGCAATCAATCGCTTGAAGTCGTTTTCATGGTTTGTCGACCATGCAGTTGCATCAAAATCTTTACGCATAACGGAGCCAGCAGACTCGGCGGAAGGAAGTGCACTCCCTCCCTGTGTGCGTTCCCAGACATCCAACTCATGTAACAATTCACGCTTGGGCTTGGGCGTTTTCGAGTCGCAGTTAGCGTTCCACAGGTTCATCCACTCGGTGTGACGTCGTTGCAGAAGGGGCCGTGGGCCCCAATTCGGTATACCCAAGTCTTTAAGCTTCTTCCGGAGCACATTATCTTTTAATAAGGAATAATTTATTGTGGGAAGTCTTTCGGGTGCTTTGGTCGGAGTTCGCGAGGCAGGCGACATGGGTTGCAATGAGCTATATTTCGGTCAGCACATATAGAGTATAAATCAAAGGCATCTAGACCTCACCCAAACAACATCTTTTTCGGGGGCGCTGGATCTCCTGTGCAAAGGTCTAAGTGTTGAAATACTGCTTCGTTTTTCATCCTCCGTTTGCAGATCGGGCAAGCAACCAGGCCGTCCTCTACCATAGTGCATTAGCCTTACGGTAAATCCATTGCATGTATAAAGAGGCTTACCAGGAACATATTCCTCATCCTGGCTATCCTCAACTACCTCCATAGTAGCAGAATCGATTGGCCGCTCCACGCCTTTAGTTCGTGACCGCGTCTGTCTCCCCTCCGAAACCTCAGTATTTGACCCATCCCGTTCATCGACCTTCCTTTCTTCGAAGAAGGCTGCGCCGTTACGTCTGCCTCCTCCCCATTTTCAGCCGCGGCACGTCTCGCCAGGCCCAACACACTAGGTCTTGCATTCTGAAACGCCTCGACAAGTTCTTGGACCGCCCAATTCCGCCGCAACTTCAGCTCCTGGTCCGAACTTCGACAAGCCGGGCATTTCCCTTCCGTGCTCAAACACCGCCGGATACACAGGGAGCAGAACGTATGACAGCACGAGGTAATAACGGGGTTATCGAAAAAGTCCTTGCAGACCTGGCAGCGGAGCGCGGACTCGAGTGGCGTCAGCAGCGACAACGGCGTTCCGAGCCAGTCGGTCGAATCGGGGAGGTCAAACGTCTGCTCCATGGGTTTGCGGGAGCAGATCGAGAATGCAACGGCAGGAAGAAAGAGGAATTCGTACGTGGCGAGAACCGGGGGGGGTTGAGGTTCGCCGCAACGCAAAGTAAATTGAAACAGCAAGTATTTAGTTGAACTGTTTGGGAAGGCTGCCAAGACCCGCTGACTGATACGCGTTAAGTGGTTTGGACGCGTCGACACTTACTTGCTTTCCCCCCATCATTCGAACGTATGATCAAGCGCTCTGGATAAAATGGCTGTCGCCGATTATAAGAGGTATCTGGCGGAGAATGTCCTCAACGAGCGCCGCACGGTAGGTTGTGTTTTTTCTTTCTTTGCGACATTGTTGATGTTCACCTTTGGCTGACATCAGGTGTTTTGCGCAGGTCACTTTCCGCTCGTTGGGTCGGGCTTTGAGGGTGCATAGTACTTTGGCGAAACAGTGGGTTATAATTTCGATACTTGCGTCGGTTTGCGACTAATCAGACCAAGGATGCTATATGATTTCCATCACAATGAGAACAGCAAGAAACCGCAGAGCGTGAATGCGACTTACATTATTACGGGCGTTCAGAAAGCACCCGCCCCTGCTGCGAACGGTCACGCCAATGGCGAAGAGAACAAAGGCGATGTATTCCCAAGCAGTCCGTACCTGAGTAGTTCAATGCCCAATCAGGATTCGACTCCGGATACTGTTCCTATGGCTTCTATTTTACTGGTGCGGGAGGAGGACTTAGAAGGTAGGGCAGCATTTGTCTCTCTCGCTTGATTCAAGTGAGCAAGTATTAACACTGCTCATCAGATGCAAAATCTACCTTCGAGTCCATATCGTCTATATATATTTACAGCCTGCAGCAGACGGTGTTACAGGATCTTAATGTCTTGACGGATGTCAATCGCGAGATGGTGAGCAACCATTCTCAAGAGGATCCTTTGGAGTACGGCGGACAGTGGGGTATGATTCAGAATAAGAACGTCAAGGTACTTCTTACCCTGGGACATCGCATTTATGGGAGGCATGGTGCTGATATGCGGACAGCGGAGAACGGGCGCACGGCCGGCCCCGGCGCCAACTGCTACTACATCGAAGCCCACTATACCCTCGAAACGGCCAAGTGAAGCAACATCGTCCCAGACAAAACCAGCGCCAAAGAAGGAGGAAAGCGCGGCATCGGAGCAAGCGTCCACACGGGAAAGTACGCCCTCGACCACATCTAAACCCACCGAAAAGGCCGCTCCGGTGAAGCGAGAAAAGAGCAACCTCTTCAGCTCCTTTGCGAAGGCCAAGCCGAAGCAGAAGAAGGAAGAATCGGCAACCCCGGCAGAATCAGTCAGTATAGCTTCCTCTATGATTCTAGGAAATATACTAATGGAATTTAGGCCGAACCTAGTGGTGCCGAGGATGGTTAGTGCTCTGATCTTGGTGTTTTGGATACGTTCAGATATATTGACAGATGGACACAGTTTTTGGCGGTGACGATGATGACGATGCCGACGAAGAACCGGAAGAGCTCTTCCCCGATAGTGGGAAGTCTGCATCAGCTGCTGCCACTCGCGAGAGTCGGAAAGAGCGCGAAGAGAGGCTGAAGAAAATGATGGAGGACGACGGTATGGCACCATAGCTTGCTGAGCGCTTGGCATAATCTGACCACACACAGATGAAGACGAAGACGAAGAAATGCCCGATGCTACAGAGCCACCAGAAGAAACCAACCTCATTGATCAGCCACCTCCGAAAAAACCGGAGCTCAAGGAAGAAATAACAGTTCAGGGAGGCCGTCGTCGCGGCAGGCGTCAAGTGATGAAGAAGCAGGTCCGCAAGGATGAAGAAGGTTACTTAGGTAAGGCTCTCAATGACTATAGCAGGATTCCAGCTAACCACTGCTGCTCAGTGACTGTTGAGGAACCCTCGTGGGAGTCCTTCTCCGAAGATGAGCCCGCGCCGCCACCGAAAAAGAAGCCCGCTGTGAGTGCACCCAAAGGCAAGCCGGCAGGTAAAGCTGGGCAGGGCAATATCATGTCGTTCTTTTCCAAGAAGTAAACTGTGGTGGATGGTATTACGCTGCGATGGTGGAGTTTATGTATATCAGTTAGCATATTTGCAAGCCTGCATGTTAGCATTACCTCGAGGACTAGAACATCACTCAGCATATCTAAGGCCGTGGTATCCACTTTGTTGCGGGGAATGAAAGTAGGCTACGATAGGACGTATACTGGATGACAGACAGAGATTCGGAGAATTAGATCAATGCTAATACAACAACTGCATAACCATAGTACGTTTCCCCAACTTATACCATGCAAAAGCTTCTTAGTGTACATATTTATAGAATGGACCGATATAGCATTGCCATCCATTCTTTTGGCATGTCGATCCTCCCGATGCTTTTAATTGTTTGCGGGGAAACTTCACTAAACCCTCATAGTATCGCCAACTATCAAGAGATCGACAGTCCTTCCTCCTCTTCCCAGTGTAACAGTGACAGCGCAATGTGACCCTTCATGTCTCCCAGGGTATTGATTCGGAATTTCTCCGACGGGATGACCCCTCCGATATTAAGTGTGGATTGAGATACAGCAGCATATAAATAAACAAACCCTTGTCGAGCTTCTCCGCATTCCACCTTCCGCTCGGCGTTTAATTTACAAGGGACAACACACATCCCAACAACCAACTTCTCTCAGTATTCTCCGTAGTCTCTGATTCTTGTTCCGGGCTGATCGCTTGCTCGGTATATACGCGACATCCTGAAACACAAAACTCACCTTCTCAAGCCCCGTCCATCATGACGCGCTCTTCAACAGCGCTGATCGTCGCCCTTGCAGCTTGCTGCCACGCGCAGGGCTCTGCAAGACTACGTGACGATCCTGCTATTCTGCGACGGGCTTGTCCAGACTATCTCACATACTCCACAGCACCACAGTAAGTCTCTATTCGATCTTGCGATTGCAGGTATCTTCTTCATGCTAAACCCTTCTCCCCCGCAGCCCCCCATACAGCGGAGGTCCTTTGAACCTACCCTTCCAACGACCAGCTCAGGAATGTCGCACCTTCAGCTCTCCAGCGGTAGAACAGGTCATTGAAGACATCACCTCACGCATAGAAGACAAAGATCTAGCTCAATTGTTCAAGAACGCCTTCCCCAACACCCTAGACACGACCATCAGATGGCACACAGACGGCTCCGCGGCGCAAGCATCACGAAGGGCCAAAAGAGCCAGCTCGCAATGGAACGGCCCCCAGACCTTCGTCGTAACAGGCGACATCAACGCAGAATGGCTGCGCGACTCAACAAACCAATTGTCAGGCTACCAGGCGCTAGCCAAGAAAGACAAGAACCTGCACAACCTCATCCTGGGCGCAATCAACACGCAGGCTGAGTTCGTCATCCAATCCCCATACTGCAACGCCTTCCAGCCGCCACCACCCAGCGGTATCAAACCCACGGACAATGGCCAGGACGACAAGGTCCACCCCGCATACGAGCCGTCCGTCGTCTTCGAATGCAAGTACGAGCTCGACTCCCTAGCCAACTTTCTCGCCCTCGGGACGGAATTCTACGAAAACACTGCATCAACCGAGTTCCTCACAGACCGCTGGTACCTGGCCCTGGACACCCTCCTGAAAGTCCTCGACGCGCAATCACAGCCGACCTTCAACAACGACGAGTTCGTCACAAACCAGTACACATTCCAGCGCACCACCACCCTGGGCACCGAGACCCTCAACCTGGCCGGCGTCGGTAACCCCCTGAACCACGGCACCGGACTCATCCGCAGCGCCTTCCGGCCCAGCGACGACGCCACCATTCTGGGCTTCTTCATCCCGCCCAATGCCATGATGGCCGTCCAGCTGAAGAAGACCGCAGAAGTGCTCCGCAAAGCAGGCGGCAAAGCCGACCTCGCGCAGCAGCTCCAAGACCGAGGCGAGAACCTCGACAAGGCAGTCCGCGAACACGGCATCGTCAATCACCCCAAGTTCGGTGACGTCTTTGCGTTCGAAGTCGACGGCTACGGATCCCGCATTCTGATGGATGACGCGAACGTCCCGTCTCTTCTTTCGCTCCCTGTCTTGGGCTACGTCGACAAGGATGACAAGGTATACCAGAATACTAGGAAGATGGTCCTCAGTAAGGACGGGAACCCGTATTACTTCAAGGGATCTGCTTTCCACGGTATTGGTGGTCCTCATGGTATGACTCTCCTTCCCCCCGACTCCTTCATCACATTGGAAGATAATTCTAATGAAAATCGCACAGCCGGCCTCCAAAACGCCTGGCCAATGTCCCTTCTCATACAGGCCCAGACCTCCGACTCGGATGCCGAGATCATCGAGTGTATCAATCTTGTCCGGAACTCAAGTCTCCTGGGCCTCGTGCACGAGTCGATCGACGTGAATAACATTGAAAAGTATACGAGGCCGTGGTTCGCATGGGCGAACTCGGTCTTTGCTCAGACTATTCTGAAGGTTGCAGCGGAAAGACCGCATTTGATCTTTGGGGAGGGGGCGAAGCCGTATGTTATTGAGTGATTGATTGGTCATGTGCCTTGATGGTTATACCCGAGTCTTGTCCCTAAGCTTAGTGTAGTGTTGCTATGGCGTACGTACTTAATATGAGGTGTGTATATATGGTACTACGGTGAAAGATGGGTATACTGCAAATTTAGGAACTTAGGGTTTGGCGTAAACGTACCAAGAGCGTAGAGATGGATAGCTTAAGAGTGTGTACTAATAACGTATGTAATTGACCATGTCACATGTAGTATATGCTATAAGGGGTGTTTATACAGGAGTACTAATTCTAAATCAATACTCGTCTCAAGCCTTCCGTGCCGCCCAGCACTCTTCTTCCCGTCACGGGACACCTGCCCTTCCCACTTTCCCATTTACCTTCCCGACTCTGACCATCGCCGCTAGCCTTCTCCTTGTCACCCTTCTTTGCCTCCTCATCGTCGGACTCATCCTCCCACGCGGCGCCTGCGCCCTCCCAATTCATGAAGTCGATTTGTCTCTGATGCTCCCCATTAAGCCAATGGAAGACACACACATAACAAAAGACATACCCCGTCTGGCACGCAGTCGGATTCGCCAGCTGGTTGAGACAGATAGGACAGGTCGATGCCGCATCCGAGTCCGGGGGCGGGAGAGGGACAGTGAAGATAGGTAAGTATGAGGTGGCCGAGATAGGCGGTTGGATGCGTTTGCGGGAAGATTTGAGGGCCGATTTGCGCGTCGGCGAGTCGGGTTCTTGTTTCTTCTTCTCTTTCTCTTCGGCAAGCTTCTTTCTCTCCGAAGGGAGAACCATTCCGTTCGTGACCGGGGCCGGTAAGTCCAGCACTTCGGTTGCTTTGCGGGCTAGTTGGCGCGAAAAGTCGCTCGCGTGCCACCATTCGAGGAACTTCAGGGCGAAGATAGAGGCGGGGAGGAAGTAGCGGAGAGATGACAGGAGTTGGGGGTAGAGGTTCTGGGGGCTCAGGAGGCCCAGCAGGCCGGAGCCTGGGCGTGAGCGTCCTCGGCCACCGGGGCCAGCAGCTGGCTTCGCTTCCAGCATGTCTGCAATAGCCTTGTGGTCAGCGCCACCCAGACGGCGAATTCGGGTGCCGATGAGCCAAAGGAATGGGGAGGAATATTTCGTGTTGTCAAATAGGTAGGCCAGATTGAAGGCCAGAATAGAGAAGTAGTAAGCCGCGTTGACGGACGGGTATACATTTCGAAGGAACCACTTATAGTAGTGGAGTAATCGCTGCCGGATGGTTGGGTTTGGTGGGAGGTCGTCATTGGGGTCATATCGGGGCCCGCCGCTCATGATCAGCGATGCCTGGGGGGCGGCGTGGATATCGTAGCCTTCGTCTAGCTTGCGTTTAAGGTACGGGATACCCACCATGATGAGCAGGTTCTTCCATACATCTGAGGAGCGCAGTTTAAGTGTCTCACGGACGGGGCCTGGAGCGCCGAGCTGGGCGCGTGGGATCTCGCCATTCTTGGTCCGGAGAACGCGCTCACGCTTGAGAGAGTAGAAGTTCTCGGTGAAAGAGCCTCCAAAATTGCGGAGATAGTACCGCTCAACTATCAACGATAGAAATGCGTAGATCTCATCGTAGGAATTCAGTATCCGCAGCAGGTACCGAGGATGGCGGTGAGTGGCAACCGCAAGGATATATCGAATGGAGGGAGGTAGAAGGTCCGACAGTTGCTGTTCGGCGAGGAGTTCTATGCCGTTATCAGCCGGCGGTCGTCGGAACCGTTAGAGCATTGCAACCTACCGAATAGGGACGGCTTGAGCTCGTCAAACTCCTGTTGAAGACTGGGTAAATATTCCATCGCGTGTGTATCGGCCAGTCATCCTCCACCGGACGCTGAATTGGTTGTTGCTTGGGATGGAAGAGGATGCGGAGATGAGTCGAATGCGATGCTTGACCCCGGACGGCGTTGGGGCGGATTGAGCCGAGGCTTATCGGCATGTGCCTTGGCCCTTATCGGACTTCCCAATGCATACGCTCAAGTGCTAAGGTATCGATTGCCAGCTGCCACTATACAAAGCGTTTTTGTTATTATACAAGACTATAAAATTACAATGATTATATACATTTCCAATGTTTCAACAGCACCCCAAGGCTGCAACAGAGTCCGACACAGCCAAGATGATCATAGGTTAGATATTCTTTTGGCACTCGTTCCATATTCGGGCCAAGTCACTTGTAGCTCCACTCGCCGCGCTTTGCTCAATATCCGGGTCTGCCACAACAAGGCATTGTTTTACATGCTGCAGGAGCTGCCCCTGCAGCGGGATTGGAGTTTCCTCCCGGGCCATCATGGGCACCCATGTTGACAGACAGTCTCGAGCGCGAAGCTCATCGCCTAGTTCGGCATGTAGCCGGAACAACATCTCGTAGTCTGCACCGGTACGTGGACTATCAGTGAGAGGTAATTTGCGCCACAGCTTCCAGAATCCATCGTAGTCCCGGTTCTGAAAAAGTGTTGCCATGAGGACGCGGGAGTGGTCGGGGTCAAAAGGTACGTCAAGGGTCTTTATAATACGTGAGATTCGTAGGGCCACCTCAGGGGATGCGGTACCAGTCGCTCTATGTAGCATGTTTAACACTTTCATATTCAAAACATTTGTACCACGAAGGGAGAGATGTTCCAAAACCCGGACAGCAAGTTCTCTGTCCGAGTCTGGCAAAAAAGACCCACTATTGCGGTCATCTGGGGGCGACTCCGTCAACATCGCTGAGACAACATCGAAGCCAAGATCGTCAGAGACATGATATCCTGAAGCAGTGCACCTCATGAATGACGTCCATAAATCTTTTTTGCTGTAGGCCAAGTGTTGACGGGCAATAGCCATGCATAGTAGTTTGACCTGGGTTACAGCTGATTCCTCTGCAGACAAGGCTGATAAACGGTTATAGAAAAGTTGAAGAAAGAGGGTCGAGCCTAGGTCTTCTGGGCCAGTCCCCAGCTCCTGCCGAGCGGTCTCACTTGGCAAGCTTTCAAGATATTGGAATAAGGAGTATGTAGAAATACCAGCACTAAAAACATCTCCATGAGCAAGGCGTCCGCTTGGTGGTCCCGATGCCAGGAGCCTTGCCACACTGTTGACATTATCTCTTCCGCTAGGACAACCGATAGGTCGGGTGCTGTGAAAATGCCTCTTCTGCTCAAATAGGAGGCTTACTGTTGACCTGGGGACTTTTCCAGATGCACGGTCAGATGGTGATAGATCTATCGAATTGGAATCACGAACCTCTTCAGGAGGCGCATTGCGAGTGACCTCGGAATACTTCTTTTTCTCTCGCTCGGCACGGTCTAGGGTTCCCTGCCACAGGCTTTCAAGGTCGACTTCGGCCCTCTTCTCCTCTGTGAAGATCTGCACGACAATCCTCGTACCCCTGCCGACCTGTCCGAACCCCTCAAACGTTTCGTCTTTCTCCAGCACAGGGCTTTCCTCCACAACGCCGGCGTTCACACATATCCAGCCTGTGGTGATTCCATCATCCTTGTCATCGAACATGGCGCCGGAACGGCTTGCAAGTCTGGCTCGCCGAGCTTTGCGTCGCAGTTTGATCTTGAGCTCATTCCGACCCAGTAGCCCATCTGCGTATGGGGACAATTTGTAATTGCTCCTTAGCCAACGGCAGAGACGATCTGCGGAAACGTTTAGATGCTTCACACTTCTGGCAGTTCCAATGATCATGATGACATTTGCACCAAGAGCAGGAGGTGTTTCCAGACCCCGTAAGTCAATCAGCTTAAGTTCATCCAATCCAAGGTCTTTGAAAACATAATCGAGGAATGGGGAAAGAATCGCAGGTGGGTCCTCTGGTAATTCTGGGATTTGATCTCGGGATGATATCCGTGATTCGGAAACTGGCATCTCTTCTTGCAGATACCATGGGACATGACTAGTCGACCCGGATGGTTCATTTTCTGAAGAAATATCCCTTCCTTCTGTGGGTGTTGGATGCGACGGCTGCTCTGACGCAAGGTAGGGTCTTGACGAAAAGGTCCGTGAATTATGCTTGTAGGGTGAAGCTGCAAGGAAAGGCCGGCGATGTACTGAGACAGAGGTTATGTTCCGAAGTGGCAAGATGGCCTCCTGGCGGCACCAGGGGCTCCTTAACAGTGTCCGATGCATAATGCGAGTATATTACATATGAGAAAGTGTTGCTGGCTGAGAAGGGAACTAGAAAAAACGATGACATCTGCTCAAGCTCAGAACAAACGTGACAAACAGATTTATTATTAAGCAATCAAACAAAGCAAACGGAAATCTTTCCCCCGCGGCAAAAAAAAAGTTACAAATCGAGTAACCCATAAGTTTCAATTCATCTTACCTCTTTTTGTCTCGGTATCATATCAGTCTACGGCAGGATTTTGCAAATATGTCGATGGATTTGGATGCGCCGGTCCCTATCGCTGCGCAGGACCATGTAGCTGCGACGTATGTCGACCTCCTTTCACGTATCTTACCCCGCTATGGCTAACACACATAATCTAGTATCCTCTGTTGTAACTGCGGTGCCCCGATCGATGGAACAACAGCCGCCGGTGCGCTTTGTCAAGACTGTGTTAGATCGACTGTCGATATTTCCGAAGGTATTCAAAGAGAGGCGGTTGTCCATACTTGCAGAGATTGTGAGGTGTGTGTGTGTCTCGGAAGTGGACATTAGGGTGTCACTAACCTCGCGCAGCGATGGCTTCTACCCCCCAACAGCTGGGTCAGTGCAGCGCTTGAGTCAAAAGAGTTGTTGGCGCTATGTCTGCGCAAGCTTCGTGGCCTGACGAAGGTCCGGATCATCGATGCCAGTTTCATCTGGACTGAACCTCACTCGAGACGTATCAAAGTCAAAATCACCATTCAACAGGAGGTGGCCGCAGGGACAATTCTGCAACAGGCATTTGTTGTCGAGTATGTCGTTCATTACCAACAATGTTCCGACTGTCTTCGTTCGTTTTCCCCACATACGTGGGTCGCATCAGTTGTAAGTTACCAGTTTAGCCATCCCGGAGCGTATTAACTGTACTAACTTACTTGGCAGCAAGTACGACAGAAGGTTCCGCATAAGCGAACATTCCTTTATCTAGAACAGCTTATTCTTCGTCACCGCGCGCATCAAGAAACCAATAACATCAAAGAAGCAAAGGACGGATTGGACTTCTACTTCAGCCAGAGAAGCCATGCAGAGAAGATGGTTGAGTTCCTTTCTTCAGTTGTACCTGTCAAGGTGAAGAAGGCATCAGAGCTTATCTCTATGGACATCCATACATCGACGAAGTCTATAAGTTCTCCTACTCGGTCGAAATAGTTCCTATTTGCAAGGATGACCTTGTTGCTATCCCTATCAAGTTAGCCCGGTCGATAGGCAATATCTCGCCACTGACACTATGCTACCGAATCGGAACTACAATTCAACTCTTGGATCCCAACACGCTTCAGACAGCCGAGGTTCCCGGCGCGACCTACTGGAGATCGCCGTTCAAGAACCTCGCGGATGTCACTGAATTGGTTGAGTTCATCGTCATGGATATTGAGCCGGTGGGCAGGTCAAATGGGCGATTCCACCTTGCCGAAGCGACCGTTGCCCGCGCGTCGGACTTGGGCTCCAACGACCAGACCTACTTTACCCGTACTCATCTAGGCGGAATCCTCCATGTTGGAGACTCTGTTCTAGGCTACCATCTGACTGGCACAATGTTCAACGACCCCAATTACGATGCTATTGAGGCCAGTAGCCAATACAGCTCCACGATTCCAGATGTAGTCCTTGTCAAGAAGCACTACATGCGCAAGAAGAACAAGACCCGCAACTGGCGGGTCAAGCGTATGGCTCGTGAGCACGAGGAGGAAGCACTGCAAGCCCCTACCGGCGGAAGCCGCAAGCAGGAGCAGGAACGCGAGCGTCTCGAAGCCGATTTCGAAATGTTCCTTCGCGACGTCGAGGAAGACCAGGAGCTACGGGGCACTATCGAGCTGTACAAGGCCCGGAAGAACCAGAATGCGGGTGGTATGGAGATGGATGAAGACAGCGAGGATGAGGGCGTGCCCAAGATCAACATGGACGAGTTGCTTGATGACTTTGATGAGCTGAACATGAACGATGACGCATAAGTTCTGTCTATTTACAATCACGATTTGACACCAAGGGTCCGGCGTTCATTGGAGACATTGATTTGGCGGTATAAAAGTTAGGTCCGAGTACATAGCAAAGGCAGATCTGCTAGAATATTTTAAACCAACAAAGCTTGTTTCGCTGATAAGGATATCTTTTAAGAACTGTACACAAATCGACTAGAAAATCTTCCCCAGCACCCTCTTTGTATCATCCTCCAAAGCAGCTGCACCATCCTGGATCGTATGACGGCCCCTCTTAACCTCATTCTGCTTGAATGTTCTCCTAACTTTGAGCTCGGTGGTCTGCTGGCCTCCCGCATCACCAGCCTCCATCTTCCTTTTCTTCTTCTCTTCGTTCTTTCTCTGCATCCCATCAAGCACTTTACCAGTCTCAACACCTTGAAGGAAGACCTTGTCCTCTTTCCTGGCCCGAGAGTCCTCAATGCGCTGCTTAGCCTCCCTCTCCTGTCTCTCCCTCTGCACCTGTTCCATCAGATCGCCCCATTTGAAGCCCTTCAAATACTTCATGTTCCACACATCATCATGGTACCAACCGCCCTTCCTCCCCCCAACAATCGACGCATTCAACGTCTCCGCACAAAGCTTAGCCGTCTTCTTCGACGCAAACTCAACCCACCCATCCGTATACGTCTTCCGCTTATTCGACCTCCTCCGCGGCGCCGAAGCCGGCCTCACAGAAGGCGACAAGAACACCTTCGTGATCGGCCCGAACGACCTCGCCTCCAGCATACTCTTCAACGCAAACGGTTTCAAATAAGGCGGTAGCGACGAGAGATAGACAACCCCGGTCTTGTTCTTCTTCGGCGGCTTGCCCTTATCCAATGGTTTCCGCTTACTCGGTTTCGTTTCCTGCTCTGTGACGTCTAGGTATTGTGCGCCGGTTGTCTCTTCTTGTTCGTCATCGTCGTTGTCATCATCTTCGGATTGCTGGGGCTTCTTGGCTTTGCCTTTGCTCTTGCTTAGTTTTAGGTCTTCGTCGGAGTCATTGTCGCTTTGGTCGGATTCGTCGGTTTGGTTTTGCGTTCGTCTGCGCTTGGAAATTCGCGCTTTGCTTTCTTCAGCCGCTTCGGAGTCGTAGCCGCGGTCGTTGTCTTCGTCGTCGCTTGGGGCGAGGTCGAGGAATTCATTTCTCTTACGCGTTGTCATGTTGTCTTTCTGTTTGCGAATTGTGGTGGGGGGTAGTTTGGTAAATGAGTTGTTGGAGATGTTTTCCTTTCTCCTTTTGGTGTTTCGAGGATATATGCACTTTTCAGATCGACCTGTGCTGAAAATGATAAATTGTTCTGGAAGGCCGGACAACTTTTTTGTTTCGCTGTTGGTCTGTGCTTTGCTGCAGGTGGCTGGCCAATCAGAGGAGGAGTTTAGGTTTTCCCCCCATACATATCGTACCATACGTAGTGCTAACTTAAGTGAAGGCTCAGTTGCCTGGTTCTAATAGTGCGGTACTTAATTTAAGACTCTTTTCAATATGTATATTTTTCATCTATAAACAATCCTGTTCATGCACTAAAGTCAAACCACGTACCTATGTACAGGACCACCAGAGGCACTTCTTGCCTCATCATGCAAAGAATGGGTATGAACAATGTCAACCATGACAACCAAACGACGCCAATACCTCTGAATCTAGGTAAAATAAAACTGCAGCAGTATATATAAGGAAAACAGCAAAGAACCGGAGCTCATATGGCAGGGTGTCTCCCGCCTTGCCCAAATGGAAAGGTCGAAGAAGTAAAGGAATATAACAAGCAGTCGTCTAAGCATTTTCAAATGCCCAAGGACCACTTCATCCGCTCGTACACGAAGAAGCTTATGGCGGTCATGGGGATTATCTTGAGGTATCCAATAGACAGGCCCACCCAGAACCCCCGGAAGCCTCTCTCAAACCAGATCGTCCGGGCCGTCTCGGCTATTCCTAGTCGATGACCATCGCCAACTACTCCTCCCACTTGCATCCGCCGCCGGATGACCTCTAGCGGATAGGATGACGTCTGAGAGACAAGACCGGCAAAGGCCCCAGAGAAAAGTTCCGCCGCAGCGGTCAGTTGAGTTCGATGCGATCCTTTCTTGGACTGTGCCTCAGATCCTGGAATAGTTGTGTATTGCGCGAGTGCCGGTGACCGAAGCCAGTCACCAACAGTGTCGTGTGTAAGGAACGACATTCCCGCATAGGGAAGCATTCCCATGAGGGTAGGCGCAAATCCACGATAAAAGTTCGCCAGTCCAGAGCTAGGAACAACTTTGTTCACGACAGCAGAAACTTCGGCCGTGGCAGTGGCAGCAGCTGAGGCTGAATGGCTGGACGGCAGCCCGCTTGGTACGGAAGGCGGCGAAACCCGCTCGCGGTAGATCTGTCGGAAAATGTCCGTGAAGGAAGACCGAGAAGATCGGTTGGTCTCGAACGCCAATCGTACTCGAATTAGTTCCAATGGGTACGTAAAGAAAACCGATGTGATCCCCGCCAAACTCCCAGAAATCAATCGGCGAAACGGTGTTTCCTTGTCCCGCGACGGGATTATCACCGCTCGGATCTGTTCATATGCGAGAAACTTGATTGCGGCATAAGGGAAAATGCGGAGAAGTGTCGCAGAATGACCTTTAAACAGGCCCCTCCTCCCTTCGTGACGATTAATGTCTCGAACTGCGGATAGCAGGCCAGACCAGCTGCCTGTATACTTGGCGAACTGCGGGTTCGATGCCTGGAAAAGGATCTTGACACGGTCCAGCGGCGCAACTGCTGTTTTTGCCTATGAAAACAACAGTTAGCATTTGGCATACTCGCGACACCTCACCTGGCACGATATGGCTAAACAGTGTAACTTACCGCACACCCCGCCACACCTCCGGCAAGCCCACTCCTTAATACATAGTCCAAACTCCGCTTGTTCATTTGTTGCGGGCCTTCAAGGCTATTCTTTTTATAACCCGGCGACGAAGCATCATCAACGGCGGTCGTCTGTGTCATCGGTACCCTACTCACATCACCAGCCGTGGACCCTCGTGCTGGTCTTGAATCTGTGACCTGTTCCATCTGAGGATGCAAGTGCGGGACGGCGTCCGTTACTACGCGGTAAGGCTGAGAGTTTCTGGAGCTGATCGGTGATGGATCCTGTGCATGTTCCGGTGCGACAGCAGACATGAGTACAAGCACGTCCAGGCAGGAAGCCCGGTTGGATGGTGGTGAGGAGAATCCGACGTCAGGGTCACGGGCTATCGGCAGTAATCAAATGCCATGGATGTTTCACGAAAGAATTTCAAGACGGAGATAAGGGCGGATCTACCCCACGGAGAAAGGAGACAACCTTCAAAATCACGGACAGCAAATAACAAGTGAATTGCAGTATCCTTCTATGAACAACACATAAAACAATTATCAGTTAGAAAAGCCGACCTGATCGCATTCTTCATTCCTCTGCTCCGGGTGGAAAGCGGAAACTCGGCGGAAGTGACGTTACGCTGCTGACGTGCCGATACCGACCCGCTTCCCTTTAAACCAGGCCTGCGTACGGTCTTAATACGCGACGATAACCGAGTGGCGGATGTTTTCTATCACATGACCGTCGGGTGGCCAACGGCTGACCACGGATTTGTCACTTTGACGAAAGATCCTGTAGTAAAAAGTACCAGGTAGAATAGTATCCAAAAAAAAAAAACATCATGTTCCCATCGATGGTGTTATAGTATGCTTCTATATTGTGATGTTTTATCTGCAGTGCAACAAGTTTGCCCTCTTGACAGCTCCAAAACTACTAGAGAGTTAATCTATGTACAAACGTCTACCAACTAAACCATCCTCAGCTCCCCGATGCAAGATATTTTCACTTTGTACATAAAAGATATGTGTTGCGATCCAAACTTTCATGGTCTCGTTGCTCGTGTATACCAGTAAGAAAGACCTTTTTGTTGCTCGCCGCTCCCCAAATGTATCCTTAAAACCCCATAAAAGGTGCCATTAAACGCCGATCGAGTAAAAAACGGATATGCTAGAAGTGGTAACGGGAGCCTTGCCTTGTCAAGGGTTTGCCCTGGCGATTAACCGCCTTGATCTCTTTGGGGTCGTCAGTAGCCCTCTTGGCTCGCTTGGTTGGTCGCGATGCATCTACATGAAGATGTCCGTTCTCAGACATGGCTGTCGTGTTATGCCAGCTCAGACAACGGTGCTTGTGGTCGTCCACGTAGGTCTTGTTTCTGGTCGTCATTCGCTTCGTGGGCATCTCCTCCGATTCAGCCCTCTCGGCCGTCTGCGCAAGGTATTCCATACGGAACTTCATGTACTTGACAATGTGGTCACGCTGAAGCAGCAGCTCTTTGCGTAATCTCAATTCTCGATTACCCCGCGAGTCAAGCCAATCAATAAGTTTGTCCACAGCATCAGGGTCATCGTAGTAGCCCCATTCATCCGCGTTCGAGAGCCTGGTGGGTCCTTCTTCGGCCTTCTTGCGATCCGCTGGAGTTGTATGGAATTCTTTCTGGTATTGCTTCTTCTGATCGTCAGGCACGTCAATGAACCCTACACGCTCCATTTCGTCGGGTCCTTGGACCCATAAGCGGGCATTGGCAAACTGAGCCTCTGCTGTTGAACTGTTCGGCATACCCCCGTACGGCATTGCATTTCGCTCGAACCACCAGTATCGGTTACAAAACCTGTCCTTTCCAAGACACCTGGTTCGGGGGCAATCGGCTTCTCTCAAATCGTTGTCCACCACGTCGATCTTCTCTTCGAGCTTCTCGATGTTCGCTTTTTGGTCGTCGATCTTCTTCAGCACCCTCTGATATTGCTTCGTGCCCTTCGGCTGTTTGGCTAACTGTTCCTTTCGTTTCTGTTCTTCTTCTTGCTTTCGTTTCCTCTCAAGAACTCTATCCAGTCCTCCACGCAGCGACCGCTGAGGAGCTTCCTCTTCCTCTTCGGAATCTGCGACTTGATCAGACTCCCCGTCAACTCCAGTCATCTTGGAGTCTTCCAGTGCTTCCAATTCTGGCGCTGGCGAGGGTGACTTTTCTGGCTCGGGTTGGAGTGCTTTCCGTTCTTGGTGTAACCGTCGAAGTTCTTCGAGTCTGGAATAAAATGTCAACCAAAACACACTGTAGGCCTGTATATCGATCTACGTACCCTGCTTTGCGAGCCTTTTGATATTCGATCTTCTCCTTGCGGAACTCGGTCATTTGATTACTGCACTCCTCCAGATAATTTCGAATAGCTTTGGTCTCCAGACTGAGCATGCATATGATTTGGAGGGCTTCAGCGCGCAGGTTGATATCGAGGGTAGCATACTGGCGCTGGACAGTATCTTGGGTCGGCTCCGCATCGAGAGGAGCCAAATGCTTGAGTATATCGTTACAGACCTTCTCCATCCGTGGACGAGCGGATAGTTGGTGCAGTAAGCCAACCATGACTAACTCCCAACCACCGTTGCGGAAGTCTCGCTTCCGGAGACGATCTATCCAGCCATAGTCTCCAAACATCTCGGCAGCCCGATGGATTTTGACCTCTACTGAATTAGAGCGGCTGCGATTAGCTTGTGCTTTCAGGGTTTCCGCTTCTGCCTTGGCCAGGCTACTCCGAGTAGTCATTCTAGTCACCACCGGTTCGGGCTCAGGGCTTTCTTCCTCTTCCTCTTCTTCATCCTCTTCGTCGGAATCAGATTCCTCTACCGGAAGATCGGGAAGCGAGATCTGCACAGCGCCATTCTCATCCTTCTCTGAATTAACCAGCTTCTTCAAAACAGCACAATGCATCTCAACGAAGAGTTCACAGTCTACCTCCTCGGATGAAAAGCGCATGGCCTGGAGAAAATCATCGAAGGTAAACGAGTCCAACTGGAAGACTTCACAGTACACGTTGAGAGTATTCCACGTCTCGAGAAGCAATCCCACTGACTTCATGTCGATATTATCATGTAGCAAGTCTTCATCATCAGGACTGTCTGACTCGTTGACTTTCAAGAACTTCAAAGCTGGCCTTTGCTTTTTCTTTTCGCGGTCCGGTGCGATATCTAGATCCTCGATAGGATATTTGATTGGAGGAGGTGACGGCGGTCTAGGGGTTTCAGTTTTGACGACAACTGCAGTAGCAGTCTGCGATTTCTTGTCAGTCTCCTGAGATTTGGACGAACGAGCGGCTCCAGTGGTTTTGTTGCTGACAACGAAAGTCGGGTTGCCATTGAGAGATCTTTGATACTCGAGGAACTGCGCCTCCTTGGACCGCGCCAAATCCTGTTGGGAAAGTTTGGATTTTTGGCCCTTCACGGCGGGTTTCAATTCAGGGAGTTGCTGTGATGCGAAAAACCCGAAGAAACCCTCTTGGTCTGCCTTCTTCATCGCCTTCTTTTCTGCCACCTTAGCTCCGTATTGCAGATGTTTCGGTACCTCCGTGGGAATTCTGTATTCTTCCGCAATCGATGATTTCACTAGCCAAGGAGCGCCGTTCCAAGACTCCCGCGTTACATTGTTCTTGATGAAAGCACGCAACATTTGTTTCGTGAAGGTTTTTCGATCTCGAGTAATGTGCTCTTGGTCCAATAGAGCTTCCTCATTCGGACGATCTAGCACTTTTACGAGATATGTCGCGTATGCTGGAGATTTAACGGTGCCATCCGGATACAGTTGTTCTGCGAAATTGGCCTTGTCTCTGATCATACCATGGAGGCGTGTGTTGTCATCCAGCAATATCAAAACGGGCTCCCCAGGGTAAAAGTCCTGCTTAAATTCCTGGTTTTGTTGGGTATAAAGTTAGGTCGGGAACAAACTCATCTAAGACGCATCTAACTCACTTCATAAATCTCATCCACTGTAGATCCGGCTGTTAGTCTCAAAAAAAACTCAAAAACCACGGAAGTTGCCATACGTACCAAGGTTGTCGACCCGCGATACAGTGGAGAATTGAATCCTTCGCAGGATGGGCTCCTTCAAAGCGTCAGGGAACGTGTTATTAACTTCCCGCGATTCCTCCAGCTAGTAATAAGACTTAGTATTGACACCTGAACAGCAGAAAAGCCACAGAGACGTACTTCCGACCTAAGCGCTTCGAAGAATGTCAAGCCTGAATGGCCTGTAATCTCGCAGATAAATCTTCTCTGTTTGTAGAAGTCCATTCGCTGAAGGTACGGTTCATACTGAGTGAAGACTTCGTTGGTCTCCGGGATGACCCAAACCTATATAATCGCTGTAAGCAAATGTGTTTCCATTGCCCTTGTCGAATGCACATGCCTCGGAACTGTCATCTTCGATAACGGGTCGGGGGAGGTATTGGACGGGCTTCCGCTTAAACAGCACCTAAAAAGATGTAAGCAGACCTCGTTCGCTATATCTGTGTCTTCTTCCAACATAGTCGGCGGGCAACCGGGGGCCGTGGAAGCCTGCAGCGTACCATGGTCCTCTAGGGAATGAAAGAAATGCGCCAATTTAGCATAGATTATTGGTGATGTCACCGAGCATGGACAATCTGTATAATTGGAAAAGATTGTTAGTTCGGTAAACAACAGCGCAAACCAAGGGCGCACGACAGAACCAAGAGTTAAGGCAAATGGAGTGTTACCAATGCTGCGAGTGGCATTGGTCGTGTTGAAGACAAGGACGCAGGCGCGGACGTGTTGCGCGGAGAAGCTCCGGAGTTGTAGCGGAGGTATAGAAGTATATTCGTAGATCCACTCCAAGCAAAATCGCCAAATAACAGACGAGGTAGGTCTTGTGAGAACTTACTGACTGGACGCGTCTCCAATCGCGCTATACACGGGTGCGCGGGAATATGATGACCCCAACACGAGAACGAAAATCCAGAAAATCGGGTAGCTGCAAGAGAGCTCGGCAGCAAGGTGGATCCGCAATGCTGGTGATATCCAAAAACAAGGTGCCGTGTGGGAGGTCGCGTGAGGAAGAAGAAGAAGATAGTATAAAAGAAGAAGAAGAAGAAAATGAAGAATCTCCAGAGAAAGAGAAAGGAGAAGCGGTCGCCGCAACGGCAGAACCACCGGGCCATGAGGATCATTGCGGCAATGGTGGGAGGGCCGCCGAGGCACGGCGGACGATGATTGGACGAGAGGAGGAGAACTGGCCGGACAAGATGTCGGGCGGACAAAGGACGGCTATACCCGATAGGGAGTAACGCTGAAGGAGTGTGGGAGGGTGCAAGCACTGACTCTCCCCCCATCGCTTCTTGACCCTCTCTGCCACACTCGCATTGCCCCAACTATACGGGTATTTGCACTTGTTCGGCTCGTTATTTTCTGTAGAATTTGATGACATTTTGCTTATATGCTATAATCTTCCTATTTCTCCGTAGTCGCTCGATATCAGCCGAGGCGTTGGTCCATTTCTACGGAGTGTAGTTGGACTACTAGGGTTAATGATGGATAGCCACCACATCTATACTACGTCCACAATCAAGGGTCACCTGGTGGATTATACACCACTGCTTCGCACAAATCCCTGTTTTGGGGTGACTCGGCCTCTACTGACTCGGATATCCAAGTGCTCCTGGGGCTTTAAAGATTTCTGAGAGATCAAACATTGGATACTCGGCTCGCCATATATACAGCACTCCCCGCAATGATCTCAACAATTACATTTGTATAGCTCAAGTATCCTCTACACACGCAATTAAGACAACTACCCATCGTTTCTTCTAGGTCTCATTATTGAAAAGCCTACCTTTATTTCATTCAACGTACTTCATTGCCACTTAGCAGTCCTTCCTAAAGTGTGATGCTTTCAAGCTATCTCACCATCAAAGCTGACGCCCCACATATAGTACATAACACACGCTTTATATTTGCTATATTTATCTCTATGTATCACCAGGTGATCTTGTTAATCTCACTATCTCCCAGTAACGAAGTTCCAAATTGAGTTCGTCTCATACAAAGCTACCTCCTACGCTTGCACGAATGCAAGAGGTCCCCAGCATTCTACTCTCTTCTAGTTCATAATACACAAGAATCTAATTTCAAGTGGGTGTTTCTAACTTTCTTTGTGGACTAGAAAGCTAGTATTACCTCTATACTCTCCATAATTTGCACTACTATGAAGAGCGCTTTCCTATTTTATGGTCAGACAGAGACGATACTACGGCAAACCTGAGTTATAATTGCTTTCCACATATCCTACATCTGATGATTCAAGTTTTGAAGCAGTATCAAGAAAACTCGGACGAATGTAGCATCTGAGCAGCACTATTTGCCTAGAAGCACAGGGACCACGCAATGTCTTCACCTAGACATTGTTATTTAGATAAACGATTTACAAGTAACATATCATGGAATACTCGCCAGATGAGTGCTTAGTACTCGCACAAGTCATTTAGGTAGGTTGTATGGTTATTGAATTTGGCCTTGGCTTGTCTTGGTATCTGAGGCTTCTCAGCATCTCAATAGCACATCGGAAAAGCGTAAAGAACAATAGGAACGTTGTAATAAAACCAAAGGAAAACGGTGCGAGCAGGAGTAAAATTACTAAGATTTGATGTCTACCGACTAATACTAGACTTATCCACTGTTTCGTTGGGGAATGGGAGCAAGAGGAAGAGAAAATGCAAAATCGTTGTGATCCATCACCTAACGGGTACTGGAAAATATACATCGACATCGGAACATGACGAATGCAAATACCTATTTAGACTGACAATGCTAGAGTTCTTGACTGATAGAGGAACCATATGAATATATGCGTAGGTATTTAGTATTAATCAATGGACTAATTGATTTAACTGCAGCATTGGCTTATTTTTGCTTGGCCATTGTATTGATGTTAAAATTGCTGTAACGTTCTGCAGTGTCACATCCATGGGATCGGTCATCTTTAAAAGTGGAGTCTAACCTGTTTGGGCCTGAAGGCTGATAAACTTTGCAAACTTGGATGATCGAGTGGGTCCACTTCCGAAGCACGTGGATGCAATCAAACAAACCAAACATTCAATAATTCCGAGGGCCGTCAATTACATCATTGATGACATTGGAAGAGTCTCATTTTCCGGGACTTCTCCTGTGTAACACAACACGCAAGAGTTCCTTCCCTCTGCATACCACACTGGCTATTGCAAATCCATCAAGAAGGTATTCTCACATTAAGACTTTATATTATATTTTACTATGCGGTAAAGTACACAACCATGAATCCTATCCAACTGCCTACCACGCCCAAGGCGGAATAGCTGCTCATGAACATCAAGGGCAAGAACTCGTACCGTTCCAGTCCAAAAATCAACTGGTGTACAAGTGAGCAGTAGATGATCAGTGGAATGGCCACTGCCAGGTATAGCAAGGAGAAGCGGTCGACAATCGGGAAGATCCGTGGTCGTTCGGGAACTGGTGCTACCTGCTCAAATACAAACAGGAATAAGACCAACCAAAAGACGGTGTATACGGTCTTGATAGGGAACTCGGCCGCAGTAAACAGTAAGGGGAAGAGCGAGACATGCCCAGCTATCGCAAGAGACCTGAACGCGCTAAAGTACCGCCTGTCTCTGAGGGCTATGAGACTGAAAGGTATGATGATCAGGAGGACGGCTTTTTCATGAACATGCCAGCCGAATAGGAATGAAGCATATCCGCACAGCGTAATGGCACCAACAAATACGTCCCAATCGCCAGGGCTCCGCCACAGTTTGATCAACGGAAGCTATATCTCCATGAGTACAAGAACTGGAAAGTTATGTAGGATACTGAAATCACGTACCAGCTGAAACAGAAAAGTAAGCGCAAAAGTGTGTTCCTTAGTCACCTCTGGAAGAACAGCAAACGAGGTATCTCCGACAAGACCCCGCGTAACACTCGTTAGGGCCTCCTGGTTAATAGAAAGACCCAAACGTGGGGCAACTACCGAAATTAGTTATGCCACGCAAAAGTTCAGAGCGCTGGTACATACGTAAAATGAGGACACGATCAGCAAAGGAATACATTGCCCAGATGTTAGGCGCCCAGTAGGCATGGCACAGACCCCTTGAGAACGGGAAGAGTCGATCTTTCAGTTGGAACAACTGATTCCAATAGACGAATGGACCGAATGCTACGCCAAAGACACTGATGACACCCAGACCAAGCTTGATAATATTTCCAAATCTGGGTCGAAAGACCGACTTAGGGTCAAGACAATAAGTTCTCAGCAGGTAGACAAAGTAGGCCAACGAGAGATAGAGATGAATATGTTTCATGCAGAGCAAAATGGCAAAAGTGATACCACTGTAGAGGAGCGTCGACTGCTTTCGTGCAAGTACGATAGACAGGATCAGTACCCCGTACATAAATCCGTTATACTGGAAATGGATGTGGTCGATGATCAGCAGACCGGGCGACAACAGAATTGAGAGGCTGGCAATATGCGCAAGTTGCTTATTAGACTGAGGCGCAGATTTGATGAAGCTAATACCACGTTAGCGTCTGTAGCTACCCTAGAAAATTGAGAAACAGGAGCTGTACCAATTCAATGCGAAGATGAGAACGAGTTCACTAAGAATAACAGTTGCTCGCTGAAAGTAGATTGTCTGCCAGGAATCATAATTGAGATTCTTGACGATCAACATCGCAGGGTCCGCATACTGCGCCGCTTGCGACAATAGCCACTCAAATGCTGCGAAAAAAGGGGGATAGTCGAGTGTCCATTCTGATGTTTTCTAATCGGGGATCGGTTTCAGTAAAAAGGAAATCGGAGAGTATGCGGCGTTCGCAACATACCTCGTAGTACCATTCCTTGACAGGTAATGAATGGGTGATTGCAAGCCAGTTCCGGTGAACCTCGAAGTCGGTCGATTTACTACAACAAAAGCCCGGGGTCAGCGTGAGGTAAAAGATTGGCAGACATAGACATGCTTCTTTGGGTTTCAATTGGACCGACATACTATGCGGGGAAAAGGAGAACCTTGAAGGCTGTAGCAACGATGGCGCATTGCGCCAGAGAAGGGTATAGGTCAGCCATTGAAGCTGTTGCGCATGTTGCGCTGTCAAAGGCACGGAAGATAACGAACGTGGAGCATTGAGGTTCCTGCCAGGGGAGATCTTCCCATGGAACGGACCCTCTAGATAATCTGGGGAGCTGTTCACGTGACACGCGGATGCCCACCGACAAAGGCCAGTGTGTCCCTTCGGCATATCATACCGATCGATTTAGCGCTCAAGTAGCTGCAGCTTCATGGAATTAGCTTCGGACGTAGGAGTCCGTCATTCTGTCGTTCTCTCCAATCTCAACATTCAACATTTGGTCGACTTTTCACCGGCGACCGTCTCAATTATCAGAGAGATCCGCTACTGCGTGATCGCCATTGTGGTTGGGTGGACCACTAGTCGTGTTGTCTCCGCGTTATTGAATCGCCGAGCTGCTCCTGATCAGTGACGCTTCTGATACCCAGTGGTCAATCCTTTTTGCTTCTGTTTCTTTTGATCTTCCTTTCTTTGAATTATCAAACGCTCTTTCCGCCATTTGGCATAGATCGACAAGGCGCTTCCCTAACAAGTAGTGATACTCGATTGATTGTATAGACACTATGAAGTTTTCAGCTTCTTTACCATTGTTCGCTGCTCTCGCTGCGGCACAAACTGTGATCGAAGGCTCTAGCTTCGGCCATGGTCAAACGTAATGAATCACTCCCTTGATGAAGCGTTGTGTACCATATCCTGACATTTTTTTTCTAGGCTATCACCCGCCAGGGACACCATCCCGGGATGGTCAATTGGAGGAGAAGGACATTCTCCTCAAGTTGTATGTCTTCATTGTTCAACTGATTTAGCTAGTGGTGAAAATCAGTGCTGACATCACTAGCTCTCCAACAAGCTAATTCTTACTCCCCCTTACCCTGGCAACACCAGAGGGTTTGCTTGGTCCCAGTCTCCGTGAGTCTGAATTAGTCCCCCATTATAGGCTTTGAAATCACTAACAATGAACACAGGGTTTCCCAATCGGAATGGTCGGCTGAATTTCAGTTCCGAGCATCTGGAGTTGAGAGAGGAGGAGGCAACCTCCAGCTCTGGTATGCTAAAGATGGCCAGAGCAAGATTGGCACTTCTAGCATTTACACTGTTGGCCAATGGGACGGATTCGCACTCGTCGTTGATATGCACGGCGGAAGAGTGAGTCTCATGATCCTGGCTCGTTGATTAGTGCTGACATGATACTAGAAAGGTAGCATTAGAGGATTCCTCAACGATGGCACAACAGACTATAAGAGTCATAGAAGTGTAGACAGCCTTGCTTTCGGACACTGTGACTACTCTTATCGCAACCTGGGACGGGCTTCCGTTGTTCGTGTCAAGCATACAAATGCCAACTTGGAAGTTACCGTCGATGACAAACTATGCTTCGCCACAGACAAGGTCTCTCTTCCTGCCGGCAACACATTCGGTGTAACAGCCGCGACGCCAGAAAACCCCGACTCTTTCGAGGTCTTCAAGTTTGTCCTGCAGACTGCTCAGTCTGGAACAGCCCCACCAGCCCAGCAGCAAAACAACCAGCAGCAGCAGCAGCAACAGCAACAGCAACAACCAGTTGCTGCCCAGGCCCAAACGCAGCAACAACCCAGGACCGACCAGTTCGTTGACCTTGCTGCTCGCATTGAACTCGTCAACAAGGCTACCAGCAACGTCATCCGCGAGATCGGCAACCAAGCCAAGCAAAGCGAGAACCGCCACCTCGATCTTCAGCAGAAACTCGCAACCAAGGAGCAAGTCGCCGGTTTCGATGCCCGCCTCCAGAAGATCGAGCAGATGCTGCAAACCATCCAGCGTGACCTGGAAGGCAAGGACTACCACAGCCGCTTCAATCAGCTCCAGGATACCCTCCGTTCTTCTCACCAGACCTTGACTGAGCATCTCCAGGGCTCTGTCCTCAGCGGTATATCGATCCCTCCCAGTTCCCCGTTCATAAACCAGATACTAACATCATGAACAGCAATCACCGCCTCCACTCCACGCATGGGCTTCTTCATCTGCCTTATCATCGCTTTCCAGGTCTTCCTGGCAGTCTCTTACATCGTGTACAAGCGCCGCCGCGCAAACATGCCCAAGAAATTCCTCTAAACGGAAAACAAGCATCTCAGAAGACTAGTCTTGGGAATTACCCAACACATGATACGCAATTCTTGTTTCACCATCCTCGATTCCATGTTCCACCTCCAGAGACGTGGGCATGGAATCCCAGATCCACGAAAGTCATGTAGTAACGCGAACTTTGCATTGGCTTTGTACTGCTCCTCATCTCTGTTTCGGCGTGTTCAGGCTTTGAAGAAAAGCTTTTGCTTGGAAGTCGCGAAGTAGTCTTACTGTGTTTGTTGTAGTTATTTGGAACGTTGTATATCTAGATTTATTCGTATCTGTTTTATCCTGGAGATTTTGTTATTTCGGGCTTGTAAGATTTGTGAACTGCAGATCACTATATTTGACCAGTCTTGAAAAGTCTGCGACATGAAAGCTCTACAGAGGAAACAAAAATAAAAACACACCAATGAGAATGCTAAAAGTCCCACCACCCATGCCTTGCCAAATAATGCGAGAGAGAGAATTCTAATATATCGTACAAAAATGATATGTATCCACTTTGGTTGTCTGCGGCATATACCTCAAAACAACCACCACTAGGAACTGGGATATGAGAAATAGAGAATATTGGAAGTCTGCCGAAACAACAAGTTCGTCACAACATTAAACGGTTTCCGTACACCCACCGAGGGGCTTGCCTAATTCATTGCACATGTATTATTGGGGGATGAATCACAACAAGCGCTCGAATATGGAGTAGGAAGAGGAACAATAGTCATGTAACCCAAGAGGCACAAAGCTCGGATATCACCAATAGGTACCTCCGGTTATGTGCTGGCAGATGGGTTGGTAGGTTGAGCGTCCATGTGCTCAACGTCTGGGGAATTGACGGCCGAAGATTCAGCTGGAGCAGACTGAGTCCTCAGGTCTGTTATGCGTAGTTCAATCAATCGTTGCAAAGATCGAAGCGATGCAATCTCGCTCTCGGCCGAAGGCATAAAGTCCGGCGACACGTTCGCTTTCAACTGATCGATGAGGAGGCCGATCTTGCTATCCTCAACTTCGGTACTGTTGCCCTGGGCAAAGGTGATTAAATTTGCCGCGGCCTCTCGCTCAGCAGCGGTACGGGAGTTGAGAATCGCAGTAGTTGTGTCCTCTTCTATAACTTCTGGATTCTGAGCTGCATAAAACGCGTGGGCCTTGGACGTAAGTTCGTCGTGTCGTTGGCGAACATACTCATAGTATTTGTCAGCGGCAGCTTTTTTCATCGCAAGTTCTTCGTTTTCCCTGCAAGTATTATTAGATAAATTGAAGTGAGACGCATTATCCAAAGATATACTGACCGTTTGACTCGTTGAATAAAATCGAGCTTAATCCCTTTCTCCGAAACACGATACATGATACCCTCTTCCTCCTGCTCCTCTATCTTCTCATCTTCTTCTTCATCCGGAAGTATTTCAACGTCTATCAGACGAGGGTTTTTCGGACGGCGAACACGTTTTACCAAATCGTACCCCTCCTCGTCTTGAACAATGAAAAACTTGTCATGCCAACTGTGGTCGGGGCACATCCAGCTATGATATGTACGATCACTCCCCGGCTTTTGGGCGGGAGGTATAGCTAGAGGAGGATCTATACAATCCATATGGAAGGCGAGAGGGCAAAAATCGCATTGAATAATGGGCCGACGACCGTTAGTGGTACGGCCACAGCCATGGCAGAGAATGAGTTTGCCTTTCGCATCTACTGTTCTCAGCAGGAATGGATCATCATACCGACCAGAGCGATTCCTCCCGCTCCGAGGATTGATTCTGGGAAAGGGTAAGACTTCATCGTATTGCCCTTTATCGCCCGTTTGCACCCCAGCAAAATAGCTACGCAAGCGAGAGGGAAGAGCAAAGTCTTTATGCGGAACCTTGTCTACAGCGACAAGCAATGTACCCATGGGTTTCAGGATGGAGCATCTTGGACAGAACCAATCCCCTTCTGGCGGGTTGGCGGGATCCAGGGGTGGATTAAGACAGGAGAAGTGGAATGAGTTCACACATCCGTCGCAGCATAAAAGCTGGCCGCTTCCGTTGCATTCACGGCAGAAATCATTGTTCTCCTCACCATTCTCCCTGTTGACGGCCATTGTAGGCGTCAGGCGCCGGTTGTCTCCAGCATCGCTACTTGCCGGACTTTCTGATCTCTCTCTCTGTTCGGCAACGGCTCCATCCGCGGCGGTCTGGGGTTGGCCGGCTGTAGTGGCAGAAGGGGTTGTGACACCTGAAGGGGGTTCAGAAGCAAGTGATGAACGGAGTCTACTCTCAGTAGCAGTAATTTTCGGAAACGACCTTTGTAAGCGAGTACGTTTAGCCTTGACGGCTTCTGCCGAGAATTCGGGATTTTCTTCCAATGCACGCCTGCGCTGAAGAGTAGTGTCACTAGATGGAAATACGGAGCGGCGACTTGGGGGTTCTGAAGCTTCACTATCCACGGCCTTCTGTGTAGACTTGGAGTGCTTTCCTCTGCCGCGAGAGCGAGCGTTCGCCGCTCCCGGTGCCATTCCTGGGGCGAATGTTTCGACATCGAGTGACTTAGCAGAAGACAGCGAAGACACGCTACTGGCAGATCGCGTACGCCCCATAGCTGGCGCTACAGTAGGCAATACTTCTGTATTTTCCTCCGACTGCACCTCTTTCCAGGCAGTGCGCATCACAGTTTGGAACACTGACTGTTCACGGGCCCCAGGATTCGCTCCACAAACACCCTCCAAAACAGATAGAGCAAAAGAATCTTTGCCACATGTCTCCCAGAGGCGGAGTAGTCCACGAATGACAGGACGATTGCCAGTCTCAGAAGCCATATGGAGGGCATTTTCAACTGCGGATCGGAGTTTCACTACATCAACATCAGTTGAGTTAGGGACAGGAAGTGTCGTAAATGCAGTCACATCCTGCGCAGTATTGTCCTTTGGAATGACAGGTTCAGGTATCGGTTCTTCAGCAGGTGTCAATGGTGTTTGCGGCTTGCTGGTCTCTTTATCCCCGTTCTGGACTGGCCGCTGATCTTTCTTGGTAGTGGTATTTTGTGTACTTGGCTTGAGAGGGCCTAATCCTGCCTTGCGCATGTCTGCTGCAGATGGCATCGTCCCTAAGGGGCGCATAGTTGCAAGGACTGGGTTGTTGTCACTCGAAACAGCTGACCATGGCGTATCTCTGTAGCTCGGAGCCGGGGCCCTCACCGGTGGCTCAACCCATTCCGCGCCTTTCTCTGACAATTGTGAATCGCTAACCGTGTCTGATATCCCAGTCTTAAACTGCCCTAGTTGCGATTGATTTTGAGATGGTGTTTCATGCGGAGGATCGGTGGCTACACGGCTGTGTCTGCCCGTCCGTCGTTGCTTTCGAGGCCTCGTAGATTCGTTGAAAGAAGAAGCGGGACTCGCGTCATCTGGCGCATGGAGTGGTGTTGACGGGCGAGAATCGTTCGACCTGACATGGGACGAAGAGCGGAGATTCGGAGCCATCGTTGTAGTACCAGGGCTCGAAAAGTTGCAATACCTGGGGTACACAAGGTTAGCGCAAAGGGCCATGGAAGTCATTTTGTTTATGTAGAAACAAAGAAACACTCACTAATAAATAGAACCCGCAAGCAGACAGCGAAGGTGCCCTGCGGTGCCGGTGGGAGACGTGGCCAGCCCGCGCGCTGTCTGCGGGTTGATGGGAAGGAGGAAGATTGCGGAGTTGGAAGCGACGGGAGTTTTCGAGGGCGACTCGGTCCCAATCACGCCTCGTAGGGGGTACGCCGCGGAGACTGCCAACCAACCACAAAAACTTCACGCGTTAAAACTAGCAGGCTTCTAGTCAGAATTGAGTAGCCACATCTCAGTTTGTGATTTTAATCATCTAATTTTCTTACGAAACTCAAAGTGAGGGATTCTTACCAGTAGGTCGTTTTGACTCGCCGCAGGGATCGTGGAGATAGCGAGACAATAGATCCACTGAGGCCTATTTATTGAAATGAGGGGGTTTGCCTTTAGTAACCTTTAAATGAGGTTCTGGAGCCTTCGTAAAGCCCTTGTGATGGAAAGTCGTGTTGTTTAGGAAAACGACGTGTTCTTTGTCTTGAATAGGTTAATAGATGATGCACCAAAAGCAGGTTTTGTAAGATGCGAGCAATCGACCATATGCATAATAACGACGACAAACAGGGGAATGTGCAAGCAAGAACTTTCAGATGCAAATGCTACCAAGACTTATCGTCGTGTACATAGTGGATCCCCTAAGGGCAGTACGGCGGTCTCCTGACAACGGACGAACAAAGGGGTAGACGCTGGCAGCCAAGTAGATATAGAGAAGAACTCACCAAGGATGTGAGAGTCTTTTGAGGTAAACCCTGGCAAAATGCAAGGAAAGGCGATGCGTGGTCTTTGCTTGTTGCGTAGATGCCTAGACACGCCAGAACGGACTGGACCTCGAAAGGGAGTGCCTAGCAGGGCTTGGTTTGAGAGGTCAAAAGTGGAAGATGCAAGGATAGGATCTTCGACAAGAGTTAAGATCGTTCTCTTTTCTTGAGAGAGGAAGAAAGACGATAGATGGAAGTAGCGCGGAGGGAAAGCAGACGTTGGAGGATAGAAGAGAAATGAGAATCCCAAAGGAGAAGTCTCAGAAGGAAGCTAGGATGGACAAACAGGACAATAGAATTCACAGCAGAGGAACCTGAAGTGTAACACAAATATGTCTGCCACGCGAATGTGATGGACGCGATGAGTGAGGTTTCTGTGTTGCTTCAACAAGCAGACAGATGACAGCCAGGAGGGGTTGGCCTTCATGCACAGGTGGATAGATGCCAGCCTACCCCACGGGACCATCAAAGCATACACTACCCAAGAATCAATTTAGCTCAAGTAACTGAAAGCGAGAACTGGGGAGAAATGAACGGGAGATTTATAGTGAGTGTGATTTTCCGAGGATGAAAGGGTCTGAGGTGAGCCAATAGCAGGGACAGAGAATAACGCTGCAGACCGAGAACCACAAATAATGAGCTCCGGATTTCTTTACATGCGCAAAGATGCTAGCCCCAGCCTGAAAATACGGGCCTTCCAACTGGGAGGGGTCGGGAAGGAAGATAAGACGAGGGGACTGGAAGGGGTGAGATTGATGGATGGAGGATTGAAGAGGAATCTGGATTGGAAACGGAACAGCCAGCAGCCCTGCTTTTTTGGCCCACACCACCAAATGACAACGCCGGATGACCACCACACTGCACCACAGTCAACTCAAGCCCAACCTGTTTCAAAGATGGAGATGCGGATTCCTCTGACAAGACAAGGGAAAATAGGTTCGATTTAATCCCGTCCATGAAACCATCAGAAGTGTTTTGGGCCATGGACACTCATTGGTAGCTGCCTTATCTGTTGGCTACACTCGTCGGAGTGAATAATTACCTGATCATATCAAACCCTGTCAGGCAAGAGGTCAAAGGTAGCGAACAAGGGAAAGGGACAAGTAATGGCTTTCACCCTGACGGGGACAAAGAAAGTGGTCATTGCCGGAACTGAATGGGTTCCACGAGTGTATCCAATGCTCCACGATACGTCGTTGTAGAAACTTGGACGGGAGGGGAAAGATCAGACTGAGAATTCTCGAAAAACAGCCCTCTCCTCTCTCCTTTGCTTTTCTCCAGGGCAAGAATGCGCAGACCTCAACGCTGTCAACAATACGCAGCCATGGGGCCGATATGTTGGTTGCCGCGGAACCCCAGGCTGCGCGTCCGACATCACTGAACGACAACATAGATTAAATAACCTTCAGTTAGTAGAGCTGGTCGTCCAGGTTGACAGTGGGACAATAGTAACCTCGAGATTATCCGGGCTACAGGAAAGACAAAAACGCAGACTATGCAGGTTGAGCTCAATGGAACCGTAAGCAGAAATTCATAATTCTCTTTTTATATTCACCTCATACATGACTTTCGCGTTTTTCAACTAATTACGTGCCAAGGGCTTTCAAGAGGGCACCGTGGTAAAAGACAGGAAATCTTATATGGCTTCTCCTATCCTCCTATGCCTCTCGCTCCATGTGCTCGCGGAACAAATTCGCCTCTCTCCAGCGTGGACAAAGGGATTTGATTGACATGAATGATCAACATCCTGGAGCACTCCGAAAAAGGAGCTCCGACCATGGCCTGGAGCAATTCCATCTGCCTATCCAACGCTTCACTAGATATGCCAAAGCTGACCGAGTTAAACGGCTAATTTACTCCTTATCGCCAGAGTCGGCCTTCTTGGCGGCCTTCTTCTTGTTGTTCTTGTTCTTCTTGGAGCCAGTCGACTTGGACAGAGGACGCTCAAGGATCTTAAGGATTTCCTCATCCTCGATCTTCTTGTCGGACTTGACCTTGGTGAAATCGGGAGTGGCGGGAGCAGTGAGCTTGGTGATACCATTCTTGGTGATAGCTACAGATCGGTCAGTCAAATGAAAGAAGGGATATGGAAGGAAAGGCTCTGGGGGTTTCTCTGATGCCCGGGAATGATTGTACATACCAATGGTAGTCAAGAGGCGGGAGACAGGGGCGTTGTCAGCATCACCGGCAGGCTCGTACTGTCTCAGGACACCGCCACGGACACACTCGACGACACCGACCTTAGCGGCCTTCTCGTCATCCAGCTGGCGCAAGCTGAAGGGGAACTGGCCGAACTTCTTGACGATCTCCGAGAGAGTTTGTCTCGAGCTGGGACGCTTGAGGCCGTAGGTGGTAGTGGTACGGCGGTGCAGGGTAGAACGAAGGGGTAGAGTCTTGACCTTTCCAGATCCAAGGGAGAGACCGATTTCAACACCCCAAACCTCACCAACGTCGGGGACACCCTCACCCTTCACGCCAGTGCCGGGGGAGAGAATGATCTTCTTCTCAGCCTCAATCTCGTTGCGCTCGAAGAGCCAGCTGGTGGTGTTCTCAACCACGTTGCAGTCGTAGGCCTTGGCAACCTTCTCGATCAGCTGGGAGATCTGAGCCTGAGTGGGAGCCCTCTCGGCGGCAGCTTCTTCTTCTCTTCCTCGGTACCGGTAGCCAGAAGACCAGGGGGCACCATGAGACGGAGCAGGAGCTCGTTGGCGTAGTGAGTCGCGGTAATGAGGTCAGCCTCGCGGCCGGTCACTTCGTCCTGGCCGACAACAACCTGGTCGCAAACAATGGTTCCGAAGCCATCGATCTGGGCACCGAGCTGAATCTTGGCGATTTCACCGGCCTTCAGGGTAGTCTCGGCCTCCTGGGCGTCGGAAACCAAGGGGGTGTATGGGGTCACATGGGAGCTGGGAGAGACAGTTGTGGGGTGACCGACACCTTTTTCCGGGAACGACTTGTTAATGTCATGCGCATGGGGCTTTTAACTAGCAGTAACATGGACTACGATGGTAACGCACCCTTGGTGATCTTCTTGCCCTTGTAGACCTTAGCAATTTCCTCTTCGAGGAGCTCATCACCCTTCTGGCAGATCTCAACGATCTTGGCTCCCTCCACACACAGGGCTAAAGCACGGGATTAGAATATGAATCTAGACCTTGGAGAGCGGCGGGCTCGCCACGGTATGTAAACCCGGACACTACGCACCTGCGACGGCATCGAGGACCTTGTGCGAGATAGTGGCAGCAGTCTTGTACTTGGTCAAAGTATCGGGGTTGTTGAGGGTGTAGTCTGAGATTGGTTCGAGGTTTTGATTAGTTTATGACACAGTGCTCCGGAGGGTACATTCAAATAGCAATAGAAGCACCCGTAGATAGAGAAAATAAGCTATCCATGGAGTTCCCGTGTTCCTCTACAGCTTTCGAGCTGCTAAACGTGCCGCCAACCGAACCCACGCCATGACGACGAAGCAAGCGGGAAGGAAACCCACAAACGGACGGACCTTTTTCAATCGGCAGAAAGAGGAGGGGTACTCAGAGTGAACACTTACCAACCTCGGCGGGGGCCTGCTGGGCCTGAGTGTCAGCCATTGTGTATGGTATAGATGGTCCTCGCTGTGGTGCGAGGGGTCGATAACGATCAAAGAGGCACTAATCTAGCGGACGTTGGGAGCTCACGAGGAGAAGAAGGAAAAATGGGCTGAAACGGAGCTGGAGAACTCAGATGGAGTCAAAGTATTTACTAGTAAGAGGAGTCCTTCCTTTCCTTACGTAGCAGTACACATTACGAGGTGTCAGCGGGGTCTTTTTCTTGGGTTTTTTGCCCGCGCGAGTGGGGTTTTTGCAGGATGATTTCACTGCAAGTAGGGCTTTGTATTGGTATTACCAGAACGTCACGAGACCGCTTGCCGCAATGTTCTCATCCATTCTTTGCCAAGTTTTTCGCTGAGCTCGAAGCTTTGGATGGCCTTTTGCTTTCCAGTCGAAAGCTACTAGCCAATCTATTCTGTCTTATTCCGCTTATACGTACTCGAGCCATTTGCCAGTCTTAGGAACCCCGTATTCTCCCATTACACACAATGTCGTCTGAAATGAGGAGTTGATAGTGTGCGTATTGTAAGGCACAGCCCGCGGAGCAAACATGAAGCTCCTTGTATGACATCACCAGATGATCACTTAATCCAATTTCGAAACATTTTCATTCGATCTCAAAAGCAAGGGCTCGACCCCAGTTTCATCTATCTTTTTTGACTCAGAAGAGAGAATATGAACTATTAAATGCAGGATAGCAAGCAGGTGTAGATGAGAACCAAGTCTTGAATTTCTAACAATGGCTTAATGTCAAAATCTTGCCATCTAACGGTCCTATGGGGTAGTGGTTATCCCACCGGATTTTGATGAACAATATACATATCCTGTATATGCATAGGAAGATCGAATCTTCCGGTAACGCCGGTTCGAATCCGGCTAGGACCTTTATTTTTTATTTTTTTTCTTCCTAATTTTCTACTATATACCCTTTACATCACCAGACAATCGCTAGAGGGCTCTTCCCAAAGTACTTGATTTTGTAGACATCGAAGGCTTTTCTTTCTGATCTAGTCCTCACTGCGTGTAGGCCTGAGCTCGCCCTAAGCTGGTCACTGAGCAAAGGCTGCCGTAAAGTATATTTTTATCTACCAACGGTTGCATAGTCACAATGAGCATCGTCATTCGCATAACTAGATACTCTCGGACAGGACGAAGACAGCCAAGGGTAGGGAGCGTAGATGCCTGGTGCTCCCTGCAAAAGCTAGAGTCGGCAACAGTCCTCGTTGTGTTGGGGAGGTCGACCGCAGCTTCAACCCTCTTTGGTGTCATCTTCAAGATAACAAACACAGGTGGAGTAGGGGTCTTGGCAGTTCTACAAACCCAGTATTCGAGAGTAGCAGCCTCGAAGGAAGCCGAGAGTCTACCATTTTCTAGTAAAAGTAAGTTCTTGTAACAACAGTAAGATCCATAAATAGAAAATATCGAGCAAAATGGGTCAATACTACGACGTGACTGACACCGCTCCATCGTTAGGTCTAACTATTATTCCACATCAGTAAACTTAGTACTGATCACTGAGCGCGCCCCGAGTGCTCACTGACGGGAGTACTGATCTGTGACAGAGAATACTCACTAAGCAAGTCTCTGACCACCCTCATAATAGCTTGAATGTCCCCCAGAAGGGGAAAGTTCCAGTGACTCTAGAAAATCAAGTTCGCATAAGAATATATACTACCTAGTAAACAAATGATGAATGAAACCCTAATATTACACATTCTCTGCTCAAACCAATATATTACATTGTAAGTTCCTGCTGTAGCAATTTCAAACTGGAATATAGCTAAACGCTTTCATAAATGCAAAATAACGCCACCATCGGAGCTCCGCGGAGCACACCGAACACCGTACCTATTCGTACGGAGACTGAAGCGATTAGGGTCAGGGGAGTTGGCAGTGCTGTGGAAGACAGGGTTGCAACTTACGTCCAGTACAAGCTGCCGGTACAGTTGAATTGGCAACTACGAATGAAATCTTCCACGTCCCTCTTGACTCCTAGGGATAGTGAGAACCTATCTTCCTCCTCGATCCCATCCATCAGTCGGTTGGCCGCTACATTGAATCGACCCACAGATTGGATGAGTGACCGAATTGCATTGTCTATAGCCGCTTGCGGGCTCCCTAGCGACATGCACAAGATAGGGATAAGGCTATAAATGGAATCCTGAGCCTATATCTATTATTAGAGCTGGTTAACCGACGAGCTTGTCAATCATGGGACGTACCATCTCTTTCTTCAGGGAATATATATCATTGACTCTTTCATGGGGAAACAAATGTTAGTGTGCAGCTCTATACAACGGTTGCCTCTATGGCTGGAGCTTTTCATCTTGGATAAAATGGTGGCTTACATTGAAACGATGACGTTCACTTCATTCCATATTGCTCTCATATCATAATCCTCCATGATAGCACGGGGTATCACTGACCGAAGACTATATCTTTATCACCCAGGGTGTCAGCCATGTAATTAGAACATCAATATATACTCACTCATTAACAGCACATATCACACCAACTGCACTGGTGCCCATTCGCACTCTCCAGTACACTTCGGGACTGGGGATCTGCCCTTCGAGTTTTGCTTTCTGCTCCATATGTGACGTTACCAGGAAAAGAGACATCTCCTTAAGAAACCCGTGCCGTTGTTCTGAAGGCCAAAGCGAGTTAGAGCCATTTCGAATTCAGGAAATAGGCAGAAGAATAAAGCAAAAGGCAAAAGCAGCAACGAACCATAAGTATATGCATCACGAAGTGCTTCACCAATCACATCAAAACTTTGGACAATAGGGTCGTCTGGCACAAAAATAGAGTCCTTGTAACTACGGGGTAAGCCTTCAGTGAGATCCAGGTCAAGACATTGAGCCACAAAATAAAGGGTTTCACGACGGTACTGCTCAGCAGCTTCAAAGTTGTTGCTCAAGGAATCTTTCGTGTCATCATCAATTTGGTCATCCCAGGTGACGAGCCAAAGGGACAAGAAGGCGAGAATATAAAGTTCCTTGAAGCCAGCCAGAGGCCACCGCGTCGCGGCGAGATGAGCAAAGTCACACCTCTTGAGCTTTGTAGCCTTCACTGGCTCTGGGAATAGGCTTTTGATTATTAGTGTTGGACTTTCTCAGGGTCCCGGTATAAATTGAATGAAAAAGTAATGAAAGATAGAACGAAGCAGACATGTATAATGGATGTAGTGTCGAAATGTAAACAAACAGTATGTGATAACAGATGGAATTGAGCAATATACCTGTCAATTCTTGCATTTATCACAGGAACCAAAGCCCTCCAGTGAGGATTAACGGCTCCAGGCCAAGATGAGAAGATGGGTAGTAGGTTGGGAACAGAGACAGGCTGTGCCCTGAGACATTTAATCAACTGAGAGTGAGCATCAATATGTGTCTCCATGTTTCTCAGAGGGGTGTGGCTAGTATCAACAACGGAGGAGAATAATGAAAGTGTGATTGTGCTGCCCACGCTCTGTCATGCGCTGGGTGCACCACTCCTATTTATATAGTCTCCATATACTCAGAGAGATTAGATACCCTAGTGGCTGCTGGCTATGCTATGGAGAATAAGACCCTGAATGCGTTGTCAAATCAGGAATTGAGTTGAGCCATGGAACATAGGATGTTTCCCAAGCTGGGGATCCTCGTGAAGGATTCGCACTTTCCAAGTACTAACGGGCAAGTTTAGCAACTCTCAAGTCCACGGTAACAATACCAATCTACGATAACAGCATGGCCAATCCGAATAAATTAATGAGCCACCCATCTTTCCAAATGACCCTTTATGGTAGTATGCATGACACCGTTTCTTAGGTGGCATGGCCATGATAGAGGCATGATAAGGAGGAGTCACTAATACTTTAGCGCTATCCAGCAGACGCAGTTGCTGATCAATTAGAGTTTGAGTATGCAGGGTGAGCTCTAAGAACTGTATGACAGTGAGACAGGTCTCAGTCTGCATAATTAGATGCAAGGGTTGATCTTCGCGTGGTCAAGATCTAGCTGCATGAGAGTGATACTAATGGCGTGATAGATATCCAAGGAAAGCTGGCGCAGATCAACGGCTTCCGTAGATCATGAACAAGTTGAGTATACAAGGCGAACCACGTGGAAAAGGCGCCATATCTATAAACTATATTAGACCGAATTATGGAGCTTACTGATTGTTGGCCAATGGTGGTACCGTGTATAATGAAAATCACGGGGGCGGAGATCTGGCACGCTAGCTGGCGAGGTGAGACACTGAACCATTAAAGGATTCAAAGGGTTGATGGTAGCCGGTCATTCCGATGTTGTAATGTACATGCCATCCACGTGTCCCTTCAGCTGGAAATTCTATATTCTGTAGAGAAAATGGCGATTCCAAGCTCGGCCTAAACACGGTGCCACTTTTTGATCAGGGGTTGCTCTAGGGGGTGCGTGCACGGAGTGGTTTGTTGGTACAACCCCCGCAAGGGGTTCGTGGTATTAGTACGTCACAGCCTCGGTCGAGCTTCACAGAGCACTCCCCGAAATTGCACGATGCTTTGATATCCATGGATTATCTTAATGTAATACTACAATCATATTGTAGCTTGCTAGATAACAAGCCATATGATAACTAGCACTTGTAAAAGCTTCTATTGCAACCATGTCGTCCGGTAACATATTGAAGTTCACGGCGGTAGTAGCTCTTAGACCTGGCTACATGTCTGCCTCCTACTGTAACGTCATGCAGTTTCAACACTCTCCTGTTGCACTTCCTCCTTCACACACTGGACCTGTGCATTTAAAGCCTTTCGGATCTTCCACATTTCCACATAGATATTCTGATGCTGCGGTTCCGTTTGTCAGTTCCAGATTGATGCTAGAGAGCATAATATCAGTACATGGTGCAACGGCACTGCACTGGAAACTTGCGACTCGAGTAGATTCTGTGGTACCACTCAGATTGAGAACCGAGATATCACGAATCTGGAACTCCGAGTTGGTGCAGTTGCCTTCCCCAGGGGCGCCGCTGAATCGAGTACACTGCGAGATCGCAACCGCAGCCCCACGAAGAGATGTGGCTTTGAGGTCTTTGAGCGTCATATTGGAGATATCTACATAATTGAGGTAGTTAGGTTCCTGTTTCAAGAGCCTGCACTGCGGGTAAGTGTGTCTTAAGCGTAAACTTACACCCGAGGCCGCCTCCGCCACCATTAGGTGGATAGCCGTTCTGATCAGCTGTCCATGTTTTAACGTACACCTATTCATCACAAGCACCCGTCAATAAAACAATTGATATGTACATTGTGGGGCGTTGCCTACCGCATGAAGGGTGTTGTGATAGTTGATATTGCTCACGTTGAGCCTCTCGATGGTTTCGAACTGGTCTTTGTACTGACCGATGCTACCCAATGCAATTCCCAATCCATTGTAGAAATTGGAGTTTGTGATGGTGATGTCCGTGCTGTTTGCCTTAAGTGAGATACTGTCATCACCATTGTACACAGTCCAGTTGTTGAACTTGATGTGGGAGGATCGAATGGTATCTGCTCCATCCGTGTTCGCTGGTTCTGGTTTTAGTGAGGTGGTGTTTGTGCTGGGTCCAGGATAAGGCACTCACAGCTCGAGACAACATTTCCGGTGTTGTTCACAAGTATGCTGTCGAGTTCAACGTGATGGCTGTATATGATAGACATTGTCCTGCCAGGGTTTTAGTTCAATAACTTGAAGAAAATTCAAAGACTACTCTACCACATCTGGCTGCGTAGGAATCTAAGGCCTCGGACCACTGAATTTGAGAGACCATTGAAAGTGATGGCGTGTGGTCGACCGGGATAGTTGGACGTATTGGGCTGCTCTTTTATCCATTGATACCAGGTGTCTCCGTTGCCATCGAGCGTCCCTATACCATGGCCATCGATCCGAACATTATTTCCTCCAAGAATGAAAGCAGTGGATTGGTTCTGATACCCGACCGGTAAAGAGTGATTCAACCAGTATTGAATATTCGTACTCCACTAGAGAATTCAGCGTAAACTCATGCAACTATGAATGAAGAAGAACTCGCAAGACACACCAGCAGTGTTCCTCCAAGGTCAATGTCGACATCCTCCAGCCACGTAATGTTCATAACAGAACCGATATGGTATGTCGTTGGTTTGAATACTACATTTCCCCCACGTCCACATTTCTTAAAGGCGTGTACAATCGCAGGGGCATCATCGGTGGCGTTGGAGCCCCCGGCCGGTACAACACAAATTTCTCTATCTGCAGACACACATGCCAACGCAGCAAGGACAAAAAACACTTTTGAAAAAAGCATCGTTATCAATTGCGTGAATCGGACTTTTGAAGGGACATATTCTGACCAGATCTATAACTAGAGAGCTGGCTGTCGGTTATCGAATGAACCTTAAGTATGTACATACATCGGTAATAGTGGCCTGATTCCTCGCCTCCACGGCATGCATCCGTGTTGAGCTGGCGATCTTGAAGGGTCGGAATTTAATCTTGCACGAATGGAATGGCTGCCATTCCTCAGTCATAGGAAGTAGCTATCTGTAACGACCAGCGACTGGCGTTCTCTCTTTTTGACTTCGTGGGGAAAATGCGGGGTACCATGGGCTATTGAATCGGACTTCGGTCGATTTCATAGCGAGTGCTCATGAGAACTCAGGTCCATAGATGACGAGAATATCACGGATTCAACGACAGCACAGCCCCTGAAAACGCTGTCTGATTGTAGCCTTTCGGCAATTACCTGGAGCTAACTGGCTGCGTCTGAGCCTCCTTCCCTCCCCTTTTTTCTTTCTTTTTCTTCTTCTTCTCAATTCCCAGAAAGGGTCGGTGTTGATCAAATTTGTAAAAAAAAGACAGTGCGATATGAAGTGGTACGTGGTCACAGACACAGAAGTGCGTACTCTAAAGATAACGGGTGGCTGATCGCCAGCTGAGCTTGCTGTTAAGCCGAGAACGAAGAGCCCTTGGCCAAAACTCCACACCACGCCTGTAGTACTCTCGAGATAACCGTAAAGCATGCGCGACTATAATAGGAATACATTATAGCCACGGCGCGATCCTGAAGGGTCATGCTATTTGCAAGGGCTCCTTTCAATACCAAGGAATCAGGGCCGTTGATCGAGGTTGAGTGAATATCACTTGGTTCAGTGCTTCGTTCTCACCCTCCTGTTGCAATCGGCCATGCCATTCTCGTGAGAAGGTAACGGGCCTTTGCCAAAGATTTGGAAGACTGGCAGGTCTCGTTGGGTAAAGACTTTTCCATTCACTATATGGTTAAAATGTATCGACTTTATAACTGAGCTTGATCCCGGAGTCCCTTACGTTCTACACGAGATGGGGCAGGTTGGTCCCTCGTTCAAGTGCATTCATACACCGAATGAATCTTCAGTGAAGCACACATATCGAGTCAACAATACTCAACTACCCGTGTAGGAAGGAGATTAGCAATATGTGACAAACTGGGAAACTATTCTTCCGCCGGCAACACAGACCAACAGTGATAGCCGTTAGAATAAGTAGCAAGTTTTAATGATGTGACGAACCAACTATGATCATCGAGGGAAGGATGGTGACCTATTGTTTAGACGACTTGACTAAAGACATCATCCAGCCATTCTATCCACCGGCCTAATAATCCCTTATACAAATGTATCTAGACCCGATACGAGCGACGATCGATTCTATACAGGCTAAAAGATGATTAACAGCAATATATATTGATGTGATATCGGATGTTAATCTCTATAGATCATTACTCTTATACTATTTGTGATCCAGTCTACCACAGCCATATCTCAAATAACAGAAATGGCTTGACATACTGTAAAATGGACTCATGAACAGCCCATATGGACTGTTTTGTATCACTTAAGAGAGTACTAACTCACCAGGTAGTGTAGACAGGGACTATGATGTGTTAGATCTCAAAGCAGGCTCTTGTTATAATAGACATGACTAATGAAAATATGTGCTGTTTGTCTCTCACTCGTCTGGAAATTTGGCGCTACATCCAATATCAATGGTGGATGAGGGGAGCCCAGAAGAGGAGAAGGACCTCTCCTCCAATCACAACACCGGTTGACCCAACTTCTCCTCATCCCATCAGTCCTATAGCATCGTTACTCCCTAGAAGTCAGACCAGGAACGGTACGTCTAACAAGCGCAGGTGCCAAGGTTCTCAATCCTAGTGAAAACAGCAACCTATCACTTTCATAACTTGACCTGTGGTCAATCTTCGACCGTTGAACCATTTTGCAAATGAGATCTTCTACAGAGCTTCCAACCCGCATCTTGACGAATAATATTCGTTATGCGACAAAGTCACCATTTAAGGGAGAGAAGCCATGGGAAGAGCGCAGGCAACCCCTCCTGAATCAGCTGCTGTATAACACCCGCAATCAAGACGCTTTCATCTGCCTACAAGAGGTTCTTCATAACCAGCTCATCGATATACACTCCGGACTGAACTGTAAACATTCTACAGTCTCCGCTAAAGCTGGGAAAAATGCCTGGGCATATATTGGCGTCGGGCGAGATGATGGCCACGAAGCTGGCGAATACTCACCTATATTCTACCGACCGTCGGTTTGGCAGCTCCGACATTGGGAAACAGTCTGGTTGTCGGAAACGCCGCATGTCCCCTCAAAAAGCTGGGATGCGGCGTCCATCCGCATCGTAACGATTGGTGTTTTCACGCATCATACAAGTCGTCAGACTGTACTGGCGATGAACACCCATTTGGACGACCAAGGATCCCGCTCTCGCTTTGAAGCAGCTCACATTATCCTTCGGAAGATTGATGAGTACCAGAGTGGAGAGTACAAAGATGTCATTTCCGCAGTGTTCCTGACAGGTGACTTGAACAGTGAAGAGACACAAGAGGCCTATTCAGTGTTAACAGGGAGTGAATCCACTCTGGTTGACACGGCAAAAACGGTCGATCCGGCGGAGCACTACGGTAACCATTTGACCTGGACGGGTTTCGGCTACGAGGAAGAAGACCCTTCTCGTATCGATTACGTCCTCGTAGGACCAGGGCCCGTGAAGGTGCTTAGCAACGGGGGCCAGCCATGGAAGGTGGAGGGGTACTCTGTGTTGGCCAATCGATTTGACGATGGTGTGTTTAACTCGGACCACCGAGCGGTTGTTGTCGATGTGAGACTATGCAGCTAGAAGAGAATGATGGGTCCCCACAAACCCATGGTCAATACGATCCAAAGGACAGACTGCCATACATTAACTCGTGGATGCATACAAGATGGTAACATGGTTACCTCTCCTGAGGTTCCGACGCACCTGATGTAATTATGGAGAAAGATCAATACCGTACCTATACAGATAATTGAATCCACCGTGAAACAATCTTGTTACGCCAAGGGCCTTAGTGTATGGTGCTACGGCTAAATGAGGTGTAGCTCACATCACAAGCCTTCCTAACTAGGAATAGTGAGTGGAAACGTGAAACGCGACCGAGACTGTTTTACAGAGCCAATACAGTAACTGTAAAGAACGTTTTGATGCTGCCAGATGGATGAAAAGCGTTGGAAAAGATGGATGGTGATAGCTTCAAAAAGATCCCAAAAGGGATGTTCTAAATCTCTGATCAGGATGGTTTTTCCTGGCGCTGCTGGCTCATGCCCAGCTCCCTCTCCGAACGTCTCCCCCTCCGCCGATGAACGGACAGGACTTGTAACGGCTGTTCAGTCCGCTCGGCGCTCCCCTTTCCTCCCTCACTTCTCTTTCTCAATCTCTGCAGTCCTTTTCTCCCCTTTTTTTACCACCTCTCACGAAATTGGAGCATTGTCACGTCAGACCCCACGCACGGGGGCCACTAGAGATTAACTGGACCAAATCTTAAAGGGACAGGAAGTGAGATCTCCGAAAAATAAGGACGCGAACGATCGAGACCTGGACCTGACCTCAACTGGGGGCGCGCCATCAGCTGATTTAGCCGTTCTCTTCCGGATTCCTTCTCGCAAAGACCAAAGAAAGACCCATACCGGCAGACCCATCCACTGCTTGCTTGTGTGCTGTGCCTCAGTCCTGCGCTGGCCCTGGAACCTTCCTTCCTGCCTCGGGCTTTCCGCCGGTCTTTTCATTATTGCTTTGATTATCCTCCGTGGTTAGTGCTATTTTCCTTTGATTCGTCCTCTGCCTTTTCCCTTTATTTCCCTCTCCCCGTTGGTTCTGGTATGTCTTCTCTACCTTCCACGTTGTCGTCCCTTTCCCCATTCTTACACCGCGGCTCTGCCAACCTTGGTGTCAAGTCTACTTCCATCTAGGTGACATGACGGCAACGGCGTGGCGGGCTTGCGGCATATCCTCACTACCTTATCTTGCGATGGATCGCATCCCCCGCTGCGTTGGTCGCGTCCCCATTGCGATAAGATCTCAATGTGCGGCCATGCCAAATTTTGCTAACCTGAACGCGGTCTGCCTCAGGTTCCCGTCTAAGCATGCTACCGTAACCGACTCATTATCCACTCGGTAGCCATCCTCCTTTGTTGAGCGCCATCTCGAAGGGCGAACCTTCTGCACAAGTGGCGCGTTCTGTTTCTTTCGGAACGATAATCGCGACTCCAGATCGAGCCAATATTCGATCATGCCGTCCCCGGAGCTTTCTCAATCGGGGCAACTGCCCAGCGACATCCAGCCGGACAGCGTTCAGAATGGCTCTGTTCCGCCAATGACAACTGGGAATCACAATGACGAAGCTGCCTCAGGATCTCCTACGGAACAGGGACCGAATGGGTCAAATGCGATCACAGAAGGAAAGCACAATGCGAAAGCCGTTCTCGCAGCCTCGGGTGTGTCTTTAACACCCGCCGGCTCCAGTCATAACGCGTCCAATGGCAATCCGTCTTCCAGCTCCCAGTCAATTAATGCCAATGGCTCAGCAGCGAGCAAGAAACGATCACGTGGCGGCTCCGCCATTCATACTTCCTCGCCGACAGAAGGGCTAGCCGTGCGTGTACGTGAAACTTCAAAGGATAAGATCCTAGCGGAGCAGTATGTGAACCGGGAGTTCCAACATTCTGCCTTGACGGCGTATCACAATCAGAATCAAGAGATAACAAACCAAAAACGTGCCGAACGGGACTTTTATCTGACTCTACGACGGGAGAATCATATGAACCCGGCGGCGCTGTATGGTGTCGGCTACGAGGGGTTTGGGAATGCTCGTACAGATCTGCGAGGTCAACATCCCCAGCTATTGTACCCCTCCAACCGGCGGCGACCAGGTAACCGGAGGACTAGGGAGCTACGGGTTTCACGGAAAGATTTGAAGACACAAAGTGAACAAATCGAGGACCTTGTGCCCATTCGGCTGGACATCGATTGGGAGAAGATCAAGATCCGAGATACGTTCACCTGGAATCTCCATGATCGGGTGGTATCTCCCGACCTATTCGCCGAAAAGCTAGTGGAGGACCTGGGCCTCCCTCTTGAATCATGCGCTCCCCTCGTGCGGATGGTTTCACAGAGCATCCAAGAGCAGATCTGCGATTACTATCCTCAAATATATATGGAAGAAGATCCTCTCGACCCTCATCTCCCGTACAGTGCTTACAAGAACGATGAGATGCGCATCCTTGTTAAGCTAAATATCACCATTGGTCAGCATACTCTGATTGACCAGTTTGAATGGGATATTAACGACCCCTCCAACTCCCCCGAAGATTTCGCTGCGCGGATGACGGATGACCTTTCTCTGTCAGGGGAATTTACGACAGCGATTGCGCACTCTATCCGCGAACAATCGCAGCTATTCACGAAATCACTCTACATCCTCTCTCATCCGTTTGACGGACGTCCGATCGATGATCCCGATCTTAAGTCCGCTTTCCTTCCTACCCCCCTCGTATCATCCTTCAGGCCATTCCAGGCAGCCAAGGAATTTACACCTTATCTGTATGAATTGAACGAAGCAGAATTAGAACGTACAGAAGTTTCAATATCCCGTGATCAGCGGAGGCAGAAACGCTCCGTTAACCGTCGCGGTGGACCCGCCCTACCCGACCTGAAAGACCGCCAAAGGACTATCCGCACGATGATTGTATCCTCCGTCATTCCTAATTCGGCTGCGTCTATTGATGAAAGTAACGTCTTCAAACGATCTGGGTCGAGTCGCGCCAGGCGCGCTGCTGTCGGGTTGCGGGACACTGGTGACGATTCTGATGAATCAGACAGCGACGAATCTTCAATCACAGGCTCCCCCGCTATCGGTCCTCATCTGGCTCAAGGCACTGCGCGCACAAGAGGCATGCGAGGGGCTGCCAGTGCTGCTCACGCTGCTCTGCGTGCGAACCTTGGTCAGTCTGCCACTCCGGAGCCTCACCACGAGGGAAGAGCATCTGCTAGGAGACGGGACTATCGCGAAGAGAGCATCGAAGAGCCAGAAAAACTAATTGTGAAGCTTAAGATCCCTCGTGAGAAGTTCCGTCAACTTCTTACCCACGGACCACAGTCAATACCGAGTCTCTCAGCGACTCCAGCCCCTCAGCCACCCTCACATCAAGGCACGCCTCAAATTAGCACCCCGACCCCAAGCAACATGGCTCCACCGTCACACACCCAGCCTCAAGCTCGTGTCCCAAGTGTCATCGGTACACCCACACAACGGACCGTCCCCGCGCAGCAAATTGGAGCCATAGATGCAACCCACCCCCCTCAGCCGGGTGTCCCAGGGGTGAGTGATAAATAGCTCATGACAATTCTTTTGTTGATTCGCCTCAAGTGGACCGGCTTATCCGGCTATGGTGGGTGTATCAATCACGGTTCCCTGCTGACTTGAACTTCTCTTAGCCCCCGCCTCCAAGTTGGCTCGCGGCGGGACTCGCGCGACTAAAACGCTCGTATCCAAATGACTCCTTTGAAGGCGTAATGCGCTACACTGCTGTCGACACGGAGACAATGCTACCAGTAGCCAATGCCAATACCGAGTCAGGCCAGAAACTAAAATATCAATACCTCCCACGCATCCGGTGCCATGACTGCCCGGGCAAACTGTATACCCCGGGGCCAGGCACGACAGTCGATAATTTCGAGGTCCACCTTCGAAACCGACAACACAAAGAGCGTGTTGAGGAGAGAATCACCAGGACCGGCGGTGCAGGGGGCAACAATGCATCTTAGTCATGAGCTCAACGATGAAGCGCTTTCATCTTTATATCTTCCTCCTTCTCTCTCTTCTTTTCTGCATCAATGTATACTTCTCAAAGAAACTTCTTTTTTCTATTTCCCCCTCTTCATGTGTGCGTACCACTGGAAAAAAGAATCCGCGGCTTTATGTATATGGTTTGAGCGATTGGACTTGAGGCCGTATCTTTTTCCCGTCCTGGAATTATGTGTGATACTCTAGTGAGCTTGGATCTGGTGCTGTCTTTTTCTCCATTTTCATGGTCGGCGTAAATACAGCGTTGTTCGAGATCGGGGCATTAAAGTCATTATACGGTGCTCTCTATCTTCATTGTTCATGGGACCTAACCTATTCACTCAATACAAATAAATAATGCATGTCACCTGATGATGACATTCAAGTCCTAGACATATATCTATCTATTGGTCGTCGGAAACTAAGATTATGTGTGCTACCATGGCCTCAATTCGCGCTGTACATATATTTGAGCACCGGGTACATACATACAAAGATACGAACGTAGCTAAACACAGACCGAATAAAAGAGCAAGGGCAAACACGCAGGAAAAGTGACACTTGGAACAGGGCGTTATCCTAGCAATTTTAAGGAAACAACAGATAAAGCAAAGAAATGGCGTAGGAAATGGGTATACACTTCAATTCGACTCAAACGGGTAAAATAACTAACACTCACAGATGGACTCGTTCATTGGTGAGAAGACGGAGATAACATAAAACAGCATAGCATAGCACAACATGCACGAACAGCAAGCATTCCGTCAAGGAATGGGACAATGGAGTGGTAATTTTAGATTGATTCGAGGAATCACGTAGGTTACGCAGACAGACAGACAGGCTGGCAGACCTGCTAGAATGTGACGGGGATGAAAGAGATGATGATGGTGTATGATGCTTGAGATCCACCTTACTAGCTGTGTCCGTCTCTATCCTCTTCGAGAGGCGCGTCGGGCGGGCAGGGTTGTTGCACGTGCTTTTTTGGCGCTTGGTGGTGGGGATGATGGAGGTAGTGATGGTGGAGGAGAGGACAGGTCGCTGCCGTCGTCGTCTTCTGAATCCTGGACGTGATTGTTGTTTGCATGGTTGTTTTCGTTTTCTTCGTTGTCCTCTTCTTCAGCTTCAGCTTCGTCTTCATCCTGATCCCAGTCATCCATTTCAACGTCATCTTCGTCGCTGTCGTGATCTGCATAACTGACTCTACGAGAAGTACCCCTGCTGCTGCGTCTGCGGGCAGTGGCAGTGCTGGCTTTTGCGGCGCCCTCATCTGATGACCAACCGTCTTCGTCCTTGTTCTTCCGCTTAGGTGTCCTTGATGTTGCGCCTGAGGACTTCCGGGGCCGTGTAACTTTCTCCTTAGCTTTCTTTACTTTCTTGGTTGTTCCGGCTTCACGGGTTGTCTCGGTGGACTCGGGCTTCCTCTTCTTCGCGGCTTGGCCTTGTGACCCGCCCTTTGACCTCATCACGGTCCGCACGAGCCGATCTAGCAGGTCATCAACGTCTTCCGAGAGGAAGTTTTTCTCAGCTACTTCCTGGGCTTCGCGGTGGCTGCTCATCGGGGCAAAGATTGAGCTCGGGAGACCCATCTTGCCGGGGTACGTCTGCAGAATATTAGTGCCACCAGCTCCGCCGCCGAACCGGCGCTGCTGTGAGTAAATATCGGCGAATCGGCGAATGGTAGACTGAGCCAGGTCCGAAAGCGTATGCAGACGTGTGGTGATTTCATCGGACTTGGTAATACCGTCACGTGTCTGCTTGACACGTTGGGCGATATGGAAAATGAGCGAGAGGTTACGTTCATTAGCTACCGCGGAGAGATAGAAGAGAATGTAGCGGCCAAAGTCAGTCAGATCGCGAGCTTTCGTTTCCTCATCCAATTCTTTAGGGGGGTAGTCAGGATGATAAGCTAGTAGCGACAACAAGCGCGAAAAGATGGACTCCATAACTGGGTCGTTCTTCTTGCCACCATTTTGAGAAAAGAAGGTCGCGCGGGATCGCAACCATGTCAAAGTGCTGTCCTTCAGACTAGCATTTGGTTCAAACGCGAGCAGGAATGTGATGATATACCAACGGTGACTCAAGCGCGAATTTGGTACCAGTTTCTTCTTGAGTTCATTGATAAACCCAATCCTTACAGGCGCAAGACGATCTTGGGCGACTAGAGCAAGAGCATTGAAGTCTTGAGGCGCAAGTAAATGGTCACAGATGCTATGAGATGCGCATAATTTGAGTAATGACTTAGCGGCCAGAAGACGTAATCGTGACTTTTGCCCTCCTGGTGTGTCTTTTTTCTTTGACAACTCTCCCTCACCGACCACAAGTTTGTTGAGAGTACTATAAACAGGTTCGGCATGAGCACGGAAATCGTCTTCACCGTCAGAGCCTCCCTTGGCGCGTAAACGGTTGACAATAATCTTGAGAGCCCATTCTTTAGCAGCAGTTTCATCATCCATGGTGTCTGACCATATATAGTTGTCTTCTGGCTTCGGAGACCGGTTTGTCAAGAGGATTTTATTGACAGCGATAGAGATTATGGCGTCACTCTCCTCATCTGCCTCCCTTGGGGCTAAGAGGTTCAGCTGAGATAGCGTAGCTAACTTGGTGAGGAATCGATCTGTTCCATATTTCCACTTAGAAACACACTTCTGGACCAGGTCCTTAGCGTACATCTCTTTGCGATCTGCAGTGGCCATGAGGATTGAGACAGCGTGCTTGGCAGCCCGAGGTGATGGGCTATACAACGCATAGTTGACAAGGGCCTGGAAAAACTTGCGCTCTTTGGGCAGCTTCGCCGGGAGCTTCTTTGCAAACCCAGAGCAAGCCTTGAGGATCTCTTCGGTTCCAGTATCCTTACTAGTTTCAGCTGATGGTGCTTGCGATTCGAGGTCCTTGCACATCTCTTGAACCTGAGCCTCTAATACCTCAGGATTCCGGGATGAGATCTCCCGCAACATTTCATGTGCGGGGCTTGCCAATCCATTCTCATCTGTCCGCGAAAGGCTTATAATTGCCGGAATGTGGCTCCGGTTGAAAACAAGGGAGCTACAGCGGTAAAGAAGGGGGGTCAGAGTCTCAAGTAAAGGAGAGTTGTTAGAACTTTGCAATCGGCGTGCGAGCTCCTTGATGGCCTTGATAACCGTTCGGTAATCACTGACCGCGGCCATTGCAAAGCGAACCAACTGGTAGCTGCGACGGTCATGTACTTTGGCAAATTTCCAAAGATCTGCGGAAGCTCTTGACGCATCAGGAAAGAGCTTTGACAATGTATCAATCACTCGACTGATTTGAGCTGTGATCCGTTCGTCGTCTTTCTCCATCACACCACCCTGTGTTCACCTGATATCAATATGTGATTACCTATACAAATAGCGAGACACTTACATTATACTCTTCGCAGGCCTGGAGATAGACTGTCACAGCTGTCCTCATCTGAATTTGCCTGGCCTGCATTGCAAAGAAAACCTTCTTTGCCTTGTCGTCCAATCCACTAATTAGGGTTAAGATGCGACGGACGCGGATCTTGTCAACGTCTGTCTCATTATCGCCCTCTGACGTCTGTGAGTCTTTCAGTCTTTGAGACTGCGTCGAGCTACTCCGCGATAGTTTAGGCTTTATCGGTGGGTAGCTAAGCGGAAGAAGGATCTCAAACAAAACGCGATCGATCAGCACATGGATATCCATGTCATTTGTGTAAAACGCATCAAAGATCTTTGACGGCCCGTCCTTGAACAAGGATACTACTTGCTCGTTATCTTGCTCAATTTCACCTGCCGCAACTGCCCACATCCGGCCCAGGGTTTTCATGGCATGTTCCCGGACCTGTGGTTTTCGATCTTTGACGCGCTCCGCCAAGATAAAAAGTATAGAATCTTGGGATGAAAAGCCGCCACTGGCGCCCAATTTGTGAACAATGTGAGACAGACCAAATGTACCCACCGCGTCGACTGCTGCTACTCGGACCTTCTCGTCTGCATCTCGAAGCATAGATGCCAGGTGTTTGATGAGCATCTGCTCCTCACTTTCGGCCAGGCCAGAGCCACCGGCCGACGTTAACAATATCCGACCAACCACAGTGGCCCATGCGGCCCTTACTGAGGCAGACTTGTCCAATCGTCGACTCAGGAAGCCCTCATATGTGGAGCTATGCGCCTGCGAGAATGGCTTGGGCGAGAATGGCTGTACAAGAACGTTTGGCTGGGGGATGGTCTGCGAATAGTCTGACAAGGTCACCGGTGGATAGGCTGCAGGATCCATTGGTGGAGGGGATGGTGGCCCAGCAACTCCAATTCCAGCCGTGAGGTCACCGATTGTCTGCGTAGCTAGCAGGCGCAAAGACACGGACTCTGCGGACAGTTCTGCCTCCAGCTGGGGAACCACATTCTGTAACACCTCGGGACAGGCCCTCCAAAGTTCTCGAATCAAACGGTGTGCCTTGCTCAGCTCTTTAATATCCTCCCCTTCTTCGTCTGAATCATCAAGATTGGGTCGGCGATGAGAGTTCTTCGACGGACCGTTCGCTCCTGTCGCAGAGGCATCGATGATGACATTATTGAAATACTGGCTAATATGGCTAGTCATCCTCTCTGGGCAGCTTGGCAAATTGCCTTCGCCATGTTATACGCTGGGGGGTAGTCCTTCAAAAGTAACGTTCCCTGTTTGGCGTCGACCGGAGTATCGGCCTTCTTCCCTCTCCTGCTAGGGTTCTCCAGAGCACGTGGGTCGATGCGCAGGAATTGGGCGACGATAACATCCACAACATCTGCAGCAAGTACTGGCGTCTCATCGATCACCGTTACAAGCAGGCGGGTCATGTCGAATTCAACATTCTTCGCGATGTCCTCGCCCGTGGAAGCTTTGGAAGAACCAGAGACAATATCAAAGCAAGTAGTAAATAACGGAATAATTAAAGCATCCGGGTGATCGAGGTCTGTCATTAAAACGATACTCTTCACTTCTGCTAGTGAGTTTAGCACATAGATATGCTGAGCATTATACGTGTTAGAGGGATCCCCCAATGCGGGGATAATGGAGGTCACGATCAGGTAAATATATCCTGCATAGTTCAGAGCATAGTTAGTATTTAGCATGGCTCAATTGAGTAGACCGTCCTTCGCAAGAACAATCAATACAGTGACAGCGTACCTTAAGTTGATTACCGGTGAAGGGCGCGTCAGGGGCGCAGAGGCGCAAAACATCGACAATGCAGCAGGCCGTCCAGGCTCTTACCCCCTTGTCCTTATGTGCGAGAAGCTGAGCTGTTGCTAGCTCCTGAGAGACTTTCTGGAGAGAATCCTTCTCCACCTCCTCCTGTTCCAGCTTGCGAAGCTCTTGCGCGAGCGTCTGCAGGCGCTGCAGCAGGTCTGCAATGGGGATAGCCGATCGCCCAACGCGCCATGAAATTGGCTCATTGAATCTGAGGCGGCGAAGGCCACCGGATATCTCTTCTGATTCCACGACCTCCGCCGCAGCGGAGGGGCCTTGACGAGTGCGCGCAGGCATCGTGGAAGCAGCGCGGGGAAGCCGGTGAAGGTGTAAGCTTCAGCGCACCATGCGCTAAGTCGGGAAGGAGGAGAAAGGGGGAACAGGAAATAAGATAAAGGGAGGAGAGGAAGATGCGGGAAGATAGCACACTGTCAAATGAAGACTTCCCAAGCTAGAGCGGAAAAGGACGATGATAGGCGGAAGAGGAGGTGGTTGGACAAGCAGCAAGCAAGTCAAGTCAAACCCCCGAGGACGATGAATTGATTGACGGGCGGCTTTTTTTGACCGCCTTCACTCAAGACGCGTCGCGTCGTCGTCTTTTCTTGCCCTATTTTTCCTTTCTCTTCTGGGTTCAAAACTCCACCAGCTCTCGTATGATCTCATGGATTTGACTAGTTTTTGAGTCTTTGCCTTATCCTCCGACGGTGGCGTACGGAATCCCTCGTCTTATCTGAGACAGCAGCTGAACCACCTCGGCGATTACTTGTCCGGTACCTACATAGCTCATTACCTAAACCGATCAAGTTTCACAGCTGAACTACTCGACCATTCACACTATCACATAGTGCAAAGATGATGGGTGATATTGACACTAAAATCACTTTTGCTAAATACACAGTATATCGCAATGAGAGGTGAAAAGTAAACATTAACAACACTCGTGGGGGGTACGCTCGCTATGCATGCATACAACCAACACTTCCAAAAGTAAAATAAACATTATCGCCTGTATACCACACTATAACGCCGAGCTCATGATCAAAGTTAACTATATGCATATTAAACCTGAGTTATGCGACTGTTTTTCTCTCGTTTGCTCCCACGAGAAAGGGGAAGATCTTGTGCAAGTCTAGCAGCGGCTGATCTAGAACTTCGGCGAAAACTTGCTCATGGCACGAATCTTCGCTCCGTAAAAGAAAAAGACGACTGGAATGGGTATCATAGCAACCGTGAGGAATCCAAGGAGACTGGATGCCCAGTTTACACCCAATCTATGGTACATCTGCACGGCAAAGAGCGGGAAAGCACCGCCCAAGCTACTCCGGATGAGAGTGTTGGCAGCAATAGCTGAGTTGGCAAACATCATGTACACGTCGATGATGTAGTTAAGACCTTGCATGAAGATAACCAGGATACCCATTCCGATGGGGACACCTGCAATTACCTGGGGCACCCATGAAATATTGGGATCCGAGGTCCACCCGAACCAGAAGAGACCAGCTGGCAACAGAACAGAAGCAATCATCATGGGAACCAGGCGCTCTTCTGGTACAACTCTGCCATGTTTCTCCAGTTTCCGTGCAAAGCGCGTCTTGGTCTGCCAGATGATCAAGGCAACACCGCAGAGAACTCCAATCATAATCCCAAGGAAGGGTAGCCCTGCCACACCCCCATTCGTCCAACCTCGAACTTCCATGAAGGAGACCGGGTAGGCCTCGAAGAACAGATACAGGATACCGTAGATAAAAGCCAGGTATATCGTCATAGCTAACAGGATCGGTTCGAGGAACAGCATTTGGACCGGGCGCAGAAGATATTTCGTAACGATTTCTGATGCCGTCGGGCGATGCTCGTCCAGGAACGAATGCAATGCCCAGTTACCAGTCTCCCGCCGCAGGCGAGCAGCACGTTTCTGAAGAATGACCGGGCCATAGGTTTCGGGGACGGTGAACAGCGCAAAGGTACCGAACGATGCAGAGGCTATCAATGTGATCCAGGCTGTCCACCGCCAGCCAAGATGCGACTCTGTAATGAAACCACCCACAATAGGGCCTAATGAGACCTGTCAGTCTTGCTACAATGTCGCAAAGCAAACAATAACGGGAGATGGAAGGAAGACTTACCGATAACGGGCCCAACAAAAGTCGCAGCTGAGAAACAAGCAATGGCCACGGCACGATCCACGGGGTCCCAGAAATCGGCCATTGCGCCCCCCACCACAGCCAGGGGAGAGCAACCAAAAACCCCCATGAGAAAACGGCACAGCATGATTGTCTGAACATTTTGTGCCACTGCGACCGGGATCTGAAAAATTGCGAAGATGGCATAGCCAGAAAACAATGGTATTCTCCGTCCGTATAATTCTGAGAGAGGAGACCACATCAAAGGCCCAACTGCGAATCCAAACACCACCAAACTAGTCGCTAGAGTCATAACTTCAGTTGAAACGTTGTACTCCTTAGCTGTCACCACGGTTGCTGTCGAGAACACACTACTGGCGAAAGTGATCCACATTGTCAAGGAGGACAGCGTCATGGTCAAAACCCATTTCCTCCATTTTGGCATGTTCTGGGGGTTCTCTGGATCATCCGGGCCGTCCCATTCTACCAAATTCGGGTCCTTCTCCGAAGCCTTTTCCTCTTGTCCCTTTCTTGAATGTGGTGTTGACATCGATCTCTCCAACCTCTCCAAGTCCGTGCTCTGAGTACCCCCAGCATTCTTTTCGGGGTCTTCCTCGATCGACGAGGAGGAATCTGAGTGCAAAGTGATGTCCGAGGATTGCATCGGTCCCTCGTTTTCTTTGTCTAGACGAGCTGAGCTATGTAGATCATGCTGTGTTGCGCCATCTCGATTGGTGGCGCTCATTTTGGTTGAAAGCGCGGGATAAACGTCAAGGCACAGACTCCAATATCACTCGATACAGGTATAGCAAACAACAGGCTCTGAATAGCAGCGATTAGGTCTCCTGCAAGAGGGTAAAAAAAGTCAAGGTGAATAATGTCTATAGCCTACTGCCTAGCTGACCCAGGCACATAGGAGGGGGGGGGGAGTCCTTCTAATATAATAAAGCATTTTTTGCTACACAGGGGTGGGCCTATAGAATAAGAAATTTGCACCCTAGTGACGATACATTAGTTAAACGGAGCGCTATGAGAGGAGGAGCCATGGCTGCTAAGCTGCCCAGCGCACGTACGTGCTCCACCACCATGGTAGCTGTCTGGTTTTTGTTGCTAAATCCGAGTCCGATACCCCGATGCCGATATCTACCTACATCAGATCCTACTAATGTACAAGCCATGAACTAAAATGTGATTAATAGGAGGGCATATGTCTGATGTCAGCAGATTTGTCATAATGAACACATGCGGAAGAATCCACAGATCGGTGACAAGGTCGGATTTAACGAATGGGGAAAGACGTGAGGTGAGAGCCATGAACAATGACACAAGAACCACGAGGTGGAAACTGGAAAATGCTTAGCGCTTTCGCCCTCTCGCCCTTTCGGCCCTTCACTGGGCCCGACTTCCATGGCGCTTCCACGGCCACTATTGGGTCCCCGTCTCCACCCTTCCCGATGGCTTAACTTCATCCCTATCCACTTTCGGCAGATGCTCTGCTTTCGCTTCCGATTATCCGGTCCCATATCAGATACGCGATGAAGGCCGTTACATGAGGGTCAGACCCTGGTCACTCTGGGGCACTTTGATTTGTTTTCTGGAGTCAAACCACCCACTTATCCCCGTTCGGAGTTAACTCTGGACTAAGGGTTTGTTTCCTCCGGTGACCTCTTCTATAGATATACTGTGATGCTAATACTCCGTAGTATGTCTCGGCTTCATCTCGCGCTATACATTGTTCGATGGCCGATGTCCGACGTCTGACACGTGCTCGCAAATGGGATGCATCCATACCGCAACACCAGAGAACGACATACGGGGGAAATTTCACATTTCTTTTAGTCATCTATGTTGACTTATCAGCCTATGGGAGTTTCTGATCGAGTCCTGTTGGCACTGCGCTGCTGATCTGGCTAACTCGGGAAATTATAGTTGACATGGCCTGATGGTGTGCTTTTTCACCGTTTTGAGTAGTGTTAGTCCGCTTTGCATATCAATCTATTAGGTGTAGGTGTTATATGCTGCTGCCTGGGGTTTTGAACGTGACAGCCGTGAGTTGTCATTATATATAAAATATTTCTCCTGTTTCATATCTGGTGCAATCTTGCAATTATATATTTATATATATCTACATCCCATGCCACAGTTACTACTCTCGAAGCCACTTTCATGTATGGCCCTATTGATAATCGTTGGAACGGCCTAGGGCAGGAAATCCATTCACCAGAGATTGTAATTCGTATTCCATCCAGCTAATCTGTGTTGATCGAATTCTGTACAAAACTCAATATCTGAATGAAAATGAGTTTCAATATTGCCGCGGGGTATTTCCGGTTCAACGGGTAATCTATCCGCAGCCCACAAAGTTTATACTAATTTTTGTTTACTATATCTACGATGCTTTGCACCTCTAAATTCGCACAGGTTACTCCTACGGTATGATCATTAGACTACTCAGGAGGTGACAGCAACTAATCCGGTCTCCTAACTATTGAGTGACAGTAATATACATGAGAAAATCATCCGAAGGAACCTCCTGATTATAGTTTGTGCGTATACGCTACTGTGTATACTCGGCCCAATAGGAGAAGGAACCAGAAAAAAAGCACTTTAAGATGGAGAGTTCATAACTCACCAACGATATCATTGTCATAGTTTAAGACGCGAGTGATGAAGAGTTCTACAATGATGCTTCTGATGTTAGATGGTCTTTGTCTGAAGGCGGCACTGACCTCCCCATGGGAAAACCGAACTTAATCAGAGATGCAGATTAGCATAGTGCATATATTCATCCCATCTTGGAGACGAGCATACTGCAGATATGTATGCCGTAGTCCGGCGCTTAATGACCATGTGTGATGGCTATGGGGATTTGAATAAATTGGCTGTCCACAGTACTTATATACCCTCCGCGAACGAAGAGAAAAACAGACACTATGTGACCAAGAACGAGGAAAGGGGTCTTTTTTTGGCCCAAAATAAATCAGAATCACTCGCCAGAACCCTAGTAGAATGAAGTGTATGGAGGTAATCTACCTTGGTGACTTGATCGATCGCCTGAAACATGCAGAGGACTAGTAGTAAAACTAGGGTTATTGGCATCATTGTTCTTAGTAAGTGTTTCTAATGGCAGAGGACCGTGACGCGTCATACAGGTGATATGAGGTTCTGGATGTGCATAGACTCTATTCAAGTGCATATGTCCCATCCTTGTCCATATTCCTTGGGTCTATTGAAAGACGTAGCTAGTTAGACTCTGATTGACTACTTGGCCTGTGAAGATTGCTCAGCGATAATAGCGGTGTGATGAGGACTAAGAAATACCCGAAGCGCCTTGGTCGGTGCCAGAAGTAGTGTGTGGTACCAGTACTCCGTGCGCGGACTACTAATCCATGTGTGACCCCCTCCCCCCCCCCCTTTTTTTTGAAGACCGCATTCACTAGGAAACCAGCTCCGGTTCTTTATTCATGTATAGCTGCTATGAGTTGCTAGCAGTGATAATGTTGTAGCCAATTAATAGACATAGAAGAATAGAAAATGTCGCTATAGATGTTTAAACCCGCCTCAGTGAAGTCCAAAACCAGTCACTCCCATATTCCTGGGTATCCAAACGCATCTTACATGCGTAAGCTCGCTAAAGGTCATGCCCGAACGCCGAATGGATGCTCTCATTTCAGTAGAACCAAGATATCGCTGTAAACGCCGGAAAATGCTAAACTCTGTCCAGAATTAGGGGTCAAGAACTATCATCAACAGGGTTGTTGTCCTCCATCTTATGTTTCTGCTTCAAGGCATCGATAGCTTGGTAACCTGCTCCTTGGCAATGGTCTCCAGGTCAATTTTCGCATCAGCTGCGATGGTTTCAACGTCGCCCACTCGTTCATATAACATTCGGGATATATTCCGATTGATGTCAGTGTACTCGTCCTTCGACACAGTCTTTGAACGGTAGTATGGCTTCAAGGCTGCACCGACCAGTTTCTGTATGTCGCTTTTGACCGCTAAGGATAGGCTGGGCCGGCTCGGAGACTTGTCGTTCGCTCTAAATAGACTCGAGCGATATGCTGCCCTTGGAATCCGGCGTCGGGTGCTATCTGAGAACCCTTGCGACGGCGTATCGTCTGTAGAAGTTGGAGAAACATCGGGCGAGAAGGGTGGCGACGAGGGATGATTGGGTGTCGCGAGCTGTAATGGGGATATCGGCCTACTCCTTGGGTGAGGTGGGGGTGTTGTGGAGGATAGGCGGGGTGAGGATTGGTTAGATGGCACGGGCGAGATTGATGGGGAAGACGGCCCAGGAGTAGCATGGTCAGTTGCTGCAACTGAAACCTGGGCAGAATTCCCAAGCGAATTGGTGTCGTTCGAAGCGTCCTCGACTTCTTTCAACAGGGACTGAAGGAAGCTTGGTTCGCTTGAGGTTTCCGCGTTGATTCGAGCGGAAGCCTGCGCACCAGCAGCCCTGGAAGACTCGCCATTCTGAGTAGCTAAAGCAGCTAAGTCTTCAGCTCTGCGGGTTCGTGGACGTTTTAGCTTCCGCTCGGGCTCTGTGGGTTCCGGCGAGGGAGACATAGTCGGTTCCTTCCTTTTCCGGGCCGCACTAGGATCATTCTCGATCTCACGAGCCCTCTCAAAAGCATTCCACGCCCTCATCTCTTCCAAAGACTCGGGCTCAGGCGTTGGCTCCCTCGGCACACGTGGCCGCGATGGTCGCGGAGCCTCAATATCGAGTAAGGCAGCCGTATCCCTGAAGCGGTTACTACCACCTTGTCGCTCTGCAACTTCAAAACGACGCTGCCAAGCTCGGAACTCTCGCTGATTGGCTTCTTCCCGTCGCTGTTGCTGTCGGGCACGCTCGGCTGCCCTATCATCATCAAACGGAAAATCCAAGTCGATGTTAAGGTGATCCCAAACGGACTGCCATACTCGAGCCCAGTGAAGGGAGTTCATCTGATTGCGGCTCTGTAGCTGCCGCTGCTGTGCCCTCGTACGGCGACCGCGCCGGTCCTGAGCCCGCGATGGCCTATCAGCACTGTCGGGGGACAGCGCTCGAGCACGTTGGGTCTGGCATCGTGAACAGTACCAAGGCCCAGACGGGACAGTATCAAGCCCCAGGCAATACGTGTGCGAGGGGGCATCGCACCCATCACATAGAAGGAGAAACTCTTCGTTATCAGAATCTCCGCATATCAGACAAGGTGAGAACCCGGCAAGATCATCTTCCTCGATGTACTCTATCACCATCGAAGGATCGACATCCGCAACTTGAACGCGGTCCTGTACAGCATAAGAGGAGAGTACGGGGCCTGTTGAAGATAAAATCGTTCAATTAGTATCTAAAATCATCCGACTCCACAAAATTGAGGGTGGTAGGTAGCGACTGAAACATACCTCCGATTCGGTCACTGAGCTCCACAACGTTGAAGCTGCGGCGGCATATTGGACAGCTGTTCGCTCGTTCAACCCAGGGCTTCAGACAATTGTTATGTAAGATATGACCACAGGGGAGTAACTGGGCGATCTGACCAGAATCCTCACTGCCATCCACGCCATCTGCCTTGACGAAGGTGTCGGTCGACCTGCCGTTTACTTGAGCATCAAGTCTTGGCGCGGCCTCGGCGGAGACGGCAAGAGGATCGCTGGCGCTTTCGCCAAGGTCTCCTAAACACACAATACAAGTGTCGGACATTAACAGAGGGTTCTGTGCCAGGACTATCTGCAGGGAAGCTAAGAGAAGGCATGAAGAGCAGCTGGCAGAAAGGGATGAAAGGCAGAGGAGTGGAAGGAGAAGGGAGAGAGAGCAGGTCGAGTGATGTGGGGAGAAAGCAACCGGCCTTTTGAGGGTGGACCTAAAGTCTGGTCTAACGCAAAACAGTCTGGCCGTCAACGTGACCTACCAGGCGCCAGGCGAATCATTGTTTAGGAAAATCGGACGAGGCACTTTGGGCGCCCTGAAGGTTGCTGACTCTTGACTTCCAGAACACTATTGTAGCTGAAAAGGTGCCCTTGCATCCCTACTATGAGACATGCCCCTCTTGTCTCCCTCTTGTCTTTATTTATTTTTTCTTTTTCTTCTTGGTTTTTTCTTCTTCTTTTCTCCTTACTATCAGACCGCCTGTGTAACATAAACTTGCGCGTTAGAATTGGAAGAGACAAAACAAGAATGCGACGAAAAATTGATATTGCCAGAGCTTGTCCAAAGCATCTTGTAGTGCTGAATACAGGTAGATCGAAACGGAATGTTAATTGACCCGAAGGTACTCCGGTCTCGGTGCTTGGACAGGGAGGGCAATGCTTTTGTCGAAACCTTATTCTTCACAGGGGCAAAGCGATATGCTACATTTGAACGCAGAATCATGGAGAAAAGACGCATAGATAGAAACACAAACCAACGAAAGATAGATGGCCTACTCCGCACGGTTATCTCGTTGGGTGCACGAGTTTACTCCACATGTATTCCAGCAGTCTTGTGCTGTCAGAAGACGTGGTCACACGTATGAAGAACTCGAGAGTGATCGTGAGCGAAACAAAAAGATCCAGCGTGATACGAATGAAAGAGCGGTAGAGGCAGCAGACATGGTAGATGTGGGATAGCTGATACGGAGTCTTATTTGTAGAAGACCTGAGATCACGGGTTATATTTGTGTCTATTGGTTAAGTACCATTCGGTCCAGATAATGGCTGGGTATTCGTAACGAGGAGCCCTTGGGAGCTTTCCAGATCTTGAATTTCGCTATTTTTTATTTCAAACGTAAGATAAAGAAAATCCCATCGTGACACTTAAACCTCCGCGATTTCCCTGAGACGACGGATGGTGGAGCGGGTGGCAGCGGCGGCGGGGGTGCTGTAGCACAATGATCGATCAGTATTTGTCCCACATCTTCACCACGCGGTACACAGTCCAGTATGAACTGCCCCGTGGCCATCGAAAATAAAAAGGATGGGGCTCGACTTACGAGACGGTGTAAGCACCACCGGCGACGGTCTTCTTGCAACCCTTGCACTCCCAGATACCAACAGCCTGGCGCTTGACGGTGTTCTTACCGCAGAAGGTGCAGACGTAGCGGGCGTGCTGGGACACTTCCATCTTCTTCACCTGCTTACGCAGGGAGGCACCGTATCTGTTAAATCACGTCGTCAATACATTGTCCAACTCGTCGAAAGCTCGATTTCGAATCCTTCATTTAATCGTGCGGAATCGGAAGGCGATCGGCTTCACATTGAATTCTAGGCGAAAGGGCGCAAGAGCATACCTGGTACCATATTTACCCGTGATACCGACCTCTGGAGAATTATGTTAGTCTCGATTTATTTTCCAGTTATCTATTAGGCGTGTTTCTCTATAATAGAGCACTTACTCTTAGTGCGCTTGGTCATCTTGTCTCCGTGCAGCTGTTGAGGTCGAAGATGGATACAGTGCGGTAAGTCGAAATCGAGACTGAGGCTTTCAAGTGGAAGCGGTTGTGGGTGTCCAGGCTCGCTTAGGGTTCAAGTCTTGGCTCATCACGTGACCAGTATCTGCGCGAACTATGAACAATTGAATGGGTAAACCTCCCACCAACATCGAGGGGGAAAAATAGATTTTCAAAATACTACGTCGTGGTAAAACAAAAGATAGGAATGAGACGTATGTCTGTACAACAAATCATTCAGGCCTCAAGACATTCATGAAATCCTCTCATTTTCAATGTTTCGTGCCAATTTTCTATATTTTCTATCTTATCTAAAATTTCAAGGCCAAACTCGGCTAGTCTGGCCCGCATGACATAAGAGGGCCTCAAATGTACCCAAAGGCCTTTGCACAACAGTAGTCATTGGTTCTTTGCCACATTATGTTATCAAGGCAATGCTGACACTTGTGCAATGCTATACATGTATGCCTTGTGAATTGAACGCTTGGACATACCTTGCACATTATTCTCCCATCATAGGAGTATCCTGTATTGAATACTAATTGCCGAACAATTCTTTCGCGGGTCTAGTCACCTGAACATCCAGCTGGATGGGCCCTTTCCACTTCTGGTTAGTCTAGCGGCCAAGGCGATCATCTCACGTCACCGAGCAACCATGCTTAAGCTATCTGTATCTACGCGACGTTACTAGTATATCCTGCATCTTTCCTTGAAGAATACATACTTTATCTAATTGTCTGTGTAATTTGCTCAATCTCAATTGCCGGTGTATTCTCCCTACCTTTGACAATGGAGTCTAAGAGGGAGTTCGACCTGATCCTTCTAGGCCCAACTGGTTACACAGGTAGACTCTGTGCAGAGCATATTGTTAAGAACCTTCCCACAGGTTTAAAATGGGCTCTCGCAGGGCGTTCGCTCCAGAAGATTGAGAACGTTGCCAAAGAACTCAAGAATCTGAACCCCGACCGCGCCGAGCCAGGTACTATATGAATCTGTACTACTGTGAGAACAAACATTGTTAACCTACCATTAGAAATTCTGGCTGTCCAGCTCAATCGGGAGGAATTGCACTCACTCGCTCAGAAAGGCCGTGTGCTTCTCAACTGCGTTGGGCCATATCACCTATACTCTACTCCTGTAGTTGAAGCTTGCGCCAGCAACGGAACGCATTACCTTGATGTGTAGGTAATTCATTACAGTCAGGCAGTGGACGCTATAGCTAATCTGTGTAGCACTGGAGAAACGCCCTGGATCAAGAGTATCATCGAAAAATACCATGAAACTGCCAAGTCAAACGGTGCTATAGTGCGTGCCATCTCCTTATGCCTGTTCTCATATGTTGATCCCCTGGCTGTTTTAGATAATCCCCTCTGTTGGCGTCGAGAGTGCTCCTGCAGATATGTTGGCTTGGGCTCTTGTTAAGCGTATACGTGAGGAGCTTTCCTGCGATACCAAGGACATTACGTGCGCAATTGATGAAATGAAGTATACCAGCCGCTCCTTGACCACCCTACCGAATGCATAGTGCTAACTACGTTCCAGGTCCTCCGGGGCAAGTGGTGGTACTCTCGCGACGGTCATGACTATGTTTGATACACTCTCGTTGCTCGATATACTCAAAGCAGCAGACCCGTTTGCGCTCGCCGCATCCTCGCCACCCAAATCTATTCCCAGCGAACCACTCGCGGAAAAAGTGCTGGGTGTCCGCTCAGTCCGTGACATGGGCACTCTCACCACCGCTCCAACAGCAATTGCCGACATTACTATCGTGCATCGGAGTAGTACGTTGATGCCAGAGTTCTACGGGCGTCGCTTCCATTTCAGACAGTTCCTTAGGGTGAGGAACGCGCTCATTGGTGTTGCACTGCATTTTGCCTTCGTCACCGGCTTGTTACTTCTGCTCTTGCCCCCCGTTCGGTGGCTATTGAAGAAGTATATTTACGCGCCCGGTAGTGGACCCCGCATGGAGGACTCGATCAATGACCGACTGGTGTACCGTGCCGTGGCGACAGCTGATCAGGACACGCCAGATCCTAAGCGTGCACTTGGCAAGTTGAAATACGATGGAACCATGTATGTTTTCACGGGGCTCTTGCTGGCAGAGGCAGCCATGACTATTCTGGAGAATGAAGAGAAAGTGAAGAAAGTCTCTCGTTGTGGCCTTGTAACTCCAGCTACCTTGGGCCAGGAATTCATTGACCGGTTGGAGAAGGTTGGATGTCAAATTGAGACCGAAGTGTTCAAGTACTGATGACTGTCTGCGACTGCGATGTTGACTTACATTCTAATGCTTTGGAGGGTTACGCTTTTTTTTTGTTTTTTCTTTTTTGGTGTGTGTTTAACGTGCTTGCATGTATTGTTGCACTGTGCCAGTCGAACTAATGCTCCTCTAGTCAATACACACAATGAAACATCGAACATCTATACAGCATCATCGAAACATTATCTAAACCATACAATTCTGGACAGCCCTCAAATAAAACGATAATTAATGCACATAGTCAGGGCACCGTCCTCAATATAGATAACCAAACAAAGGATAGTAAAACAAGTCACACGAATAACACTACAGATATGTACAGCACACCAGCGTCTGCGTCTGCATATCAACATCGAAACCCATCACAACTTGAACATCCTCGGGTCTCGGAACACAACCTCCTCCAACCACCACGCAATGATCTCATTGACCTCTCCTGGTTTCTCCCATAGCGCCCAATGAGAGGTATTGATCTGCTTGAAGGTCATATGGGGTATAGTCCTGGTCATTCCCCTGCCGAGATGTGCCGGAAGAGCCGTATCGCGGAGGGCCTGAATGAAGAGCACCGGAGCAGTGATGTGTTTGTTGAGGATGGCGAGTTCCTCTCTGTAATTGATTTCCCGGGTTCGGTACCAGTTAACTAGGTGCACTTGTTAGTCGTTTTTTTAACTTTAACTCAATTGACAAATACAAGGGGTAGCGTACATGGACCATGGAAGCCGTTCCTCGAGAACTCCTCCGCATAGTATTCAAGTTCCTGGAAACTCTATCAGCATAACCGATCCTATGTTTATTGGTGGAGGGGTAGAATGGCAATAACCTACTTCCTCGCTTAATAACTCTGAGGGGAGTACACGCGCCAACTTGTCGGGCAGAATGCCCAGCTCTGCATCAAACGCCATTTCGTTTTCAGGGGTCCGCCCGCCGTACATGGCGGAGAGGAATCTCTTGATATCTTCTTTGGTCTGAACGTATTTATCTAGTTCTCCGCTGATGAACTGTAGCTGATAATAGAAATGAGGCGCTATCTTTTCTACCATGTCTTTAAGGCGAAAGTATCGCCTCGTTGGCGCGGCGTATGGTACACAGACGGTGATGATGTGTGTTACTAGCTCTGGGTGCCAGAGGGCTACACGGTATGCGAGAGCGGCGCCCCTATGTACATCGAGATTTAGCAACTTTGACATCGATGTCTAAAACCGGCAATTGAGGTCCAAGGAGCAGCATGAACATACCAATCATGTCCGGCGACAATAATTTTGGAAATTCCAAGCTGGAAGGCGAGTTCTTTGATATCATTGGCGCACCTCTTGTGCGAATAATGGTGTGGATCTTCTGGAGCGTCCTGTTTATCCGCATTGTTAGCATTGTTGTATTGTCAATATACCGGTAGATCCCCGGCAATTGGCATTCTGGCGCGTACCGTCCTCCCGTATCCTAGGCAGTCTGGCGCAATGACCCTCAGCCCCATATCCCTCAGCATGGGAATTTGATACCGCCACCCCATTGACAGATCTGGAAAGCCATGAAGCTAAAAACCATGAATTAGCCTTTGGTTGTTTTCCCTTTGTCTTTTGCGTTATTTGCAAAGACAATTTGTGATTCCGGTGTCTCACGCACAAGAAAGATGGTCCCTCTATATGATACCCCTGTATCGGGCTCACTGTAGAGATAACCTGCGGGAACATATATCGTCAGCTCATATACCCCCCATCAAATCACAACGTTTACAGCGTCGTATATCCAGGGGAACAAGAAACCCAGACCCTCATCTCCAGCCCAGATTCACGGCTTTGGAAAAATGGTATTCACATACCATATGTCTTGCCGTTGATATCAGCGAAACGGCGCTCGACTCGGAGATCGTCGGTTACATGGATCTTATCAACGATCATGATTGCAACGCAAGGGCTGGAAGTTGTACAGCTTCACGGGTTAATGCAAGGTAAATAAATAACGAAACCCGTGAAAAGCAGAAGGAAAATTTCTGGGTCAGGTTATCCTGCGCATACCGACTTTTTCTTTTATTTATAGAGCTGTATGGAGACCCCCGCCAGCTGTCTGTCACGTGAACCAATGCTGATGTATGGAAAAATGAGGCTACAGGCTAAGGATTGGGCACTAGTATTATTAAATGTTGAGAGGATCTTGGAAGACTAGTTTGATGGAAGGCGTTGTCAACCGGTATATAAGAATGTGATTTGTAGTGATCTTCAGAGCCAAATGCCGCTAAGTTGTTGACTCCGCCGGATAATCCATAGCCTCGGTTGTGCCCGTTAAGGTACGATTCCTTAGATGCAGGAGACACCTCCCAATGATAGCTCACATACATACATACCAGTCGGTGTTAGGAGAAAAAAAAATTTAAGATAAATAAAAAAGTTGAGAACCAACGGAAAAAATTTGGTATCGCCTTGCATTTAGTAAATCACTGTATCCTCGTTATCCTCGACAACCTCGCCACCGTCGTCGTCAGCTCCTCGATGAACGTCTGCATGGTCATTATTGATAGATATATTATTAGTAGTAGCAGCCGTAGCATCGTGTGGAGCTGCTTCAGAGTCTCTGTTGTGGTTAGTCTCAGCACCCAACGTGTCAGTCTCACGGGTTGCATCCTTGTCCTCTTTAAGTTCTGCTTCAGGTTCAGGGGCTTGGTCACGGTCTTCTTGTTGTGCACCCTCGTCTTGTTTCTTCGGAGGCTCCTCTTCATGGGCTGGATAACGCGCCTCGAATTCTGCGACCTCTCGAGCAACTGTGGCTTCTGCTTCTTCAACCTGTTCACGTATGATCGCTTCATCTCCGGACCGAAGCTGCCATGGCTTATAGTACTGTAGAGACAGTGTTAGTTAAGTCCAGGGTTGTAGATGAGGCAGGTAGGCATACTAATACAGGCTCAGTTTTTGTCTTGAGGAAATGAGACATTGCCAGTAGATTCGAGTGTCGCGTGCGCATCTGTAAATGATCATCCGCTTGTCAGCCCTACACCGGAAAGTAGACGATACCCCGATCCAAGAAAACCTACCGATTCCTCTTCATAGAGCCTCTGCTCCTTCTTCCGGAGAGCGACCCGTTCCTCCCGTCTCTTCTTCTTCAACTCGTCGTACTCTTCATCCTGCAACTTAAGCTTATCCTGTTGTCGCCGTTCAATATCCGCACGCCGCTTCTGAGCCGCCGAATTCGAGCTCTGCGAAAGCGTCCCCAGTAAAGCACCGAATAGACGTTGTCCACGCTTGCGTTCCTCCTCACGTCCACCTCGGCCGGGCCTCCGTTCTGGTTTACGTTCCGCTCCATCCGGGGAAGATTGTTTGCGCTCCGCAGGTGATCGGTCGCCCGTGTGCTCTTGTTGTGAGCTAAGGCGACGGCGTTTGCTCTCTGAGTCGGCTTCCGCAACGGAATTTCTTCGCTTCAAACCAGCATCCGGGGATGGGGGAAGGTTGTCCTGTTCGGGCAGTACAACTGCCGAGGCCAGTGTCCTACTCATATACGCTGTCAGCAGCTGTCTCGGAGCTGTATCGAGTTGACCGCTTACCCTTCAGCCATATCTGTCTGTTCCAAAGTAGTCAAACGCGCCTCGACACAAACACGCTAATATAGGTGGGGAATAACAAGTGTGTGGCACCGACTATCGATTATGCGGTAAGCATGAAATAGACGGTGAAGACAACCTGCGTTAAAGTTGACTCCTCAGATCTGCAGAATCGATCCTCTGAAAACTACTCGGTATCGCGATATGAACGGCGGGCCTCCCGTGTCCTGTCTACGCACGGACCACATTCCTGATATGGAGCGTAAGTTCCGCATGGAAACTTCTTCCCTTTCCTTCGTCTTCTCGAACACCTTCGCTCAGGTTCATAACTCCCTCTGTCCTACAACACTTACTAGGGCATTTGCCAATCATTATAATTGAAACTTTTCTTTCGCGAAGAACGTTTCTCACTCGGAGTTTTCTCTATTCCCTGTTGTTAGCCATTCCACTTGAGCTTCTGTTGCCTTTGTCTCGCTTTCTGAAGTCACCATGTCTCGCCACCACCCCGATCTCGTTATGTGCCGCAAGCAGCCGGGTATCTCCATCGGCCGACTGTGCGACAAGTGTGACGGCAAATGCCCCGTGTGCGATTCCTACGTGCGCCCCACGACTCTCGTTCGGATCTGCGATGAGTGCTCGTTCGGTAACTACCAGAACAAGTGCATCGTCTGCGGTGGCGAAGGAATCAGTGATGCTTTCTACTGCTTTGAATGTACGCGACTAGAGAAGGATCGAGATGGGTGTCCGAAGATTATAAACCTGGGAAGTTCGAGGACGGACTTATTCTACCAAAAGAAAAGTTTTCGAAATCATTGACCCCGCGCGATGGTCACTTTCACCGCTTGTCGGTCTTGTTCGGTTCGAGTCTATGGCGGAAACGACTACTCCGCGTTCTACGTTCCTGTCCCTTGCTAGAGCGATAAGCCAAGGATTCCGCTGTCTCGGGCACCTCCAAAAGATAACTTAATTACAGAAGAAGAGAGATGATGGAAAGATAGCAATCTAGGAGGCTGGAAGATAGCACCCTCTACCTGCCGGGTCTTCTCGGTCTTGCGAATCCACGGTTTAGTCCGTCGTTTTGTGGCGGGCTCACTTCCTCCTGCAGCCTGTCGCCTGTGATCTCGTCGGGCGAAGATGCTTCGATCTGCACACTCATCGTTAATTGTCTCAATCAAACATCTGCTCACGACATGAACTCGTACCTTCTTAGAAATCTTCAGACCTTGGTCTTCGGCCAGTTGGAGGGCGTACATTCGGGAACTAGCATATAGCATACGCTCCTTGATCGACGAACCCGACGGGCAAGTATAGACGAAGATCACCACGTCAGTATCGGGATAATGATAAAATGTATAACGTGGCGAAGATGGGGAGATGTGAGACTCGACGGAGCTGGGGACAGTCCCGTTCTCTACCCCAGCAAGGACGAATGTCTCCCTTGGAATATCAATGGCCTGTATTTAGGGGAAAGTAGAGTTAGCACTCAAATCAAAACCTTCAACAAGTTGGAAATTCTTCTTCGCTCTCCACATGGACTTACCAGCTGCACCAGGTCACCCGGCTGGAGACTGCCCAGAGCATTATTTGCCTCGTCATCCACAGGCATCTTGTACTGCATGCTGGATGGTGCTCCGATACCACCATTTCTTCTAGCAAAGGAACCCCCGATTCCGATGTCCCTACCGGGGGTGCCACTTCTCGCCTCATCTTCGGCTCTCCGGACGGCTTCCAACTCCCGCTCTTTCTCGCCCATGAGCTCCTCGCGCTGAGAACGGCTCTTGCTAGAGCCGTTCTTCTCGGCATCTCTTTCCTTCCACGCCTCCTGACCCACAATCTCATCCTCTTCAGTTGCGAAGACCGTCGAGGCAAACTTCTCGCTGCCTAGTTCCCTCACCAGCGTTGCACGGGTTGAAGCGAAAAGGGTCTTGGCGCGCACCGGAGCATTGGAGGGGATGTAGGTCAAGGCGACGAGGGACGATGACCCAGACTCCGGACGGCGAAGAAGAAGATAGATGGGGGTTTTCGGCTGGAGGACGGAGGAGAGCTGAGAGAGAGAGGGGTAGAAAGCACCCGGAGAGGAGAAGGGGATGGGCGAAAGGGGAGTCAGGCTCTCAGCGGTGATATTCACCGGGAGGCAGAAGATTGATGAGTCCGAGACGAAGTTATTGAAGGCATCATGTAGCTCCGAAGAGACTAATCAATATAATGGTTGTTAGTGTTTCCTGTGCATACTTCGGTCCAGTAGAGAGCCGCGGGGCAACGCTTTATGGTAATCGTAGGATGCAAGACCCTGCAGTATGGCTGCTTACCCGAGATTCCTGACTGCATTTTCAACGAACACCCGCCGTAGCCTGGTCTCTTGTGTAGATGTGACTTGTCAACCGGGCTGCGGTGTTGTCTCTGGAGACTGCTGAGGGGAAGGTCAGAAGCGGTGTGCTTGGACAAGTGGGGTCTTAGCATTAGCCTTAGTTTTCGGGATATTTACGCCGACATTCACCTGTCCTATTTTCTAAACAACTGGTCTTCACTCAACCGATTCAAGGCAACTTGGTCTCGAATTTGTTTAATATCTTCACTAATTGAACATAGGAAAAGGTATAACAACAAAACTAACAGAAAGAAAAAGAAAAAGAAAAAGAAAAAGAACTATGTACAGTCCACGCTATAAGATCAAATCTAAATGGCCGTCAAGAAGCCCAGAAGATAACGACAATGATATGTACTGATGATGCAGAGATCGCATTGCAATCGAAAACGCCACCATGCTCATGGTATCAAATGCTTTCGAGAACACGCAGTGGCCACTCCCTCCAGGGGTGCCACATCTACTCCTCAAAACTACCTCCCACAAAGGCCCAGTTGGATTTCTCCAGCTTGCCCTTGAGGAATTCGTACACGGTGAAGGTGACGGCCTGACCAGGAGCCACTCTCATCACACGAGGAGTAATACCCTTGTAGAAAGCGCGTGCACCTTCCTGCTTGAACATATCATTGGCGATGGCCATGATACGCGACACAGCTGATTGGCCAGGCTCAGCACGGGTTTTTGCAGCCTCGTCTTGATTGTGTCGATGGGGGCGTTGGAGAAGGGACCGACGGCACCGGAGATCAAACCAATCACGGTCGTCTGGTAAGAGGGGAGCTGAGTATCGGCGTACTCGGGCTGCCATTTTTGGAGCGCAGCCTTCAGCTCGCTGTATGCAGTAAAGTTGGCGGCCTGGTTTGTTCCCTGTCGGAGGGCTGTCAGGGAGACACCACGGTAAAGAGCGCTGAACCCTTCTTCCTTGATCACGGTGAAAAGTGCATGCGGGGCACTGCGGTACTTAGGGGCATCGAGAGGGTCGGCCAAACTGTGATACTGCGCTTGCAAACGAATCTTGACGACTTCCATAGGGTTGACGACTGCCACAGCTTCGGTAACACCAGCAGAGAGACCGGCTGTTTGAATGAAACTTGTCAGTTTTCCAGGCAATAGAACACGAGGTGATGTGCGAAAACCTACCAAGGAAAGTTGCTTTGCTTGTGACATGTCCCGTCTCATCCGCAAGCATTTGCTTGTACCACTCATAGGAGGTGAAACGGATAGCCATCTTGGGAACAATACCTCCCAGGACAGCTCCTAGACCCTTGTAGAGACCCAGAGCGGTCTCCTTCTTCACAATCTCAACACCAGTGGCAACAAACCCGCGGGGTTTTACACCCGGGGCTCTGGCACGCCGCGAAAGCTGCATCCGGACCTTAACGGTATCTAACCATGACAGTGAGCCATTGCCTCTGAAGAAATCTTGAATTGGGTATTCCCGTACCTAGAGGATGACATACGAGCGCCTCCATCATTCCGGCGCCACCACCAGCTGGTTCACAGGTTAGCACGTGCGACCTTTTTGAGTTGGACAAAATGAGCCTTACCGATCAAGTTCACAGCCGGAGAAGTAGGCTTCTTGCTGTTGCCATTGCCATTGCCTTGCGCACTCTTCGTCGACATGGTGGGCGACTGTGTTTGTGCAATTACTGAATTGTTTTCGAGTCAATTGAGGTGCAATGCCCTTCCAATGAGGAAGTATAGTGGTCTAGGTCAATGCGACGGTATGGGGAGAACAGCGGCACGCGAAAGGGAAAAGAATTGAAGCGAAAGGAGGTCGAGAGAAAGATGACTCAATCGTCAATCGAGCGCCAGGGATGACTTTTTTTCTTAAAGAAAAGGATATCGACGATATCGGACATTCACAGGGCGACCTTAAAATACGGGGAGATACGGAAGTATAGCTACGACGTCCCTCGGCACAACTGACACAGGGTATTTAAATTGGTGGATAGGGAAAGGGGGGGCACACTCTGGGGTTAAAGGATTTAGAAATAATAATAGATAATTTTCGGGAATGGGGATCATTAAACGGGCTCGGGTCAAGTGGCGGCTTTCTTTTTTAGGCTTCTTGTTACAGCGAACCGGCCGTGGAGGAGCTCTGACGGGGAAGCGGAGGGAAGCTCGCTGGACGAGCGGAAGACAGCCACGATTCAACCGAATCACCATGAGAGTCCAAGCAACAAGGTTCTTTGAATCGAAGCGGAATTAAATACAGTCAGTCTACAAGCCTTTGGAGGCTTTTTACATATATGCTTGCTTTCCTTTCCACGTCTTCCGCTGGCCGTGTTCTCTACAATGCCAGCCAGACATCTACCGTACGTGACGTATCTCATCCCGAGGTATCGGGATAAATAACTTGAAGCAACTTTCTTCCGCAGTTCGCAGTCAAGCCAAGTGCGGTTCCCCCAGAGTGTGACCTCATCACCCTGCACCAATGACATGACGGAACCAACCCTAATGTCTTCAGCCAGTCAGTTCTTCACATGCTGAACGAGACATTCTGGCCACTGACAGTCCAAGCTGCCGTCGTCACCTGGTGCAGGATCAGTGACTTAAGGCTGCCCTTTGGCTCTAGAAATGCTTGTGATTGATAGTAAGACAACCTGGGGTTGGTGTCTCGTTCTGACTAACCCCATTGTCACGGGAGATGTCGGGCCAAGATGAGAGCTTCGTTCAGCCGAGGCTTTTGCCTTTCTTAGTTCTTATCCGACGGTAGCCCTACTCGGTGACTCTCTACCCCAAATTACCAAGAATTAAAGTCCAACTGCATTAGTGAACTGATCCATCAAGAGGGGTAGGTATTTTTCAAGCTCTAACTCCAGGTGGCTTCAAAGATAAGATTTTCTTGCTTGTTCTACATCTGTTCTTTGGGGGTAAAATGGAAGCGGCTGTAGATTTATTTCTTCAGCCCTGTCGCGCGGTACATGTTTTATCCACGCCTCCTGACTATTTACCCCTGGTCATCTATGCGAATTTGATCGATCTACGGACCCAAGACTTTCACGTTTCAGGGTCAACAAAACATTGTTTATACAGCTTTCACATGAAAGCTGAATGCATCGTAGCATATGATGACTCTGCATTGTTAGTGTCTTCATAGCACCCGTCATGTATTATGGGAAGTGGATATACACTGAAGGTATGCTGGAACGGAGCACTGTAACAGCCCCATGTATACTTTTGACAATCCCTGCGATATGCAGTTCGTATTAGCTACAGGATCAGGTTTAATCGGTGATCGAAATGAGTAGCTAAGGGCGATCACATCCCGGCTCAAGATAACATGTATTTGCAAATATCTTGCTCATACACTGGGAGCCTGAGAGCAGCGAAGTTCGGGAACCGCAGCAAATCAGACAGTAGTACATTCCTTATGGCACCGAGTGCAAAGTAGCCATTTTGAACTATCAGGCATGAGAATGGTGGACACTGATTCCAAGTTACTGGTGCCTTGCGCCGTTCGTAAAGTCAAGATTCGCAATGGAGACTCTTTATCGTGATATCAGATTCTACAGGAGCCTTTAATTCATCTTCATAATAATCAACCTGCACGCAAGAGCCAAGTGCCATGAAAAGAGGCTTAATCAAGCTAATATAAACCCAAACAGGTGATATGAATCCCTGACTCTGCATACAACTACGAACCCAGTCCTGCATGCCTTATCTTCAGAACGAGCCAATGCGCAACCGACAATGACAAGACAGCCAGCACGCACGGCCCGCATCCAGCAGATCCCAAGCACAACCCTTCTCCTCATCCTACACCTATAGCTCCTCATCGGGATCGGCATCGTCTACACCCTAGCCTACTAGGCACTTCCCGAGTGTAGCCAAAACCGACGGCATGCTCCGACCCGGACGTAGCATTCCCTACGGCACAGTGGCGCTCATCTTCTCCATCTCGGGACTAAGCCTCCGGCTCCATAGACCCCTTCATTCACTGAACTCTCGTCCAGGCTATGTCGGTTCTCGTCGTTCCGAGCTTGTTCCTGGCCGCCGTCTAAGTTATTCTCGCTGCTGATCAGCACGGGCTTCTTGATCGGGCCATATTGCCGAGACATATCCTCACGGTATGTACCCCGACTACCGCCTCGAATATAGTGATGACGAGGTCAGCTGATGGCGCGAATACAATGGTGCTAGCGGAGGTGTTGATTGCGAAATTTGTTAGGTGCGTTTGGCACAGCTGACTGGGCTATTGCTCTTTTACCGGATACAGTTGAATTCGAGCTCTGGAGGTCCAGCGGGGTTACTCTATCGGATATATATAAGAGTATGTTTAAGCAATTGGGCCCGAGCCTGCTAGCTAGCACACTTAGTATTGAATCAGCTGTACCTACAATGGACATAGCCGCCTCAAACGGCGGGAGCTCTCCCTTCTGAAGATCGATCCGTAGTATATAAATGTTTGCTTCTGATAGGCTGACCCGCTGTCTCTCTCCCATACAGCAAACATTATACCGGATATTGCATCTTCTTCCTCACATCTCAAACTATCGCAGTATTGAATGATAGATTCCGGCCCTGTGCTCTCTCATCTCGCAACGAGAGTATTGTAGACCCGTTTGGGTCAAAGTGTCATATCCACCGTCGTATTTGATATAGATTTATATGTCTTCCTCACTAGAATTTGTTTATGTCTTTCCCATCCGCCTGCGTTCCTGCGGTGGTGGGCTTGGTAAAAGGTATATCTGTGGTCTGAGCGTAGAGTACGGGACTGGGAATCTTGTTGCATGCTATGTGGACGCTGGTCGACTTGCATGTTAAGGTGAAGAACTTTCCGGTTTCGTGTACAGTTGAGTGGGCTTCTGTTGCACATTGCTTTGTGAATTTGGTTCGGTGGTGGAGGGCTAGAGTGCGTGGGAAGAATGGGCATGAGGGTTGTGGGATTTGCTCTGGTAGGAAGTGACGTGTGCTGGTGGCATGGGCTCGAAGAAAGATTCCGGTTGTTAGAGTAATACTAGGAACACTGGGCACGACAAGTGGTAGGGCATTTTATTTGATATATTTATTTCGTGACTATTGTCCTAAAAGTACTTTCTGAAGCGCACGTAAGTCTTGTAGGTAAATTTACAAAGGAAAAGAAACAATCCTATATAACATCGGCGGAAAAATCCAGTCTAGGTTTCCACCAGACGCCCGCATGAACACCCATGTTTAGCCTGTAAGGCAGCGACTATGGGGAATAAAAGAAACTAAAAATGTGAACCTAAATGTAGCTCACTTTCACACCCATTCCGACGGTTCCCTTGACTTTTTGCCATCCAGCTCCGGTGATTCTCCGGAGACGTTCCCGCACGCCTTGCCTGCTGAGTGCCACCAAGATCCCCAGCAGGAACAGCAGCGTCCGGGCGAACGACATTGGGTTACCGGCGACCGTCCTCGAGATATATCGCAACAGGTTGCGTAGTACGTTTGCCAAAGCTCGCGTTTGTCCGGGCCGGGATACAGGCTTCTCCGGTCTCTTCTTCGAACCAGTGGGCGAAAAAGCAGTTCGATTGGCTGACGTACTTGCCTTACTACCAGATTGCTTCTCGCCCTTCCCTCTGCCCTTGGCACTTTTGTTCGTGTTGGTCTTCTCAATGCCGTAATCCACCTCACTGTTGTCACGCGCATGTCCCTTTTGAGAGTGCTGAGCCGCAGCGGCCTCTTCCTCTGCCCTTTGGCGTTCCGCTTCCTGTATTTCTCTCTCTAGCTGGGCGTCCTTCTCCCGCTGAAGCGCTGCAGCGCGCAGTTCGCCCTGCTCCCTCTCTTCCTTAAGCCCATCGAGAGTTTGCAAGAACATCTCTTTTCGCTCTTCATCGAGGACCTCGCTAAAGTTGATGAATTCGCTCGCATAGTCCCATTCTTCGTTCCTAGGAAGAACATGGAGGGTAAAAAGCTCAATTATCCTAACCCGAGACGTCAAATCTCTCGGCGTGTCGGTGCCGCCATTAACTCGGGCCTTAGATTGTTGATTGGGAGAATTCTGCAAATGCTCGGCAATGTCCAGATTTGGTTGACCATATGATGAAAGGTAGTGCTCGAGTCGTTGCTGATTGAGTTGCTGGGAAGGAGAATGATTCAATAACAATGTCGCTCTGCCCGTAGTTAGTCACAATAGAATCAGCAATAGACCAGGATAAGAATTACTGACAAATTATATACGACCTCGGCATCGACTGAGCCCTCACGGCCTTTATAACCCGTTTGAACAACTGTCTCCCAGATTTCGCCCTCGCGCACTTTGGTGGAAATAGCCTTCCACTCTTTCTGGCCGAACGTTGCTTTTCCTTCCTCGGGTCCCAAGTCAAGTATCGCGCTCAGCAGTGTGATGTATAAATTCCAAACTTTGATCCTCACCGAAGCTTGAGCCATAGCAATCGGTGGTAGGGACTCGTTACCGTTGGCATATTGGTCGTCATTTGCCGGACTGGGTACAAGAATGGGTTCAAGAGTGGCTAGAGTTTCTTGTAGGCGACGAGTTAAAAAGAGCTGAGAAGCTTTCTTGTAGGTTTTTGAGCAGATCTTCGAAGGTGAAAGGGACGATGCGGAGGTCGAGAGTTGCGACTGCGACGCCGACACGGAACCCTCGGCGGCCATTGTTTCACCGCCAGCGGAGGATGCGATAGATGATTAATGTGGGGGTATGTGGTTCGCGTAGTGGTTACAATATATGCAGTGAAGATTTAAAGGCACAATTCACGCTCAATTGTATCTCAGGGGTGGTTGGGATGCAGCTAACAGGAGGACGTGTCTTGACACTAACTTTCAGGTTGGACGGGTTGCAAGTCGGGGTTCCTTTTCCCTCGGCTCAATCTGATGTGGCCGAATCTGGGGTCTGATGTCACGGGACGGTGGATCTGCGCTGTCTGCCATACAACGATCGGGAAGTCTCCTATCTAATTGCGAGGTTTAACTGAACTACGAACTGGTTATTTTCACATTGTACGGGCCTGAGTTATATATACAAAAAGCAGGAATATCACAGCTCCACTGGAGAAATGAATTGAGATTCACATTACTAACTGGACCCTGGTCCACTTCACATGAAAGATACAAGCCGATCTGCATATTAACGTGATCGTATACAATTCAGCAAGCACTATTATTGCTACCTAGTGAATTAACTATTTTGACCTGATTCTAGTATACTCATTCCGGCCCAGGTCTTGTGTCCATAAGTCTCCTGAGACGGTACGAGATGGATATCACGCCTAAGACTTTCCCCTTCTTCCTTCCCAGGATACTGGATGACATAGCGTCCTGCAGTTTCGTTTCTATAGACTTTGAATTTTCTGGGATTGCGTGCTCTTCAAGTGGGCCAAATAGCAAAAAGTCTACGCTACAGGAGCGTTATGCGGAAGTCAAAGAATCAGCCGATAAGTATCGAATAGTGCAAGTTGGTCTGACAATCTGTCATGAAGACACCGAGTCAGGTAAGAGATGCCCGTTCTCGAGGATTGAGTCAGAGGTATTGATGGCCATGAACACAGGGACCTACATTCTAAAACCCTATAACCTTTACCTGAATCCGACAATCGACCGTAGATTAGAAGTGGAGAGGGATATGTGTTTCCAAAGCAGCGGTATGCGTTCAAGTTTCGTATCTGCGAGATAATAGAACTAAGATCTATTGAAGCCGTTGAATTTCTCTTGGGGAATGGTTTCTGTTTGGATTCCCTTTATAATGATGGTGTTCACTATTTGTCACGAGAAGAAGAGACAATAGCCATAGCCAGAGCTACTGAGAGGTATGGCCGTACCTCTGTGCGCAAAATGATCGACGTTAAAGAGACAGAACATGACTCTCTGGCGTTCCTGGAGGCTGTGCGACATCTTGTTGATGACTGGCTTGCGCTTGGACAGGTAGATTATCTTTGAATTTATTGCTTTGCTCCGCAATTAAACGTCGCTAGGCTCGTGAGGCTTATCTCAACATACCCCCGCCAAAACACTACACCGCGTCTCGAAAGCCCAAGTTCATGCCATCGGTCTTAAACAATTTTCAAAAGAGGCTTGTTCATCAGCTAATAGAGGTCGAATACCCGTCTCTAGTGACTATCAGCAGGCCTGCTTTCATTCAAGTCATCGACTATGACGAAGACCGCGAGAAGGCTACCCGAGAACAGAGGATGGCTCGGGCTCGAGAGCAAGTCCGGAGACAGATTGGATTTAGATGGATTATGGAGGCGTTATCCGGTGGCGATCTCTCAGATATTGGTCCATTTTGTTTTGGGGGCATAATGAAAAACTCGAGAGCCGTGGAACCACAGGTCTCACTACACGAGTTTTCTGACAAATTGCAGCAGTGCTTAAAAACCCGCCGGCCTGTGCTGGTAGGACATAACCTTTTCACGGATGTGGTATATCTTTATCGTTGCTTTTTCGGTCTACTTCCGGATAAGTTGGAAGAATTCCAAGCAATAGCTCATGAGATGTTTCCAATTTTGATGGATACAAAATACATGGCTACGCACGATTGCGGTTCCATCATCCCCAAATCGTCTTTGAGCGAGATCAACGATAACCTTCTTCATATAAATACCCCGAACATACGTGCGGAAACTGCCTCGTCTTGGATGATTGTTGTGCTAAGCTAATTCTTGACCAGGTATACATGATCAGCATTCCAAATATAACAGCCAGAAAATCGACCACGAGGCAGGTTATGACAGCCTGCTTACAGCTCGGATATTTATCAAGCTCTCTGCTCAGCTCCGTGACAGAGGCATTTCCAAGCTCCTGGAACCGGTAGAATTGAAAGGTCAGCCGGATACTACGGGTTCGAACACTACAACCTTGGCTGCCCCAGAAAGCCTGAAGGACACTGCAGAGAAGGAATCGAAGACGACACTCAAGGCACCGACGAGCACCAAGCTTGGCACGAGATTTGATGCGCTTGATGTTGAAGAGATTAAAGATCAAGTTGAAAATATGGCGCTCAAATCGCGTAAATCTAGCAGATCCGTCGACATTACGCGGAAAGTCGCCAATGGAGAACTAATACCCCGGCAAGACGCAGAGTTTTGGAAGCTCTACGGTAATAAGCTGCGTGTTTTTGGAACGGAAGAAAGAGTCTGGAATGTCGCCTAAGAACCAGCGTCCAGCCACATTGCCTGATCTGTAACCAGCACTCTCACTAGGAGAATTATTTTTACATTACCAAGTATACAACCATGATATATTGGCGAGTCTCCTCACAGGCGATGGAAAACAGAGCCACTCTGTCATAATCTACAATGGATCGCAAACCCCCAAGCAAATAGTGTAGTAATGTCAGGGGATGTATGCAGCATCTATCTAACAGTACGCCTTGATTTTGAAGAAGGTACCGCTAGCGAAATCAGCCGCAAATAAGTACTCACTCTGAGCACCGGTAAATGATCGACTGGTCGTGGAGAATCTAAACACAGTGACGATAAGGAAAAGGTGCTGTGAAGAAGAAAAGAAAGTAAGAGGAACAACGGGAGAAAATTTAAAGGAAGAAAAATGGCGGGTCACCTGAGAGTCTAACCTCCCCGGGTTTAGTGTCTCCGGTGCTCTCTCAGCGGACAGGTGACCGCCAACTTTTCTCGCAATATCGGCATCGGACTGTTGACAAGCACGTCAGTATCCAGCAAACACAGTCGGCGAGATGTCGTCGGGATCCAATGGTGCCAGGCGCATAGCGTCTGTTTTGCGTACGTCTTTTGTCGATACACCAATGGCCAATTATATGCCGTACTGACTCTGTTTAGGGCCCTCGATTGCCGACCCCAAAGTGTGCAGAAGCTGTCAAGAGACCCTTGTTCGCCGCAGTTATTCCTCGGCCGCTGCACAGCCTTCTTCAGAAACTACCTCTACCGCTACAACTACCTTCCCCGTTGTGAAGCCCGTCTACACCATCAATGCCGGCGTGGCCCTATCCCGCCCCCCTCAGATTACCCGCGACCTCTCACAATTTGAGAAAGCATACTATTTCTACCAGAAGCGACTGAACGAGCGTTTGGCGCTTCCATTCACCAAATACTTTTACTTTAAGCGAGGAACGCCAGCGGACGAAGACTGGAAGCGTAAAATCCGGGAGCGCCAGACGCCCGCGCGTGACATCGGCAAGTACAATGCGTACTCGAAGGACGCATGGAACGATGAACTTCTTGTGGGAGCCGTCGAGGCCGAACCGGAGCATCAGGTGGAGATGCTTGTGCAGGATGCGGAAGCCACAGTCAATGCTACCTCCCAAGACACCAGCAAGAAGGAGGAGATCCCCAGGCCATTCCCCCGAGTAACGGAGGCGGATCAGAAGAACGACCAGAGAAGCCTGAACCGGGCCCTTCAGAGGACACTCTATCTTCTGGTTCAGACTAAGGAGGGATACTGGAAGCTCCCCAGCTCTCCGGTGGAGCAGGAGGAAACTCTTCGACTGGTGAGTACACTGGAGATTACCTATCCCTGTGCCCTTTCCCTTTGCTTTCCCTTTGCTCTATATCGGGCGTAATACTAACGTGTCTTGTGCCGCACAGGCTGCTGAACGTACTCTTGCGCAAGCCGCTGGTGTTAACATGAACACCTGGATGGTGGGCTTCCACCCCGTTGGCCACCACGTCTACAACTTCAAAAAGCCGAGGGTGGACACGGCCAATGGCACGGAGCATCTGGGCGAAAAGACTTTCTTCATGAAGGCTCGAATTATGGCTGGACAGGCTGATCTGGCCGCCAACACGCAGAATCTCCAGGACTTCAAGTGGCTGACCAAGGAGGAGATTGCCCCCTTTGTACTGCCACAGTACTACAGCAACATCAAAAACATGTTGGCTGAGCGGTAAATAGTTGGTTAAGCGGGGTGTACGGCTTGCTAGGTATTCTGTCTGAGAATGATCAGATCCTGTGCTGGGATGTGGAAGGAGTGTACTGATAGAACTGAAGAAACTGAGCGATTTGATCCAGTGGGAAGTGCCTATGCCCGAAATGGGCCAGAACTGCATATATATTGTATGTCATGTATAACTAGCTTTTGAATTTACTATATCATTATTCGCAATTCTCCAGCCGTTCTTTGATTTCCAGTATCAACAGAGCCCAAAACGCCATGCAACCTAGTTTAATCCATACCCAATATAAACAAGGCAGTATAAACGACTTCATCAACAACCCAGCAGAACAGCAAACCAACAAACGACCCAAATTTGCCCTTCGACTACTTCAGGTTAAACTTCTGTCCCTGTACAATAGGCTGATCCTTCTTTGACTTCCCCGCCATACTCTTGCCGCACATCGGACAAGCTAAGATATCAATTAGCAATCCCCACCAGTTTACCATTAGGACAAGAATAAGACATAAGAATAACAAGGAAAATAAACGAACGAACCATTGTTCTTATAAGCACACCGCTGACAAAACTTCCTCCCCTGCTCCGTTTTCGTCTTACAGCTCTCACAAGCAGACGAATAAGCAGCATAAGGATTCTTAGCCTTGGAGCTAAGCAACTTGCTCTATCCCAATTTACCATGTCAGCCGACCCTCTGCCCAAACCCAACCCCGCGAATTCCCAGTTTAATAAAGACACGAAGATGAAAATCATACCTTGCCAATACCCGTATTCCCTAGCGTTGGCTTAGACTTGCTACCTTCTCCACCGCCACCACCTCCCACCGAGGTCGCGGGCGAGCCATAGTACATCTCACTTTTGCGTTTGACGCCGGGAGTAGCTAGCTCGGTGGATTTGAGTTTCTTTTGGCATTTTGAGCAGACCATTTTCCTTCTTGTTCTTTTTGTCGTTCTTTTTGGATTTCCGGGTTGTTTTTTGAAGGTTGTTATTGATGATGGAGTTGTGTATTGTTAGTATGAATTGAGTCGTATCTAGGTATTCCCGTTTGGGGTTGGAGTTGCATCAAGCGCCAAGACCCTAGTAGATGGTCGGGGGGCATGACGCATTTGCTGCCTTGGAAATCGGGCATTCATGGTTGAAAGATTGTACATTGTTTCGTACCAATAGATATCACTAGGGTAGGAAAATATCGGTCTTCCGACGGGGTTGGCTATATTATTCTGTATGCTTATCTACTCTTATGTGTTAATGAGGGAATTTGGGAGTGACTTGGCTCCTATCGTAAACAGGGTAGCCCGCAATATCCGCGGGCTGGTGGGTTTGGGGGTTAGCATTATATTGAATCCCATAAGATGAGGGTCTTGGTAAGGTAAGTTGTTTGGTTCTAGCTGTGTTGGTGAATAGGCGGAAGTAGGAGTAAGAGCCTATAGGACTCGGGGTGTAGGATGTATCCGTTAGATAGATGCTGGCACCAATGATATGGCCGAGTCTCTAGAGATTCGAGCCCTTACTAGGAGTGTGGGTGTGATGAGTTTGGGGTCTAAAACTGGGTATTTGTCATTAAAGAACAAAGAAATAACTAAACAAAGGAACAAGACGTACATAGTACATGATGGTTGGTAGCTGTGTTTGTCCAATAAAATGTACCAAGAGCGATATGTAAATATAGTTGGGTATGTTGGCTCTTTCCCGACATAAATAATGGAGTATGTAGAATGGTTTTCCATTGAATATGCCGGTTCTGGTTTGGGTGAGCGATGACCATGCCAGGCTCTATGTGGATGTTAGGTCGCACAGTAGGATATTGATTAGGTTGTAAACGATATAGTATTTACTTGAACTGGAACTAATGTGTATGTAAATAAGCACTTGATAGGGCTTGGGACAGCATTACAACGTGTACTATTTGTATAGATTACGTGTGGAGAATTTGCCTAATTTTGCTTTCTTTTTCCTTACTGCTGACTATATGTTGACATTATCGGTAAATTGTCTTCGCAACTTGGCAAGCGAAGTCACGGCTACGGGGTGTTCCGTATGATTTTCGCACTCATGTCATAGTGCATTCATAAGCTGAACTATGAAGTATAAAAGGCTTGCCGAGATCAAAGTTTTGAAAAGAAGGGCTGAAGAGCTGAAGAAGATTCAGATGTAGGATAACATGGATCGCGTATTCTGCTGATCCACCGGCTACCTGCGCCCGACACAGCCCCGATCCACAAAGCCGAGAAAAGTACCAAGGTTAAACAGAGAGGAAACGAAGAATAAAAAGCAAAACAAACCAGAAGAGATCGACATTGACCCCGGATAAAATGCAATGCTCATGAGAAGTTAAAGTTGCTTCTACGAATCGTACTGCAGACTTATTTTTGAGCTAGAGCGGTTGGAGTTACCGTATGAGAAATCCCCAGCCCTAATTGGGATTCTTGCAAAAGCAAACATTGTGGCATATTGGCCTTGCCCTGCATATAATCACATTAACTTAGGCCTATATGCAGTATTTTTCCCGACGTTGTTTTAGTCAACAAACAATCAATATGTCTGAGTAGGGAGTATGGGCAACATTTCCATCGATTCTTATTGATCCCGACACCTGATTGTCACATTCTCCTAAGTCGTGGGAACATCAATAATTTGGAGGGTATACTACACGGAGAGGCACTGGGATTAGGGTATCTCTTTCTATGAGCCTATCGCCGTTCAGGACTTTTGTCAAGATGGTGGTCAGGAAACACATAAGGACCGCATTCTGTGGAGTGTGCCCGCATTCGCATGATGCCTGGTTCCTTGGTCTAGACGAGTCTAGAGAAGCTCACGCAATCGAGATCCTTGTTTTTGACATTATACCGCTGAACACTGGTGCTAGAAGCCGAAAGACACTCAAATAAACGAGCCAAGAAATAAGTATTGGGAACTGGCTTGTGTAGTTCAATGGAGTAATATGAGTTAAGATTCAGTACAGTCTGTTTATTACCCTGGAACCAAGTTTCCTACGGGCCGTGTATACGATCCATTCTCGAGTTGGGTGGATTGTTCAGGTATACTAATTTTATATCAACGAGTTAGATAACAGGAATTAGATTAGAACGCGATTAAACTCAGAAACATACAGAAACAAGTTATAGTGCTTCAGTTGATATTGACTAGCAATCAGCTTTACTATGCAAGTAACCATAGTTCAGTTGGATAGGTATGGGTGTCTGTGGGTTTGACCCGGGGTGTCCAACAACCCCAACCCTTGGGGCTTTCTTATATGAGAGACACACAACCTATTGACAAAATAGGCAGGTCTGAGGAATTTCTATAGATAGATATCTCAAGAGAGGGAGTTAAAAAAACATCAGTGCGTCCATTCACAAGGGACTAGGTATGGCGCAGTTGCCCATCGCGCATTGTGAGTGGAGTGGCAAACAGGGCAATTAAATAAACACTTTTACCCACACCACTTGCAACAACACTAAAAGTACTACTTTCTTTAACTCCCATCCACCACGGACCTGCCGCCCATTCTCCATTTTTCCTTTCAGCTCCCTTGTGAGTTCTCTGCTGAATCCCCAGAACTAGCCACGAGCGTCGGGCCAATACGTCTTGGACTGTTCTGACTTATTTTCCCTGTCGTCCTCTGTTTCAGCTGCTTTGGACCAACATTATCCCCACAACTCACCACTTGCGTGGACTGCTTGTCTCCCAATGATGCAGCATCTGACCCGCCACTCCTGAACTGGTCTGCAGCCCATCCGCTGCAGAACTGAACCTGAAAAGCAAATCTCGCCAGAAAAATCCAATCATGATTTCTACGCACAGAGGGCAGAAGTTTAAAAAAAAATAATAATTAAAAAAAGGAAAAGGAAAAGGCAAATCGGGAAGATGGAAGGGAAAAAAAAGAAACGTTCGCATAACATGGTTCGAGTGTCCAGCGCCTCGGAACCGTCAGAGTAATGAGGACATGTTCCAGCAGAGTGGTTCTTCCTCCGTTGGACATTTCTACTGCTTGGCTATTTTTCCGCCCTGATTTAGGGGGGCAAAGTGTCTGCCCCGGCTCTATAAATCAGCCCCCATGGCTCAATTGCCACGAATCGTCCCAAGCCTTTGAGATCCGACCTTGCATGTTATCGGCAACTTTAGTCATTGTGACTTTATATACTCGTGTCACTCTGTGGCTTGAATGTTTGGTTCCTCATTCCCCATTGGAGCCTTTCCCTTGAGGCCGATCTATGCGCGGCTTTCCGATCGAAACACCATATCTGGCGTTCAACATTATTCTTCCACTCTTTCTCAATTGACATAAAAGTTTGTGTTTGTTGTTTGATCCTTTTTCCTCTCCTTTTATATTTATATTTATATTTGGAAAGCCCGTCGCTTTAATTTTGCATCGTCGCCCAGTCTAGACTTGGCCCGTTCTTGTTTCCTGGCTGTGCACCTGGGGGACTTACTCAATCCATACTAGGGCCTTGAAAAGTGCCAGGTTGGACTTGGATTCTTGAAGGCCACAACTCCCTTGCTTCTGGCCTTGGAGCACCATCATACACACCTTACTTATCGATAATCTCCCTCTTCCTCTCCTTTCTACTTTTACTCTCCCTCGGACCCAATTTTCTATGCTCACGCTGCTGAAAAATCTGAAAACTGCGTGTGCAGCTTGTCCAAACCTCGGAAGCTGACATTAGAGAATTAGGGGTAAGGCAGAAAAGAGGCAGGAATTTATTATTGTTTTCTTTATTTCTTTCCGAGAGAAGTGAGCAACGGGATTAAATCGATTCCTACCAAAAGGAAGAAAGAACGAGACTTCCCCTTGGTGAACCGACTGGTTCGGGTGATACATAAGAAAAACAATATGCCTCCAGCCAGCTCGTCGTTTACGGCGTTGAATTTGCCAGAAACATTTTCTCTCCCACAATGCATGGAATATTTTACCCTTACCGCGGGCCCCAATACCGATCTCTGGCGGAAGCCTCCAAATGGCGACACGTCCACAGCACCCATTGTATTTACGTCACTGCGAAATCCATTCATACTCGCAGAAGTGACCGTTAGTGCGGACTGGGAAATGGAATGGGATCAAGGTGGGCTGGTGATTTTTGCTGGAGCCGCACCACAATCATGCTCGTCCGGCAGCGTCCCATTGGATTCCGGAATGCGATCGAGTCGTTCGGGATATCCCCAGATCGCACGACCATGCAAATGGGTTAAAGCGGGTATGGAGTTTAGCTCGGGCACCGTCAATGTCTCTTCGGTCAGTGCAACTGCAGATGGAGCCGATTGGTGTCTTTCGCCGCTCAGCTTCCCCGACAGCGGGCCATCGGCTGTGCAGTCGCTGCGGATCAAATTAGAGCGGATCGGCAACTCCCTCTGGATCTGGTATCAGATTCCATCCGCAGTTCCATATGCTCTGACCCCGAGCGCAGTGAGCAGCACGTGGAAGAAGCTACGGGAGGTGACATGGTTCTTCTACGGCGTGGAAGACAAATTTATCCACGTGGGAGTTTACGCGAGTCGGCCGAATAACATATCTCGCAATAGTACCATGTGGGAGATGATGAATGGTCCGGTCTTGAGCGAGTCCACAGTAGGCTCTCAGGACTCTTTGGTGGTTGAGTTCGAAGACCTAGAGATATACTAACGACGCTTGGCCCTTTTCTCCTGATAATATACCATCAGTGTTTATTCCTTTGGGATTTAATCAGCACAGCCACGACCCACGAATGGCTTATGAGCCCACGACTCCATGTTTGGCGCCGCTGGTTGGGCCCAACATGGTGAGTCACTTTTTGTTTCCCCCCTTCGTTTACCATAATTGTCTTGAGGATATAATGTCAAGCATACAGAGGAGCATGATGAGCGTACCGGTGTTTTCCTGTCATTCAGTTCTTCGTTTCTTCGAGACACTTTGATCCAGCGTTTTGGTATATAGCGTTCCCTTTGAGATTGAAATCTAAAAACTTGTGTGATCTTTTCTTAATATCACTTGATTGGACACCAAAATTTCTGATGGCAGACCTGTTACCCCTGGGGATGAGTCAAAGTAAGAATCCGTGACCAAGATCATGGACCATAGCTAATTTGTTGAGCATGCATGATCTGCAGCGGGGTTCATGAGATAGCGTTGATTTTGTTGGAGAATGACAACTTGAGCCCAGGGTGAGGCAAAGGTAAGGAAAGTTCAGTCGTTTATACTTCGGCCGAAGATCACTGGGCACTAAACCCAAGTGAGTATCCAGCGCAGAAGGATAAAGTTGGTTAGGCTGCAATGGGACTGAACAGAGCTCACAGCACTGCATTGTCACGGGGGTTTCCATTCTTGGCTGGTATATCATAAATTCATTGCCTCTTGGGTTACACCGCAGGGAAATAATTACCGAGGGATATCTTGTCCCACGGCTCTGGAAGCAGTGGATGCTCCACTGAGTCACCCAAGGGATGGGGGCTGGAACCGCAACGAAGAAAAGACAACAATGGCATTCGCAATTGGTATATCTGATTTCTATGACATTAGAACTGGTATGGGAGAGTGGACGACTCGCAACTTGAAGTTTTACTAATTCCGGCATATTCGGACAGGGAAGATTGAGGGGGTATCAACCATTTCTTGATGAAGCCGAGGGATTGTGATCGAAAACAAAAAAGGAAGGCAAAGCAGAGAGGAGTCCAATCTCGATGTCCCGCCTTAGTGCTGCAGATGTAATTTAAAATGCATCGCCCCGGGTTGCGCATGAGTATCCAGGCGGACAAGAATCGGTAGATCCTTTGAGGATTGGACCATCTCGTCGTATTTCCAATCCCTTCCGACAGGATGATATGATTTCCGCAGTTTATAGTGAGCTGAGTGGAGTCCGTAGAGGAGGGCGACTAAACCGGATGGAGTAGGGGGAATGGTGCCATGACTGCACTATGAGTCTAGTCAGTATAGTTCTCCACTGTTTTTCTTTCCCCTACACGATCTGGCGAGCAGAATTTTAATTTTTATTTGCTCTTCTCATGAAAATTTCCCTCATCAGCCGACTGGAGGATGATCTGATTCCGGCCAATGTGCACAACATCCGTTATCGTTGCATACTCTGGAGAATTGGCGCTGTATATCACCAAGTCAATCACTGGCTGGATATTTACCCACTCCTGAATCGGTTTAAGAAACATATTTTATGCTGTTCCCGTGATTGGCGCCGCCCACTCACCGCACTTTCCAGTCGGTAACCAGTGACGTACAGAGACGATGGGATCACGCAGCCATCGAAGATCTGCAGATAATTTAATGCGTCCCCTCCATGCGAACCCGTCCAGAGGAGTAAGCAATGTATCTAGCCCGAGGTTTGTCTATCTCCAACATGACTCAATTGCTGATATCTACAGTTTCGTTCGGAGTGGTTTCTACGTTTTCATATCACTTCTACTTCATGAATCAAGAGCTGTTCTTTTTCTCTTTCTTGTAAACTTCTGTCTCTGGACCAAAACCACCCCCTCTTTAAAGCTTATATTGTATATATATATGTGGCATAGATGACGAATTAAAAAAGAAAAAGCAAAACAATCACAGACGGGTGAAATCAGTATCACTGTGACAACTCCTTCGCTGCCCCGCCAAACTAATCCCTAAGTTAACGGCCTTTCGGCCACTAGCGGGAGTTCAGTCCCTCCATCAGTCAACCTCACTAACCATCTTAGTCCGGAATTCTCCCTCCTCCATCACTTTGAGTGGGGACCCTTCTGTTTTTTTTTTTTCTTTTCCTTTTTCTTTTTTAATGTTACCCATGATTGACTCGGTCTTTCTCCTTTCTTCTCTTCTTTCTCTCTTCTCCCCTCCTCAACTCATTAACTACCTTACTACTGTACAACTACATCCCAATTGTGCGTTTGGTTTGATCATCAATCAAACTGATACATCCTGATCTGACCAATCCCACCTCCATCGCCCCTCAAAGTTTCACCTCCCTTACCTCTCGCAACCCTATTACCCGATCCCATTGTCCGGGAGGCCTCTTCTCTTTTCGTTCCTCGTTTCTGTTTTTTTTCTGTATATTATTCCATCGATTCACTCGATATCCTTGTTGCTGTGTAATTGTTAAAGCCTCTCTTACGCTCTGATCTGTTGTTTGATACTTAACGACTGTTACGACCTTGACGATCATAACAATGGTGGAATCCATTGCTGAGACTGTTACTATCTCTGTCCGTCGTCCGACTGATACCCCTACTATCTTCGTCGCTGGTACCTTCTCGGAACCACAATGGGAGCCATTGGAGCTGAATGTTAAGACGATAGAGGTTGAATCGGAACTAGACCCGGGCCTCTACTCGACCGAGTACCTTTTCTTCCGGGATTTCAAGGTGGCTCCGGGGCAATACCAGTACAGATTCCGAGAAGGCGCGACTGGCTCCTGGTTTCACGATGAGTCTGTAAAGAATGGTAAGTTCGAAACGGCTTCAGCAATTTGTTCAACATAACTACCTCGGGAATAACGACATGGCTAACCAATGCTTTGGGTCCATAGCTTCTGGAACTGAGGGCCTGGTCAACAATTACCTTACCGTCAAGCCTGCGGCCGAGCCGGAGACGCCCGTCCAGAATGGTGTCAGTGACAAGGCGGAGGAGAGCACAAAAGAACCCGAGACGGAAGCTTCGACAAAGGCTGAGCCGGTAACGAATGGCGTCCACAAGTCGAATGGCGTCAATGGAGTCGCTGAGCACGATGCCCCGGTGGCTGACCAGTCTCCTGCCGAGGATCAGAAGACCGAACAAGTTCTTGAAAAACCTGTCAAGACTGATGCCAAAGCAGAGACTGAGACAGAGTCGAAGGAGGCTCTTTCCAATGGCACCAAGGAGCCAGAAGTCAATGGAACTGAACCCGCCGCGCAGACCTCCGAGAGCAAGGAGGAGCCCGTGGCCGAGGAGAAGTCGGAGCCAGTGGTAGAGAAGCCTGAGGAGAAGGTGGATGTATCTCAGCCCGTGGCGGAGAAGGAAGAAACTGAAAAGAAAACCGAAGAAGTTGCAGCCATCCCTACTCAGGAGGACGAGGAGACGCCGGTTGTAAACGGCGATGTTAAGGTCGAAGCCGAGAAGCAATCAGAGGAATCTCAGCCGCAAAAGGTTGCTGAAGAAGTAGTAGATAAACCCGAGGAGCCTGTTGCTGAGACGTCCGCATCTGAAGTCACGGCTGAGGAAACCCCCACTCAAGAGTCGACCCCCGAGAAGCCCACCATCACCGAATCTACTGCAACTGAAACCATTACGGAGCAACCTGTTGTCGAAGCACAACCGACTGCGGAGGTGGAGGCCCCCGCCACAGAGCCCGCTGAGACAAAACAGGCGGAAGTTCCTTCTGAGGAGCCCGCCAAGGAAGAGCTAACCGCTGAAGAACCCAAGGAAGCTCCCGCCACGGAAGAGCCAGTAAAAGAATCCGTTAAGGAGGAGACGGCACCGGAACAGCTCAAAGAAACAGTCTCCGAGAAGCCCTCTGCTGAAGAGCCCGTTAAAGAAGAGACCACCGAAGAGCTGAAGGAGACGTCCGCCACCGAGGAGCCAGCTGAGAAGCTCGACGAGTCGGATAATGCTCCTGTTCAAGAGGAGTCGGTGGCGGAAGAGCCTAAGGAGACGGTCAAAGAGCCTGTCAAGGAAGAGACAACCCCTGAAAAGTCGGAAGAAACGCCCGCCTCTGAAACAATTGTAGCTGAGGAGCCCGCTGTCGAAGAACTGGTCGAGGAGAAGGCCGCCCTAGAAGACGCTAAGGATACTTCCACCGCTGAACTAGCTGTTGCTGAAGAACCAGTGAAGGAAACTGCGAAGGAAGAGCCGGTCCCTGAAAAGTCTGAGGAACCTGCCGCCCCCGAACCAGTCACTACTGAAGAACCAGTTAAGGACACCGTTAAGGAAGAACCCGTTGCTGAAAAGTCTGAGGAGCCTGCTGCCCCTGAACCAGTCGTTGCTGAAGAACCGGTAAAGGAGCCTGTCAAAGAGGAGGCAGTGTCGGAGGCGCCTAAGGAGACACCTACTGAGGAGCCTGCCACTAACGACACTGCTGCTCAGGATGAGCCGTCTACTGAGGAAATTGTTGCTGAAACAGTGAAGGAGGTGCCGGTTTCCGAAGAGCCTAAGGAGACCCTGTCCACCGCAGCTCCGGATGCTCAGGAATCGGTTATTCAAGAGCCCGCTACCGAAGCCTCTGCTACCGAAGATGCCCCCAGCGAATCGACGAAGGAGTCCGGTGTCGAGAAGACAGTGGAAGAGACAACCACCGAGAAGCCTGCAGCTGACGATGTTGTAGTAGAGGAACCAGCGAAGGAGGCAGCAACAGAAAAGACCGAAGTTGAGAAGCCTGTCGTTGAAGCCCCTGTTGAGACAAGTTCCGAAGAACCGGCAAAGGAGTCCGTTCCAGAGAGCACTACGGCTGAAGCTGCTGCCGAAACGGAAGAATCGAAACAGTCTGCCGAGGAGACCTCAGAGCCAGCTGCTAAGGATGAAAAGGCGCCCGTTGAAAAGCCGGTGGAAGAGGCCAAGGCTGAGCCCGCCTCGGAAGAAGCCCTGAAGGAAGAGGTTGCTCAACCCTCCGTTGAGGAAAAACCCACCGAAGAGGCCGCAAAGGTGTCCCCTGCCGAAGAAAACGAGGTCGTTGCCGAAGCCACTAAGGAAGAGGAAGTTCCAGAGGAAGTCACTGCGAAAGCGCCTGTTGAGGTGGAGGCTACAACTAGTGAACCTGTCGTTGAAGAGCCTACACCCGAGAAGCCCGCCGTGGAAGAAACAACCACCGAGGAGCCCTCTAAGGACGTGACAAAGGAGGAACCTATCTCTGAAGTGCCCGCTACTGAGGATTCGACAACGAAGGAGGCAGCTGAGGAACCCGCCAAGGTGGTAGAAGAGCCTATAACGGAAGAAAAGCCCGCTGAGGTGACCGAGCAAAAGACCACGGAGCCAGTCACTGAAGAATCCAAGGAGACGAAGCCTGCTGTTGAGGAAGCGACCCCCGAAGAACCCGTTAAGGATACCCCCGTCGCTGAGCAACCAGTTGAATCCGAGCCCGCCCAGGAAGCTGAACCGGCGCAGCCAGTGCAGAGGAGTCTGTTAAGGAGCTCGCTGCTGAAGAGGCTGCTGTCCAAGAGCCTACCCCTGAGGAACCTGCTGTCCAAGAGTCGCCTGTAGAGGAACCTGCTACTGCCAAGGAACCTGTCGCTGTCGAGCCTTCTACGGAGGAACCTGCTGCGGAACAGCCCGCCAAGGAAGCTGAACCCGTGAGTGAAGTGTTGACCACTGAAGAGCCTGTCACGAAGCAAGCAGCCGAATCTGAGCCAGTTGAGCAGTCAGTGGTGGAAGAAACGCTTGTGGACGACTCTACTGAACAGCCAGCAACCGAGACCGTAGCTGAAGAATCGGCCCCAGCCCTGACTGAGAAGCCTGTGGTTGCTGAGACACCTGCTACCGAGGAAGTCGTTGAAAAGGCCACTACCGAAGAGCCCGCGCAGGAGCCTGTCGCTGATAAGTCTGCTGAGCAGCCAACTTCATCGGATGTGGTCGAGGAGACTGCTGAATCTTCTAAGGCTGTTGTCCCCGAGGAAGTCACGTCGAATGAGGTTGAGCCTACTGTCTCGCAGCTCCACGAAGAGAAGCCGGAAGAGGTGACTGAGCTACCTAAGGAGGAGACAGTTGCAGCTGAGACTGTGGCTGTTGAGATCCCTGCAGAAGAGAAGGCCCCAGAGACCGAACCCGAGGTTGTACCCAAGGCTGAGATTGAAGAGGCTGTGGCCATTCAAAAGGAAGAACCTAGCAGCGAGCCAGCAGCAGCAGCCCCTGCTGAGGCCGAGAAGGAGGAGCCTTCATCAGTTTCTTCTGGAGAGCCTCCTGTTGAGAAACAGAGCACTGAAACAGCTGAGGTTGTCCCTGAGGTTACGAAGGAGGATGCCCCTGAACAGGATGGAAAGGTTGGCGTCTCAACCGAGCTGATTGGTGCGGCGGTAGCTGTTACCGCAGGCGCTGTTGCTGCTGGGGTGGCTATCTCGTCCCACGAGGACAAGGAGCCAGAAACCGCGTCTGCGGCCAAGAGCTCCAAGTCTGTGGAAGAGTCTCAGCCCAACAAGGCTGATAGCCCAGCTCCTGAGTCTCAACCACCAACCAGTAAGGAAACACCATTGCCTGCTTCGAAGAAGCCTGAAGCTGATATCAATGCACCACGTTCAGGATCCGAAGAGCCAGCTGCGTCAACCAGTGAACCATCCACTTCTGCTGAACCCGCTACGACGACGGAAACCACTGCTGACAAGGCCGTGGCTCAGAAGGATGACACCTCTCGTTCTCCAAGCCAGACCCGGGCTGTTACTCTCAGCAACGCCAAGAATGACGGCTGGTTGAAGGTCATCCTTCGCGCCGTCTTTGTCAACTTCTTTGGAGCCATCTTCTCTCCTTTCCGCCGTCGCCCCAAGAGCGACCAGTAAATCTTCAGTGTGATCATCACTCGCACTTCCATGCATATCATCATCACTGATTCTTAAGTGATTTGAAAGTGCCCCCTGACTCATTGTTACTAATTATGCATCTGTTTGGCATGCATATACCCGACTTTGTTGCCCAAGATTCTCGTCACTCATTTTACTTGCCTTAATTTGATTCCCCTGTATTTGACTTGTGTGCGTTTATCAATTCAGGTTATTGTTATCTGTTATGTTTTCTATTCTCCTCTCCAGAATGTTTCGATTATTGACTGCGCGTCTGTTGTGCCAAAACTGATAGTAGTTAACAAAACTTGTTTAGTTTTGCCGTTGATTTACGACTACCAGTATGTAGTGATATGATTATGATTGATGATAATGAAGACTGAAGATTATTTCAATGGGTTTTGTTCTTGGACTATGTCTACTCCTTCGGATAAGCCTGCTCCTGTTGTAGTAACAAAACAAGTACGGTCAACCCGCAATAAAACGCGAGAAGATAAAAAGAGCTAGTAGTAAAAGACAGGCAGAGAAAGGCAGCATCTAGATTGCTAAAATATGACGACTGTTCTTTCTGACAAATCTGGTCTCCTTATCACTAAAAGTCTTGTCCAGTCTGGACACAAGTTTCGCAACGTCTGCTCAGGTCGTTTGATTCTTTGAGCGGGCAACGTCCATTCTCGCACACTGACTATCCAAATCTGAAATGTAGATTTGTGTAAAAGAGAAGTCCTATATTCTACGGGAGCCCTCTTGGATTATGTACGGAGTAGGTAGAGCAGGAGTCAATCACCTACACATCGCCATTATTATATTAAGAAAGTCGAGGCCCGGTTCAGAAAAGTATATTCGCTCTCAATGTCCGGAACCAACTGATATCAAGCAAGACATCTAAAGGGTCTTGTACGTTACATACATATCCCACGCCTTATCCAGACAGAATGCAAGGCCATTTCTGATCGAGACACCAAAAAGAAGGAAAAGTAAAGACAAGCCCCGAACTCCAAATCCCCCGATTCCATAACTCTGGTGAAACAAGAGTAGAGAGAAAAAACAAAAGAAAAAGAAAAGGGAACAGCCACAGCCAATTTCATGTACGTCACTTGGGGGTGTGTGAGTGAAATTCACGTCTCGCGCTGTGGCGCGTGCCCCAGCAACACATACAGTGAAGGCATCAGCTTCGCCACATACAAAATCATGTTTACTTGTGTGTTTCTTGTAGTGAAAGAGCAACACCTGGATGTTGATTTCCTCAAATCTTCATCTCGCGACGTGACAGACCAACGTAATTGCAATAGAACAATAACAACGCAACGACATCTTCTTCAGGTATCTCGTTTGCTTTGGTGATTATCTTCAAGTAGCTGTTTCGTTTTCTGTTTCTTTGTTCGCTATGGCGGACCGTGAGAAAGATCAGGAGGCTCAGACTAGATCTGAGTCTGAGGAGAAGGAGTTGAGAGAGAGACCCAAGGTCAAACTGCCTCTTGTGCCCACCGTCCCTGGCAATGCTTGGTCGCAGATGAGGGCTCGTGAGCAAGAACATATTCGTGAAAGGGAGCTGTATAAGCTGGAGTTTGGTGAGTTGGGGTATGATCCTAACACCGGTATGTCGTGTCTCCCCGTCTCCCCTACCTTTTCGTTGTTGGCTTGGCTTTTCTGATGCGAGTAGTGATAACCCGTCCAACCGCGTCCTATTCTTCTTCAAGACCCAGTACGATGAGAAAATCATCTGGACTGGACTACGACGAGGCACTCGCTCTCCCGATGCCTAAGCCCCGTCTTATGGCTGTTAGCAGTTCTGCTCCTGCACTTGAGCCGACAGTTTCAAAGCCGAATGTTCTCACAAAATTGGGTGGTTTGAAGAGACAGGGCGCCACGGAGCCCCATCCTGGTGATAAGGGTGCGGGTACAAAGGTCGAAGGTGAAAAGAAAAAGTCCATGATCGCGACGCTGAGATCCAAACTCAGCTTCAAGGAGCTTGGGAAGGAGTTTCGTAAGGCTCAAGACCCTCCACATAGCGCTATGCCTCAACTGCCACCGAGCATTGGATTTCCACAGGTTGAGAAGACTAAACAATCGCCGCCTGGGTCTTTTGACTTCGATGAGGAAAGACTATATGTCCCCAAGCCCAGAGATCCTGAAGTGCACCCTGCATCTGCTCCAGTCCAGACCACTAGGTTTTCGGACTCAGGTAGCTTCGAGAGCTCCCCACAGAGCGCCACATCCTGCCCTGCACAGCAGACTAAGGGTGATGACGGGCTTGATGCAGAAACTCTTAAAGACAAAGAGGAACAACATCGGCCTCATCACAAAGTAGGAAATGTAGAGCCCATGACACGCCTTGACACTGTCTTGATTGACGGCTCGTCTCCTCCAGCCAGCACAGGCGATACCAGCAGGGGCCATCCAGCGGTTGTCGATGCGGAACGACGCTATATCAGTATGAATGTGGAGAACGAACCATCAGTTCCCTCTCAGCCAAAAATTGATGCCACCTCTACCGACAGTCCAGCTTCGTACAAGCCATCGACGTCCAACGCGCCAGAAGGCATTGCACCGGTGTCCTCATCGTGCGAACGCAAACAGAGCACGATGGAGAAAAATCGTCCGCTAGTCGTCTCATCGGATCAGCAGAGGCCACTGTCTGTCAAAATACAGGACCAAACTGAAGGAACTACTCCGTCCGGACAGAACAGCAGGCGCTCATCTACTAGATCACGGGAGCATATGGCCTCAAGTCCTGGACAGGCTGAACCTGACTTCGACCCAACACATATGAGGATGTCCTTCGATTCTCAACTCCCTATGGACGATCCTCGTTTCTACTCTGGCGTGACGACTCACGGAGGCTATGCTCCTCCTCCACCGCACCCGGGCTACCAAAACACAGTAACCCTAGAGCAGCAAATATCCACCTACATGGATTCGCTTCACATCCACGTTGATGGTACGGCCAACAAGCTTGCCCGGTCATTCGAAAACACAAATAACTGGTCAACGGATCAAATCCTGAGGCACACAGGACATCTGTCCGATCTTATGCGCAAGCTCAATAACCGAGTGATGAGCGACACTGAAGTGACGAGGGAGCTGCAGAGGGTCACGATGGAAGTGAAGATTCAAGTCGGCGCTATACAGCGCGAGCAGCGTCATATGGAAGACAGGATGACACAGCTCTTCCAGAGTGAGTACAACAAGCTGAAGGGCGAGATCAACGCGTTGGCTTCGACCGTAAGGTCCAACCTCCCCCACAACCCGGCACAGGATGCAAGATTCATGAATACCAGGTTGCAGGGGAGTCCAGACTTCACCAAAGGGAGTAAAGACAATGAAAGGCCACAGCAGTTCAGGAAGATGAAGTCTCGTCAGATGAGGAGGGAAGATGTGGTGACAAAGAAAACAGAGAGCAGAGGGGGGGAAGAACACAACTGTGAATCTGTCGCACTGAACAAACACGCCGAGGAACACACGCTTACTGATGATGTTCCAACACCTATGGCAGCCTTCCCCACTCCAAGTTCCCATGGCGATGACTGGAAGAATCACTTCACTGAGTCTCACCCCAGAAGACTCATCCTGAAAGACCCTAGCAAAATATCCATTGGGAGTCCAGAACCTCTACTCAGCAGCTCCACTAAAGGCAAGGAAAGAGCCACTAGCAGCCAAACTCTTGTTCACAAAGCAAGTGCTGAGATCATGAAGTTCCCAGCTAAGATGGGCCTTTTCTATCCTTTCCGTCGTGGCCGTGATCGACGTAGCAGCGAAAGCAAAACTGCGAGCCACTCCTTGCCCCCTACCAAGCGCAGCGAAGATGATAAAACTTCTGAGGAGCGAGAGTCCAGGAAGCAAGAACCACTTCCATTTACACCCCCTATGCAGACAAGCGCCATTGCTAGTACTGCGGCAGAGCATCGCCAAGTGGAAGTTAGCCCCAGCAGAGTCCATCCTGCCCTGCGCAACCCTGCCCAGCAGCAGATCATGGCTGAACGTGAGCGCCTCAATAGCCAAGATACTATGACACCCAGGCAGCTCCTACGATCCTCCAGATCCTTTCAGGACTTGACTTCTCGCTCCAGAAATGCTGCATCGTTTGATTGGATTGATAGCTCGACTGAAAGTCCTTCGAAGTCCACAAGTCGCAGGCAGAACCAGCAGGATCTTGCTATGGGATTCCCTGCTCTTTCAACAGCTTCGCGCCACCCATCTTCTACAAAAGATTCATCGTTGACAGCTTTCGCCGAAGCACGGATGTCTCAGGCTTCAGATGTTTCGTTTAGTTATCGTGGCCCAACCCCTCCTCCCAGAGAGTCTGAAGCGAGCGAGCCGAGCCTACCAATCTGGTACCAGGCAGCCTATGCATACAAGTCCATCGAGAAACCAGAAGACGATTAATATGAAACTATCAGTTCATTTCCAAACTGCTATTTGCGTTTCAGCATTTATGATGCCGTGACGATTTCATTTCTTCAATAGTCTGTTGGGCTGGAGCATTGACTGGGGTAAGTGGCTATGATATGGCTTAGCGCACTAAGATGGTCGTTTGGGGGTTGAAATTCAAAGGGGGTATTGGCGCCGATTATGGAATGGATAGGGATAACATCGGAGAGTTTAACAGGATAAGGGTTTGGACCAAATATCGGTAATGGTTCGAGATTTCATTTCAGATTGACGCGTGCAGTTGACCTGCTCACGTGTTCTAAGATTACCGGGTATCATGATCTGGCTAACAAAAACAAAAAACCAAAAAAAGGGCATAAAATGAACATAAGAGGAAAAAGAAGGGAACATTCCGGTTAATGGATAAGACATGAGGAATATGTTTTTTAATGGCAATGAAACGTCATGTTAATACATTGCAGATAGTCATAATGACAATGCTTTATTTCCTCGAGATCATCTTCTCCATATCCACAGCAGCATCACGGACTTGGGGACAGTAATGTAGTCGCAGTAATTCTCCTTCCCATACCGTCCCAGCAAAGACATTGGTTGCTTCTATATCTGTCGCGTAGGGATTGTATACACCGTCGCCTTTACGCTCCTCACTGTGCCACAATGGAGAGATACGATTTGTGTGATGCTTCGCTACCTGGTTTAGAAGGGAAAGCGTGGCAATGGCGGACTTCTCAGGGACCTGGAGCGACATCGTCAGGAGTCGTTTAGTGAAGCTACCAATACGCACCGGAGGTGGTATGCCTTGTGCGCGGGACAAAAGTGTGGACTGGAGGCAGCGGAGTAGCAGAACTGTCGGAGTCTGAAAGTTGACCTTGTTCCTCGACTTAAATTGCTGCGTCGAACTATTGTCATCTGGATCAGGGAGCCGAAGAGACTTGTCGGGGTTGAATTCGATGTCAGGGTTGATTGAGTGAGAGTACAGGGAGCGATAAAGATGCTTGATGAAAAAGCTTAGGTCAAGATGGAGTGTGTTTGCCGCCTTGCTAGCATCCTGTCCTTGAAGGAGCGCAAAGGCAGTGACGGTACAAAGGAGGGCTTCACGCTGAGAATCTCTGGATACTGTCGCAGATTCAGGATCCTCATCGTCCACGTCGTCGCCTTCAAATTCATCTCGATCGGCGTGCCCGATCAAGTCCTTCAGAGCTTCGAGCAAGTCGCCGAAGAAATCTTGGTTGATCAGATGCGCATATTTAGCAAGGCCCTCGAGTACCGGGCCCATGAGAGTTGGAATGCGGAGTTTCAAAATGCGGAAGTAGACCCCAAACACAAGTTTCAGAGTTTCTGCTTGGTTCTTATCTCTTTCCTCGTGGGAAACCAAGGCGTCGGCTTCCTTCATATCCTTCTCCACGGCCTTGCGTTCCTTTTGGATCTTGCGTTCCTTTTTAGTGCGAAATTCCTTCTTTTGCTTCTTCTTCCCACGGAATGTATCCTCCTCTGGCTCACGGTCGACCCGGTCTCTTGATGCCTTAGAAGAGAACTCGGAGAGTAGTCGGAGGTGCAGGAAGGTGTCCAAGACGCTTTCGTTGATTCTGAATTCCTTCGCCTTCATCATCTTCGACAGGAGACGAACGGCTTCGAGGGAGACGACTCCGTCCTCATCTCTTGCGAAGACTTCCTCGAGTGTTTCCCGACATTTCACAAAATCAGCATCCACTTGTCTCTTTGCGAGCCGGTTGACAAGAATTTTCAAGAGCTCCCCGCGAAAGTTGAAATGCGGTACGGAAAGGAGCATGTTGCAAGCGCAGTTGATCGCAAGACTTTTTAAGCTAGGATCAACACCCTCCTGTGTGGCTTTAGACGGCTTTGTAAGCTCACTCAACTTCTGAATGTAGTGTTTATAATGTGAGAGAAGCGATTGTTCGTAGTTTTGCAGTTTGCGCACTTCTTTCGATAACTTAGCAGACATTTCGCTATCGCTGAGCGGACGGATGCGGTAGCCCGGGATCACATCCTTAAATATCGCAGCTTGCGAGGCAAGAGCCAGCTTCTTGATTGCAACGTGCGCCCCGTTATTAACCATTTCAGCCATTGTTTTGAAAGAGCCAAGATGTTCCTCCGGGTCTTCATTGATCAAAGTCGCCAGTTTTGCAAGTTCTTCTTTCGCCTGTAAGATCTGTAATTTCATCGGAATCTTGGGCTTCTCCTCCTCCGCAGGTGTTTCCTCATCCTCGTCCATGTCATCCTCGGCGCCGGAGGCTACATCCTCCTCATCGTCATCGGTGCCAAGAAAACTGTCAGACTCTTCAGGCTCCGATTCCTCAATGGTTTGCAGACCCTCCGCAGTTTTGATAGGTAACCTAGTCCTCTCCTTATCTTTCTTGCCCAATTTGCGTGGACGGCGCTCGTAATCTTGTTCCAGATCCCATTCGGAAGCGTTGCTGTAGAAGTTGTTCAAGGCTGAGCCCTTGGAGGTTTTCGAGGTGCCATTGCCTTCATCACCAGGAGGACTCAGGCGTCTCCTTTTATTCGTGCGTCCTGGAGCCATGACGATTTATTGAGCAACCGACTTGTCGTGGTTGAGGGTCGATGGTTGGTTTTGAGCGGTTCCCGTCCGAAACTTTTTTTTTTCTTTGCGGTGCCAAGACTTTCATGCCAAAAGCTCTCCACCTTAAACTTTTCTGGATTTTTTGTCCGCGGAGCTTTTCTTCGACTGTGAACAACCCGTATCAATCACTCAAAATGCGTCAACTCACTGAACAAGAGACGAAAACACTTTTCGAGAAACTTGCCAACTATACTGGTCGCTCGTTGAACAACCTCATCACTACATCCGATGACCCCAATGACCGATATGTATTCCGTCTCCATGGAAATCGTGTCTATTATATGAGACTGTCCTTGGCCAATCTTTCGACGGCCATTCCTCGCGCAAATCTTCTCTCACTTGGTACCTGCATCGGAAAGTTTACTAAGAGTGGCCAGTTCAGGCTGCACATCACCGGTAAGATCCCCACCAACCATTAGCGATCAATGAACAGATCTCTGACTTCTACAGCCCTGGATGTGATTGCCCCCCACGCGAGATACAAGGTCTGGATCAAACAGAACGGAGAGATGCCCTTCTTGTACGGTGGAAATGTGGTAAAGGCGCACGTCAATCGGTGGTCAGACGATTGTCCAGAACACGCAGGTGTTGTTGTCTTCAACTCGAATGATACTCCTTTGGTAAGACGGCCGTTGGCGCGGAGAGTATGGCGCTATAAGTTACTAACATTGTCTCAGGGCTTTGGAGTTACCGCCCGGTCTAGTGCTGAAGCGAGGAAATTGGAACCAACAGCCATTACCGTTTTCCGCCAGGGAGATATAGGAGAATATCTGAGAGAGGTATGTTACATCTTGAGTGTGAAAGCCCTTGCACACATCGCAGCTTACTGACCTTTGCCTAGGAAGATACCCTCTTTACGACGTAAAGGAAAATCGTTGCATAGGCGGGATCGTTCATGGAATTTGGATGCTAGATACCTGGGGATTCTCGCAGGAGTTCTGGAGTCATCTGTCTGTTTCAATAGAAAAGTTTTTACCTTTGTTCTTCAGCATACTGTATCCGTAATCATATGCGATTACAACAGCTCGTTTCCACCTTGCCTAAACCTAGTTATATCCCTTCTGACGTTCCCTGATATATCGTCTCCCTTAACCTCTTCAAGTACTTAGTTCAATAACCATGTAAACTTTCTACCCCATGCACATGGAATAGTTTAAGGCTTATTGGTGGGAAGGATAGGACGCTGATGGCCACACGGCTTGCCGCGGGAATACAATGGATCGAGGTTATCTGAAGACAAATAGACAAAGAATGAATGAGAATTCCAAAGCATCTGAAAAATTAATGAGCCAATAATTATTTATACTGCCGGTTGTCACAGAAAGTTATCTGGAGATAATCAGTCCATGTGTTTGCGGGGCACGTGCATTATCAGTGATCAGTCAGCTCTCCAAAAGCGACAATACGAACTTTTGCATCTAATCAGCCATCATTGTGTCTACTACTTCTCGCAAAATCTCTGCTGCGCTGAACAATTACTAGGTCCTTTAATATCTTGCTATTTTGATTATTAATTTCACTCACTGTCACATCCCTTGTTCAGGTTTCTTAGCACTCAATAGAAGATCGTACCTGAAGCCCGTCTGCAACCCCACCATGCCACCTTACTCGGGTCTTCAGAGGCAGCAAATAGCTCAGTTTATGAACTTTACACAAGCCAAGGATGCAGTAGCAGCCAAGGTATGATACTTTTCTTTCCCAGCATACCGCAGGCATTGTTGGTCTCAAGTTGCACATATAACCTTCCATGTCACGTGTGATAATCATGGTCCAATAGCTGATGTTTCGTTTATAGTTCTTAAAAGCATCTAGGTGGAATGTCGAAGAAGCAATTGATGCGTAAGTTAGCTGAGATATTTTGTTTCTCTTTTTCTCTCCTTGTCTTTCCCCCCGATCCATGGCTGGACCTTTGCTTTTCTCGGGCTCTGTAATTCTGCCGTACTGCAGTGTGGAATTGCCAGGCTCTCTTGTTGAATGACTGGACGGTTTCTGTGCTCCGGTGTTTACTGGCTATGCTCTTTTCAGTTGCAGCAAGTTGTCGCCCGCCTTTGGCAGGTAAACGGGCAAGGGAACGTAACTTGTCAGGCATTGATTCTCCATCGTCCTCTTGGGCATCCTATGCACACGACAGAGCACTGTTAGCTGGTCTTCTATCCAATGTTAGCAGCCAATTGCGTAATACCCGCCAGACAAGACTGCGGTGTCTCGAGCCAGCTTGGGGGCTGTTAAAGTAATTCGCACTTACCTCGAAGTCTAGCTCGTCTATGTGGCGCCTTACCACAATCTGCCACTTGTGGAGCACATATGGGACACTCTTGGGCCTCGTAGACCAGGGGTGTCATGTATATGTTCGGCACATAAGGGCACAGGACGCAGATGAGGTTCGCCATTACCTAAATAATCTCCAAGCGTCATCCTTGTGTCATCACAACGTCTGGATCCCTTCAAAAAGTCAGAGGGAACATGGCCGAGATAGGCATTCAAGCTCACAAGCGTCAAGATGAGGACCCGTTCTGGAAAGTCGAAATACTCATGTCTTCCATCGGCCATTCCTACCCGTGCCTCAAAGAGGCGAAAGTCAGTCATATCGGCGCACATGACGTTTACTGACAAGATTCAGGTATTTCCAGAGCCCCCAGGGGGCAGGAGGCGCCACCTCCTCCATCAACAAGATATTCGACAGCTATCGAGGTAAGGCAGCTGGCCAGAAAGGATACACTAGTTTCAAGCTAATCCCACTCAGACTCCCCGGATGAAAACCCCGACAGCATCGGCATTGAAGGGGCGATGAAATTTCTCGGCGATATCGAAGTGGAACTAGACGAAGTGACATGTCTCGGCATCGCAGAACTTCTGAAATCACCATCGATGGGCGAGTTTAGTCGAGAGGGATTTTTGAATGGCTGGAGGCTGTTGGGTAACAACGCCACCAATACCCGCTACTGGAATCCGCAAATCGAGATAATCTAACCTAATCAACAGATGTGACACCATCGACAAAATGGTCGCCCATGCTGACGATCTTCGATCGCGGATCCCCACGCAGCCAGATCTCTTCCGTCGCGTGTACCGCTATACCTTCCCTCTCTGCCGGATGCAGGGCCAGCGGAACCTCCAATTTGAGATTGCAGCCGAACAGTGGAAATTATTCTTTACGCCGGACAAGGGCGGAGTCCAGTGGGAGACGGAGACGACTCCATGGTTAGACTGGTGGATTGAATTTATGGAGGAGCGCGGAAAGAAGCCCGTTAACAAGGATCTGTGGGAACAGGTTGAGGTTTTTATGCGGAAGACTCTTGACGATGAGCGGTTTGGGTGGTGGAGTGCGGATGGTGCATGGCCTGGGGCGCTTGATGATTTTGTAGCCTGGGTGCAGAAGAAGAGAGGGGATAATATGGAGGTGGAGTGATGGTTGCTGGTGGATCGTTAATGGGAGTGGGTGCTTATATGTACCCTGGAATAGCAATATTCTACTTTTAGCAGCTCTCTATATCCAGTCAACTATATCGGGCTCTACGCCTCTTTCAACCAACAAGTCTGAGGAACATTCGCAAACTATTTGCAGGAGAAGCTCATAATTCTTAACTATTCGAGACCGAGGATAGAAATTGAAGGTAATTTGTAATATCACATTGCAAAGGGTGGGTAAATAGCAGCACTATGGACTATCAAGTTATGTATATCGCCAGCTGCAGGCAGAGACTAAGAAAAACATTCATCGTAACAGTCAAACATATCTTCAACTCGGTACAACACGAGATAGGCAATCATCTTGAGGCCGAATCAGAATAGAACATGAGAATAGAACCAGTCAGACATGCGAAAGGGGTAATTGGAGGCGGGGAGGGGAAAGAAATAGACTGTCTGTGCCTTCGGCTTGCCTTTGCCTTGAGGCAACATAATGCATCTATTCATCCGAGGTATGGAGCGGATGGGCCGAGGATATGGAAGGCGGCCGGATCGTTCGGCTTGAGCCGGATGGGTAGGGTCTGGATGTATATACAACTAACGGTAATCCTTGGTCTCGTATTCACTGCCTGGGCCGCCTGGGCCGCTACGACGTTGGTCGTAACGCTAGTTAAAATTGCAAATTAGTGTCTGAGATGTAACAGTTGAAGAGGGCATTTACCTTTCTCAAGGCCTCGAGGCGCTTCCTCTTGGTGTGGGTGTTGACGTAGGTTCCAATGAAGAAACCAACAATGTTAAAGAATGGCACCCAAGTGTGCTCGGGGAGGAACTTCTGCGCAAACGCAAGTGCGAGAGGGGAAGTGACCCAGCTGACTTTCATGACGGGCATGAAACCGGCGCGAACGGTGGCGCGAACCTGATGGAAGGTACGCGCGCCGGTGATAACGGCCATCGACGACAGGTACACTGTGTTTTGGATGGGGGAGATCTGCGTTTTTGGTTAGCGCATCCGCGCATTCCAGAGATCGAAGGCCCGATCTATGGACACCCGACGCGGTTGGGAAACATACGATGAGATTGCTAAAGAGAATCTGCAGGATCTTGGCCTTCAGGCTTGTGCGGCCGGCAAAGATCTTTTGGAGGATGCCCACAAGGAAGTGGCCCAGCGGGGCAGCGACGAACATGCCGTAGAGAAGCATCTTTGGAACGCGGGCGCTGAAGTAGTGCCCATTCCTGCTGACATCATTCGCGATCCACGAGGCCAGATATTCTTGAGATGCGGAAAGCACACCCGACGTCAACATCTTCGTGCGCAGAGGGTTCTTCTGCAGCTGACGCAGGTACATCTGTAAATGCGAGCATTTCCCATGTCAGCGAGTTGCGATCGTACCGACCGCGACCAGATCAATCGCTGACCCGACGCTCCGGGAGGGAGGATGAACATACAGCCATATAGCCATTTTGAGGGTTTCCGCCAGTCAAGCGTTCGCCGACTTTGTGCACCAATTCCTTTGTGTCTTGACGAATCCCCTTTACGGCCTCCTCCTGAAACTGTCCCTGGATTTGCCCTTTAATCTGGTCCGTGACTTGTTGCGTGACCTGGTCCTGAAATTTTACGGACATAGTGGCGGTTGATGCGATGGCGTCGGCAATGGGAGACGAATGTAGGGACGATAAGATCCGTTGGCGGAATTGACGGCAACGGGTGTTAATGTGGTGCCTGAGAAACCAGTTAATACACGATCCGCACGGACAATAATGCGCACAATAGGACTTCAAATGACGAACAGTTGAATATGGGGCGAAGTGGGTTAAGAGGGGGATTAAAGAAAACTCGGTGAGAGATTGAGTATGGGGTTGGAGAAAAACAAAAAGTCCCGCCAGGAACTAAAGGAACAGGGGCGGAGCTGCTGTTTGTGTTTGTTTATGGAACGAGGAGGCTGGAACTCTCCAGACCGAAAAAAAGGTCTCAGCTTGGGGGGACGGAAAGCTTACCGAGGTTAAGTAAGGTAAATAAAGGGTAGAACAATAAGAACTTAACTGAATCGAGGGAATTAGACCGATTAATTAAAAAATAGACAGTCAATAAATGACGAAATTATGTATCGATCTGGAGAACCTGTGGGTTTCTCTTATATGCAGGTCATTTATCACAAACTGGTGTCAGATAAGAAAGATACAAGAAGGAAAGCCTTGTTCCAAGGAGAGACCGTCACAAAATAGTTGGTGTTGGACCTGGGGATTTAAAAGCTGGAGGGAAAAGTGGAGGATAAATCGGATCTCTCAGGGCGACAGGTCAATAGGTCGGCCACGAGTGTCGGCAGATCTTATTTATATTGCTGTTAATTAAATTCCAAAATTACCTGCTAATTTTACTATGCGCAACCAACTGCGCTTGTCCGCTACCTGTCGGTCACCTCCGATAGCCTATCGCTTTAGCACGCTCGAAACTTTATTTTTCTATCGTTTTTTGTGATTGTTTTGAATCATCTCCTTCTCTATATAAGGGCCCGGTGTATTGTTAAAGATCACATTATATCTACACATTTACACATTTACGCGTTGGATTTTGTCGCATCCATATACTTTGTATACTGACTTGGAGCTTTCTTGCTCTCACTCATAATCTATCTTTTGATACAGGTAACAAGACTACGGACTAAGGACTATGGAGTCTTACAGAAGCAAAGCAATGGTGGACCTACAAAGGGCGAAAAAGACTGACAAAAGGAAGTATATAATAAAATAGGGTTTCAAGATATGTGTCAGATTTGGTCGGTGTTCCAATTAACATGATATCCAGAGACTGGTATACCTGAAGAATGAACTTACTATATATTTTGCAGCCTGATGTCTTACCATACCTTTGAAGTTTTACATCAATGTCCCAGAATATTGAATCCATATATCTGGTCCTGATTAACTTGGTATGCGCAAGAAAGACAAATTGCAAGAGAAAGTAAATATACCACTTAAAAAGAAATACTTCTTTGAAGTTATCTCTCAGTATGACAGTTAGGTATTATTGCCTAACTTCAATATTTCTGTCACAGAGCGCAACCTTTACCACTTTTCCAGTGAATGTTGTCACTTACTCTTAATATGGCTCTTCTTGTTACAGTGTGATACCATACTATGTTCTCATTTCCCATCGCACTTCTCTCCTATTCATTCCATCCCATCTTGAGCTATGGCAAACAATGAACAGGACAACTCCGAAGAGAACACTGGTATTCAAACTAAGTTACTTTCTATCCTACAAGTGCCTCCTTTGGCATCCATCTATCCCCTGGCCGACCAGCGTCAACTTCCCACCCAAGAAGATTACGTTCGGCCTGTCTCGGACATCCAGCTATCTCTCGACTATCAGAGTTATTATACTGGAAATCCGCTCATGGCTCCTCCGACAGCCCAGTCAGCTATCCGCCAGCATCGCTGTCATCATAGTGTGATAGAACGCCAGTTCTGCATTGACCGTATGGAAACATGCAACTCATGCGGAAGACGGCCATTCCTCGGATGGCTCTACCTCTGTGTTGAGGACACTTCGGGCTTCTCTGATGCCTTGGATCCCATAAACGGCCCATTCCTCAGTCCTTGGATACTGAAAGCCATGGAAGATGGTCACTATACGACAGAACAGAAGGAAATCGTGATTCACCAGAAGTTGAACGTCGTGAGGACGGCGGAGAGAGAAAGAGGCCCCGTACCTCCACCACTTTCTATGCTCTATGCAGAGCGTAGTGCGCAAACCGGTCACAATCAGGATGACCCATGGGTAGAGTTGGTGGAGGATGTCAGCCAGCGGGATGAGAGTGCTTCCAGAACCGGCGAATCAACGGTTCGCCTCGACCATCCTGAGCAAACCTCGCAGCTACTCCAGCACCCACACCCTGCTCTTCCATGCACCTTCAAGGCTTGTCGGTTCTGCGAGCGTCGCCATGGTAACCTCGAGGAGCGCACCTGGATAAGCCTCAATGAAATCTGCAATGATCTTTCTATTCCCCCTCCAGACTCGTGGGAACTGCTCGAGAGGCCCGTCTCCGACGCTAATATTCTTCGGAACTTAGAGCTGCGCTCTCGGTGTATCTGGGTAGGCTCCCCAGAGATGATTTCCTCGGAGCATGGCATCCCAGAAAGCCGCGAAGATATAAGCGTTAGGCTCTACTCTCAGGAGAATATCACGAGCACCAATATCCATGAGCTTGTGGATCAGTCTCTGAACGTATCGATCAAAAGTGACGAAACAGAACAAACCATTGCATCTTATACGGGCCAGCTAAGTGAAAGTATTGTCGTTGGAATGACCATCTCTACGTTCGATGATTATTCCACATCGTTTTCATGGTCAGACCCGTTGGAGCATGGTCATGATGAAAAGTAACACCGGGGAATAGATTTGACAGTGAGGACATCTGCATACAACTCTCGCTTCATGGTTATTACGAGGGGGAAGTGGGAAGCAGAACTACAACCTTATCATCTCATCATTGTGCCACGACTGACTGCATTGAGTATTACTGTCCCTATCTGACAGCGACTAGCCAAAAAGAAAAAAAGAAGAGAGAGAGAGAGAGAGAGAGAGAGAGAGAGAGAGAGAGGAAG